GAAGAGCAATACACTAGAATATGTCAAACTGAGTAATCATAGTTATTTTTTTTTCTTATTTCCAAGGGTGCAGCAAAGGAAGTGGAAGATTCTGAGAGACTCTGCCTATTTATAACCAGTTCCTGATTGGTTAATTCACACACAAAGTGTTGTTTAGGTCACCTTTGCTCATGTTATGTTTTTTTTCTCGTTAATATGTCACTTTTTTTTTTTTTGCTATGGTACAGTAAAGAAGGAGATAAGCATTATAGGAGCATTTGTGTCTGGTAATAAAGTCCATTGTGTTGACTGCATTCCCTTGTCAGCCAATTCTTTCCACCCAAAGTGAAAAACCAAATCCAATTTTACAAATTCTTGTACATCACCATGTCCCATTGCCTCAACATACTTCTGCTTTAATCAAAAGAGTTTATCATCACGCTAGGCGCTAGTGTCATGCTTTCATGCTGCAGCGAGTCATGACATTTAAAAAGTATATTGCAGCAATAGATTTTCCATGTGCAAACTCATCAAGGTATTTTTTCTCTTTACCTCCATCATATATTAATTTGTTGCCTTTCCTACAATTTTGATATGATTTAGAATTATACACATTTGTTCATGCATACATTTTCCTCTCTTTATACTTATGAGAAAAACTAATATACTACATTTATAATTAGAACTTTACACCGTTTATCTCTCTTTTTATTGTTGTAAGAAAGTAATAAACTACATATATGGCCTTATGTGTGGTTTTTCTTTCTGTCTGCTTTTATATTCTTGTTTGTGCATGTGTCTATGTACTGTATACATTTTATACATTTGCCCATCCATATCAATTTTAGTGGATTACTTGTGACATAGGCATGGAGGGCTAAATGCATAACATTTATGTATACAGATCAAACTTCCATGCCTACCCATATAACGTTTTAGAAATACATAAAAGAGTGCATGTCTTCAGAGGGCGTGGGGTCTGAAAATATTTAATATGTGTTTGGTTCAAACACTCAAATATAAAAATATATCTTTGCACTGAAGCTGTATTTAGCACATCAAGCTTAGAAACCTAATTAATGAGTTTTAAAAACTGACGGCATCTAAAATATAACATTTACGTACACGATAACAGTACTCTTCACGGTCAAGAGAGGAAGCCACTGCATCGCCCCTAAATTGAGCAGGAACTCAAGAAAATAAAAAATACAAGAATGAGGAACAATTGTTTTTATTTTTCAACAACATAAGCCAAAAAAGAGACCCATCATAATATTCCATCTAGTTCAGACAATTCAGTTGTGTATACATAAGGATGTTACAGGCAATTAAGAATGTTTACTTGTATGGCAAAATTGGCAATTAAAAATGTTTAGTTGTTTTAGCAATTTGTCATAAGTGCTCACAAGTTCAGTTTGATTTGCTGTCAATGTTGTTTCTTTTTTACCAAATCTTTATCTAACTGTTGTCATCAAACAACAGGGTGAGTATAAAGGGAAACGCAGCAGCAAGCACCTGTAGTTATACACAGATTAACCCAGTCTGGTCAACAGATCATTGGTCTATAGAGATTAAATAGAGTGCATCTTTTCTTTTTTTTCTTCCATCACAAATTTCGGGGCCCGTTACACATGTCAAGGTCTGGACCCTTTGAACCCACGCCATTCCACCAACTCTGCCTCATCAGAAAGTACCCAATCTCGGAGAGGCACTGAAAGATTAATTGTAGTGCCCTGTATATATATATATATATATATATATATATATATATATATATATAGTTTTAAATTGAAAACCATATCTAGATTGATATTGTGTGTTAAATATATTATACTATGGTATGTTTTTCTTCTACTGTAAGTGTGATTTGAAGTAGACATGTGCAATTCGTTTCGTTCCGAATGTTAATTCGGATGAATTTTGGAAAATTCGGACATTCGGAGACTTCTGAATTGCTGAATTGCCGAAGTTCTGAAATTGCCGAATTTCCGAAGTGTCGAAGTTCCGAAGCACAGTATTGCCGAATTTCCGAAGTACAGTATTGCCAAAGTACTAATATACCTACCCAGTGGAAGAATGAAGAATGCTACACTGTATACAAGTTTAAATAGAAAGTATACAAACATAGCCAGGATTCAGCTGTAAGCATTTGCAACACTTACAACAATCAAGTGACACACATTCATATAAAATGTAAGTTACTTAGCCAGTCAGTGTAATGACAGGAATGAATAAGAAGATAACTCCCTAATTCCCACGGTATTAGGAAGTTATCTACTAAAAGGCTGAAAGACCTAAATTGGTCTTTCAGCGAAATTTACTAATACTAAGTAAAGATTACTTAGTATTAGTAATTAGCTATACCGCGAGTAGGGGCAAGGCTAGTAAACAGTGAGCAGCCTGTGGCTACTCACTGTAAAAAAGAAAAAAGTGTCCCCCCTCCAGAGACCCCACCCATGCCGCCTGAGTGTGGAGTTCTAACCTGAAGGGGAGACCTATTGCCCCCCTGGCCCCCACCCCTGAATGGTGGGTGGGGCCCCTAAAGTAAAATAAGGGGGGGACCTATTGTTCTCCCCACGGTCCCCACCCCTGAGCGGCGGGTGGGGGCCCTAAATAAGAATAAGGGGGACCTATTTTCCTACCCACTGGGCCCCAACCCTGAGGGGTGGGTGGGGGCCCTAAAGTAAAATAAGGGGGGGACCTATTGTCCTTCCCCGCTGGCCCCCACCCCTGAGCTGCGGGTCCTTAAATTCCATTAAGGGGGGGGGACCTATTGTTCTCCTCCTCTGGCCCCCACCCCTGAGCGGTGGGTGGGTGGGGGCCCTAAATACCAATAAGGAGGGGGATCTATTATCCTCCCCCCTGGCCCGCACACCTGAGCGGTGCATGGGGGCCCTAAATAAAAATGTAAACCCCCCCAGGGTCACCCCCCTCCCAACAAAACGAATCCCTACCTAGCCCTCCTCACCCTAAAAATAGTGAGGGGGACCAATAACTAGGTACCTGTAAAAAAATTAATACAACTTACTATTTGATGGCTTCTTTTTTCTAAAATCTTCTTTTTTCAGCCCCAAAAAAGGCCAAACAAAAATCCATGAAGGGGGTGAAGGGGGTAAGTAGGGGTTAATTTTGTTGGGAGGTGGTGGTTATATTTTTATTTAGCGCCCCCACCCGCCGCTCAGGGGTGGGGGCTAGGGGAGAGGACAATAGGTCCTAGCGAGTAGGGGCAGAGTTTACTAATACTAAGTAATTTTTACTTAGTATTAGTAAATTTGGCTGAAAGACCAAATGGGAATTAGGGCGTTATCTACTAAGCTGCTGCAAGAGAAGTCCCGAAATTCCGAAGTGTCGAAGTCCCGAATTTCGGAATGCTGAACCGAAAATTATCCCCATGCACACCCCTAATTTGAAGTTATGAAGGAACATTGTATTAGATGTGAATGCAATTTTACTCCCACAGTTCCATTTTATGTGCATTTTAAGTTAAAACATCTTTGGTTTGAATCTATTTATAGAGTGTATTGAAGGAAATAATATGAAAGACTGTGACCATTGTTGATTCTCACCACTCTTATTACACACTATGATTTCCCTTTATCCATGTTCTGTTAGTACCCATTTTTCTGTTAGCGTGCATTCACATACTTTTGTTGTAAACCATGTCAGCAAAATGTATATGACTATAGAAAACAAGTTGATTTTATGCAGTTACAGTCTCAAAATTCGAAAAAACACATTTTATAGAGACAACAAAATGTATCTGCAATTATAACAATGCTGCTTGTTTAATGTTAGGGAGAATGTTAGGGGGGGTCTTAATACTGGTTGCACATAAGTTTACAGATTGTTTAGGGTTAGAGGAGACTTGTGGATTACTTACTTTTTAGAGAGTACTTGCAATTTGTTACTATACTTGTGCTTCTTTTAGCGAGTAGTGGCAAATTTTGAAAAGTTGCTAATGCTCCTGAATCCAATGGCTAAGTATCAGCTAATGGTTTTCATTCATTTCGATGGGAGCAACCACTAATCAATACTTATTGACTGTTTCCAACTCTGTCGTTAATAATTACCTACTGACTCTAATCCAACAGCCGCTAGATCCCTATAAATCCTATTGTAACAAAACATCTTGTTCCAAATCTTACTTTGACGGTCGCTTTAATAGTTCTACCTGTTACTACTATGACTGTTAATTGTGACACTGAATAATTGTGTTATGGCAAGCCTGACATTTGTATTATTTTGATACTGATCAAAATCTTTATTTTGAAAGATGCGCATGCTCAGGTGTGGGTTCCACTAATATGCAAGTGGTTGGTATCTGTAGCATCTGTAGTGACAGGCTGCAAATGGTAAACAAGGGTGGTAATTTGTAGCTGCTACAAGATACCGACTGTTGTTAGTAGTAGCAGCTTCCATTGTTTCGACTTAGATAAACAAGAAACAGTATAGCACTGTTTATTCGAGGGCTTGACAAATTTGTTTAGAATCTAGGAGCAAGCTAAAAAAATTAGGAGCCAGTTTTTAAAAACCTTTATTTTAAGTTTAATTTTCAATGAGAAAAATTAAATTCTTAAAAGACACTAATGACACCAGAACCAGTACAACTTAATGTAGTTGTTCTGGTTTCTATAGCCTGTACCTGCAGACCTTTCTATGTAAACACTGCCTTTTCAGAGATAACATTGCTGCCTAGTAACAGTCACTCAGATGGCCACTAGAGAGTCCTTGGTCAGTGCTGCACAGTGTGCAGCACCTATATTCAGCATCTCCATGCTCTGTATAGAGACGCTGAATGTTTCCCATAGAGATGCATTGATTCAGGAGGTGGGAGAGTCTGGGAGGGAGGGTCTGCTGCTGATTGGCTGGAATGTGTCTGCTGACTGTGAGATACAGGGTCAAAGTTTACTCAATGATGAGTCCGTGGCGAACCGTTCGTGGCGAACCGTTCGGGACATCACAAATGACTAACAATTGGAACATACATAAGTGAAAGTGGTGCAATTCGGAAGTACATTTCACTAGTTTCTATGGTGACTGCTCCACATTTTAAATGTTCCTCTTATCAAAATGCCAATTGATCGTTCTGATATAAAGTGAGAAATCTGCTCAGTATATGTCATTATCAAAAATAAACCGCATAGGCTGCATCTCATTAGTGTAGTAAGAGATCATATCATTTTACTGTACCAAGGGCAACTGTACTCTAAAATGTGTGATTTAGAATGCTCATATTTATTACATCTCTTATGACCATTTTCTCTTCCTTATACTCTCCATTTAATAATGTGGTTCTTTGCTTGGCATGATTCCATCTGAGACATTGTTTAATTAAGATGAATTCTGTTTAAGATCCAGATGACTAATTAAGCAGAGCAGTTTGTTGCAGTGGGACAAAGACAGGGATGCAGCTGATTGCCATAAACAGCTGCCACTAATGGGATTTCGGTCATCTAAGCAATATTTACTCTGTGCTTGTTGAACTAATAAATGATTGGTATATTACAGTACCAGATGCATTGTTCAAGAGGAAAATGGGTTTTTAATTTGTATGTGGTGTTCTCTAGGGTGTAGGATGCCATCTGACTAGGATACTACCTCCTGGACTGTGAAACAGATTAGTAGGTAGATAGACTCCAGGATTTACCTTCATTACTAGGAGAATAAAACAAAACATGCACTTTAATGTACAGTAGAGTGTTCATTGATTCTCCTAAAACCCAATAAAAGCACTCACCAACTAATCATTCTTTTTCCAATGCAATCGTAGTCTGCACCGTATTAAATACAGCACCAGGCAACCTTTGTGGGAGTCAGACGGGCATGGGGATACATTGTGATTAGCTGGCTTGAAATTTACACTCCAGACCCCTAAAGCACTGTTGCTTTCTGAAATGCTTTATGTGTGAAGAGTATGTTCTATTCTTTTCATTTTGCATAAAGTGCAGATTTCAATAGAAACTGTCTCTTTTATTAATTAACCTGGTTACACACCACTGGCTTTCAATCAGACAGCCGGTCCTACTACTTCCTGGTTTGTTTAACTCAGTGGAGCTAAACTCAAGAGGCAGCAATTGTCCAGAGCACCTGCCTTGCAAAGATTTTTCATTGAGCTGCAATGGGAAATTTTTAATTGGACAGTCACAAAAAGTCTGGGCGGGATTAGAAGGGGAGGGCTTAAAAAGGCTTCAGGGAAGAGATCTGCAGCTCTTACAAGCTGTTTATGTATATGACAAAATGCATAAACAAATGCATGCATGTATTCATTGAGGATGTATCTAATAAACAGTGATTTTGATTTGTTTATTTGGGCAGTGCAGGGTCTCTTTAAGCCAATTACAATGCAGGGAAAGTAATATAAAAGAGAAGCAGGGAAATATAAACGCTTCTATAGAAAACAGAAATAGTAAAATAGAAAACTATTTCTTTTTCCATGTTGAAATTTTTGGGGAAATTTTCACAAACTTATACTGATCTGTCATTCTGCCTCCATTTCTTGTTTGTTGTTTTGGGAGTCCAAGGTGTTGGCTGAAATAGCTGGATAATGTAAATATGAAATTAATATTTTTTTGCAAGTTTTATTTCTTTATGGCTGTTTTACTGCTGTCACTTTATGAGTATTTCATCTTTTGAGTTGTTTGTCCAGGTTGACAAATGTGGACAAAAGGCAGAATTTTCTTTTTGGTTTCCTAGTGTCATAGTTATATAGCTGAAAAGAGACTTGCGTCCATCAAGTTCAGCCTTCCTCACAAATGTTGTTGCTGTTGATCCAAAAGAAGGCAAAAAACCTGGTCTGAAGCGCTTCCAATTTTGCAACAAACTAGGAAAAAATTCCTTCTTGACCCCAAAATGGCAGTCAGATGTCTCCTTGGATCAAACAGCTATTACCCCACTAATTAGAAATTATATCCCAGCTCGTTATGTTTTTGGACGGATTTATTTAACCCCTTACTGACCAGACCGTTTTTTCAATTTTCTTACCGTTAAGGACCAGGGCTGTTTTTTACATTTCTGCAGTGTTTGTGTTTAGCTGTAATTTTCCTCTTACTCATTTACTGTACCCACACATATTATATATTGTTTTTCTTGCAATTAAATGGTCTAAAGATACCATTATTTTCATCATATCATACAGTTTACTGCACTGTAGACATCTATTGTGGCCATATGACCACTCCTAAATTGGAGAAGGGGGACTGTGATGAAAGCAACTGCGCCACTGGGTCTTGGATCTGACTACTAGCCAGCCTTTTACCCTGTGACTATGGCCCCTTTAATTTATTTTGGCTGAGAGACCCTAATTGTGCCTATTGGCACTTTAAACATTGGTTCTTCAAACTCCCGAACAGTCTAAGTGGCCGCCATTCGACAGCGTGGCAATTTTTAATTTAGTTTTAGTCAGTCTTTTGACTAAAAAGCCATTTTTTGACACAACTAAAAATGGATTTAGTTAAAGCCTCTATCTGTCTCTTTTACCCCCTCCCCAGCCCCTCTATGTCTCTTTGTGTCCTCCCAGCTCCTCTATGTGTTTCTCTCCCAAGCCCTGGTCTGTCTCTTTTGCTCCTTCCACAGCCCACCTGTTTTTGGCAGGAAATTTCATTTTTCAAATTTTAGTTTTAGTCATAGTCTTTTGACTAAAAAGCCATTTTAGTTTTAGTTGTATTTTAGTCATCTGAATTGTTTTAGTCGACTAAATCTCAAAAATGTTTGTGGACAAATTGTAATTTTCATGAAATAAACACTGCCGTGTACGGCATTTTCTGTATATATATTTTGTATAAATGTAACTTAAAATAATTACTATAAGGTGTATATACTGTACATACTCAATCTCAAGAAGTCCGGCATATTTGCTATTAGTTTATAATCAGTAATAGGAATTCCCAGTTGTCTGGGGACATTCTTTGAGGGTCTTTATGTATACTGTCATAGGCGTGCGCATGGGGTGTGCCGGGTGTGCCTGGGCACACCCTAATCCCCTTGGCCTGTGCTATGTGCCTCTATGGGCCGGTGAGGGAGATCAAAGATCTGACTAGGATAAAGATCTCCCTCACCGGCCCACAGACAGGGAGGGAGGCAGGAGAGGACCCAGGGAGCTCTAGCCAGCAGCTCCACCAGGTTCCTCTTGCGAGGTCAGAGCACTGCCGCGGCAATGCTCAAATCTCGTGAGAGTGAACTCTAGCCCTGCAGGCTAGAGTTCACTCACCACTGGACCACCAGGGATGGCAGCAGCACGGTCCCCCCTCCCTACAAAAGGTAAGAAGGGAGAGGGGCTATTTCCTAAACGGTCCTCCCAACACCACAGTCCCTCCAAACAAAAACAGCACCCTCACACACAGCACTCTCACACACACACACACACACACACACACACTAACAGCACCCACACACATACATCAACCTTACACACACAGCACCCTCACACATACACACAGCACCCTTACACATACACACCACACACTAACAGCATTCTCACACACAGCACACACACACTAACAGCACCCTTACACATACACACACAGGACCCTTACACATACACACAGCACCCCCACACACACACACTTACAGCACCCTCACACACACCACCCTCACAAACACACACACACACAGCACCCTTACACACACACAGTGCCCTCATACACACACACACTAACAGCACCCTCACAAACACACAGCACCCTTAAACACACACAGCACCCTTAAACACACACAGCACCTTTACACACACAGTGCCCTCACACACACACACAGTGCCCACACACACACACACACACACACACACACACACACAACGCCCACACACACAGCGCCCGAACACACTCACGGCATCCACACACAGCAATGTATATATACGCGGCATGTGTATTTGTGCTTTAGGGTGCACACCCTTATGCAATAGGCTGCGCACGCCTATGTATACTGTGTGGGTGATGCTTGGCTTTACACCTCTAATTTTCTTCTTATTGCATTGAGACAGAGCACCAGAAAACCTAGGTCTCCATGTTTCCAGCCAGGTTTATGTGGAGGGATCACACAACCTCACATCTCACAAAAAAAGCTGAAAATAGTTCAGTACAGCTGAACTCATTAAAGGCCCATGGGAAGGGTGTTATTTACTAAGAAGTTACCCGTCAAAGCCGGGCAACTTCTTGAACAGCTGCATAAATCTATCTGTGCTGCCATTGTTAACCCTGAACTAATGCTGGTTGTTCGACAATCACAAGTAGAAACCATGTAGCCTGTCTGAGGACAGCATGCTAACACTGATTATGAAGTGTTTATGGTGTTTATAGCGATCCATTCATAAATAAACCACATTCAATGCTCAATCACTTTGAATAAAATCTAAAGTATACAAAATAGAAGAAAGAACAATAGAACAAAAGGCAATCATTTGTAACATACTTTTAGTGAGTAAAAAATGTGTTTTCAGACAGCAATGCAGTGATCTCACTGACATATTTTGTTCCCTGCATCAGGTATTAAAGTTCATAAATCATATTCACAATGAATGAGGACATTCCTGCAAGCCTCTTTAATGTTTCCCCCCACCCCCCATAACTTAACCTTTGATGGATTTCGGCTATCTAGGGTTAGCTATATAGACTCATTAGCTCATTTGTTAATCCTATAATTACTCCAGGTTCGAGCAATGCACTTCCTCTGGAATTACTAGCCCGGAGCTCACTGTACTGCTGTGACTTTCTCATCAAATTAATACTAACGAAAATACTGTGGCAGTTCAGAAGATATAACTCGTGGGTACCAGAGGTGAGAGAATTGCTTTGTGTTCTTTACACCACAGCCACACAAAGTTCTATCTCGAAAATAACGGGAATTCCCACTTCTAGGGAACGTAGTCAAATACAGAAATATCATGAAGTACATTCACACCCCATTTAAAAAAAAAAAGAAAAAAAGTGAGTGCAATAACCAAAAGGGAGGGTAGAAAATCGTTGGAGTGGATGGTGAGGAGGCACTCACAGAGTGCGTATGATGTGGACATAATCACAGATGGGATGGTGTAGCACCGACCGTAAGTTTTATAGGTGGAATGTCATGCCTGGCGTGGCAAAGCATTATGGGAAAGCAGGGACCCTCCTACCAAATAAAATGGCTGCATACTTCTTCTGTGGGTGATGACAGGAAGAGGATTTGTTCAGCCCTTGGATTTCTGATTATTCAAATATAATAGTAAGAGTTGTGCGGCTCCTATGACGCTGCATTGGCCCAGTATGCATTAGGCTGTATAGAATTAAAATAATGAGAGTGAGCAGTTAATTGGCATTAAGCTGATGGAGACAATTATGTAATGGATTTGGAATGTAATCAAAGGTTTCAAAAACAGAGATTCTCTATCATATATTGAACAGTTAAGATCAGGCAGGTACTGTTCTCAGTGGTGAAGGAAAATACTAAAAGCTCCTTGTGCAGCTTGAATCAAATTTTATATTATACATTTTTCGGAGAGCTGTAGAGTCCTGATAGAGGACATGTGATTCATTACAATTTTTCTCAAGAGCTTCCGCACTTGAAACATAAGAAGGCAACTTGTTTTGCGATTTCAGCTGTGACACAAAATGCATCAATGAGGCTAAAGCACACAGTGGCACCTTGAGCATTCGAGTATGTTGTGTACAACATTTCTTCAGCATGAAAGCAAATATTTTTTGTCATTCAACCATCAATCTTGAATCAGAACTGGAACCGCTACATCCTAATACCAGCCAACCTGCTGGTCTCCGTTTGTGGAAGTGCAGCTTCCATGATCCGTAGAGTAACCGGGGATCAACAGCAGCTGAAGAGTACAGGTGTAAGATTCTTGATTTCACAATACAAAAGCTGTTTGGACCCTCTAAATGTTCCGCCAGGGTCTATCTTTCATTGCTGCTCGCATCTTGTTTCATTGTTATGAAGTGAGTGTGCGTTTCGATACTCATTGCTTTATAAAAGGACATTAGAAAGATTACACAGGTCAGAGCACCTTTTGACTACAAAACATGGCTGCACACACTCCTCGGAGGCTTGTCTTTGTTCCAGTTTTGCAGAAAGATGCATTTGGTTCTCATTACCCCTCCCCCAGAAGGGATCATCTTTGAATTGTAGTCAGCACATGCACACTTGTTTCTGCCAACTCAAAGCTAGAGCGATAATCCCTTGGTTTACGATTTAGAGCACAGTTTTGCAGGGCTGTTCAGTGTAAGTTCTTGCTGGGGTTTGGATGTGATTGATATATTTTCTGGTGGTGTATCTCCTTCTTCTACATTGAAATCAATGTTCTTAGGTGTTTGAAGCTCCTGAGTGTCTACACCCCTGTGGAAGCCATTAACAAGAGGCTGCTTTAGGGGAGTTTTGGAGTCCAAATCTCTTTCTGGGCTGATAGATATTAAAGGCTGTTCACTCAAGCCATCACAGTCACTGTCCACTACCAATGTTTGTGTGACTGGGCTTGATACTAGGGTTAGATCCCCAGTAGGACCCTTGTCCTGGTCCATACTTAAATCTTCTTCCTCCTCTTCAGACTCCAGTCCGATGCAGCGCCCACTTCTCTCTGAGGCTGAAAAGTCAGAATGTACAATGACGTCCGCCTCCACTTGGTTCTGATTTGGGTTCCTGTGATTTCTGGCAATATCCAGCTGCTGAGAAGAACACGAGAAGAAGTGATTAGTGTCCATGTTCTGTGTGATATATGTTGGTTGATAACTACTTATCAAATTTATCCATTGGTTATCAAGTTAAATATCCTCTTACCTTTATTGGTTCGTATGGAAGGTCATGCAAGGTCATTCTTAGGCCTCCTAATGGTATGGAATTGGCTGAGCCATTAACTGCAGACCCTGCTTCTCCTGTAATGGTTTCTGAATAACTGGTGATGTGATTGGCCCAGTTCTGAGTAACAGATCCATTCCATGATGGCTATGGGTAAAAGACACAGTTCACGTTTTGTAAATGAAGTGGATATGTTGAATAATATGGTTCTACATTTTTTTTTGGAACACAATATACCTTTATCTTTAACTGATTCTTGTCATCCGGTGGAGGGTTTGTGACTATTCCATGCCCCCCTATTAAGTCAGTTACTTCTGGCACAGGTAGAGATGGGGGGTCTTCCTGACGAGCTGGCATAAGTGTCTCCAGCTCATGTGAGTCTTGACAGTGGCTTTGTGAACAAGACCCCTGCCTTGCTCGCTGATAAGATACAGGTCCTCTGCTGGATCGGGCCCCCAGATCAGAACCTGCCTCCCTGGGCAAAAAAAAACTTACTTATTAGTTCCATACCAAGATACAACAAACAGCTAAACAATACATAGTTCCATATATTTACATTTTTTAATGCCTTATATTCGTCACATCAAAATCCATGGATCCACTTATTGATAAAGCACATTTACAGCACACCTCAAATAATTGACCATTTACGCTGCCCATTGTTACTAATTCACTCAGGTTGATTATGAAGATAGCAAGAGGCTCATGATGGACTGAGAGATTAATTTGCATCAAGTTAACTTTACAGTTAACTTTATTTATTTATTTTTGTTAATACAGTGTCTTCTCCATAATAATTATAATCACTCGGAATGTCAATTTAAGGCAAACTAGAAAATATTTTAAATTGAGAATCACTGAGAGAACACCTAAAATAGGCCCAACCAGAATATAGTTTTTTTTCCTGCTTGCAAGTCTTCCACTATTTCAGGTCTTCAACTCTAATGTAATCAAGTGACATCATCCACATCTTCTGGAGTTATGTCAGTGTAAAATATACATGAACTATTTCAATGACCTCAGTCATCTCTGTGCTAAGGTGAATTCTCACACTCACACACAAGCTTTCAGCAGTGATGTTAACAATGTGCAGACAGGACTGCTACGAGTTGTGGGGAGATGATTTTAGTGAGGAGGAAGGGACATCTGTTGGCTTTGTATTGCATGTAATAACTAATTTAAATGTCCTAGGCTATAAAATGAGTTTGATTATATTGGCAATAGTGATGTCCCGAACGGTTCGCCGCGGACGGCGAACATATGCGCTGTTCGGTCTGCCCCCTATTCGTCATCAATGAGGAAACTTTGACCCTGTACCTCACAGTCAGCAGACACATTCCAGCCAATCAGCAGCAGACCCTCCCACCTCCTGGACATCTCACTAAGAATGCAGCTTCACAATGAATGTAAAATGGATGCTGTCCAGGAGGTGGGAGAGTCTGGGAGGGAGGGTCTGCTGCTGATTGGCTGGAATGTGTCTGCTGACTGTGAGGTACAGGGTCAAAGTTTACTCAATGATGACATAGGGGGCGGACCAAACAGCGCATATGTTCGCCGTCGGTGGCGAACCGTTCGGCGAACCGTTCGGGACATCACTAATTGGCAAGCATTATGGAAGGTAAAAATGCGCCCAGATGACATATCCTCAGGTATTTACATATATTAATATTATTATTATTATGTTATTATTTGTATATGAAAGAGTAACTGTAGGAACACCTCTTATATAAAGTATATCCATTTATGGGGACCAAAATTAAGTGAACAGTTCACAGCACATCTGTCTCTGGAAGAGGTGCATGTCAATGCAGTATTAGTTTGTGTTCAAGAGAACTAATAAAAAAGCCCAAAAGTCCTGTTGGTTCTGAGCAAAAAATACAAGGGTATCTAACTGATTCTAAAGTAGAATGCATAATGCTATAAAAAAATCTTTTTCAATTTGATTATAATCAATATGTTATGCTTGTTAAAATTATATGATTTTAAATAGCAGAATTATCAAAATTGTAGCATAGTGTAAAAGCACACTATTGAACTCAGCAAACTACTTGGTAGACTGTTAAAGGACAATGTACTGAATGAATGATAATTGTCTGCAATTTTAGAGAAAATACAATTTTCACCTGTTGAATAGATCTAGAATACCCTCCAGTAAGAAGGGGAAAACATTGTAAGCCTCTAGAATAAAACTGACAGATTACAGTTTGTCAAAAAAGAGTGCTGCTTTATGGACAAATGTGATGGAGATTAACTTGTACCAGAGTGGTGCAAAGAGGAAAGTGTGGGAAAGAAAGGGACTAACTAAAAGCAAACATGATAGAGTGCAATCACTTGAGTATGCACAGCTGCCAAGGTAATTCATTCACTTAAATGTATTTATTATATGACTGCTGACAGCAGGATATATTTTGAAGTGTACTGAAATATTTTACCAGCTCAGATCCAACCATAGCAATATAAACATAATGCTATATTAACAATGGAGATTTCAAGGCCACACAAAGCAATGTTCTTGGCTAGCCGAGTCAGTCACCTAACCTGCATTCAATAGAACTGGTAGAGACAGTAAGGCAAATTACTAAAGGAACACTTCAATATCATAAAGCACGTCAGCTTGCTTCAATAGAAATCGGCACTTTTATAAATGAGTCTTGTTACACCCCCTGGCTGTCAATCAGGCAGCAAGTTCTATTACTTCCTGGTTTGGTTAGCTCAGTTGAGCTAAACTCAAGAGGCAGCAATTGCTCACAGCACTTTGCAAAGACTTGTCCATAGGTCCCAACTTTGGTGTCCCATATGGCCAAATGAGGGCGAATGTGCAGGGAGTACGGTTTCAATGCATGGTCCAGGTGACCTGAGGGTAGAGCAGACATGTTTAGTGATGCACTTGCTCTACACTTTTTAGGACAGTTCTCTGGTGTCTGCAAAAGTCGTACACCAGGGAGCTGGGACTGCAGGACAGGACCCTAAAATTGGGACTGATTGGGAGGCCTGTTTCATAATGAGCTTTAATACAGCTCAATGAGATATCTGTGATCTGACAGCCACAATCTGTGCTGGGGATGATAGGGTGGGCTTGTATTATCTGCAGATACAAGATCTACAGCTACTGCAAGCCACAATGTCATATACCTCCAAAGAAAATATATAAAACAAATTACCTGCATACTTTCTTTGGAGATTTATGTGTTCCTTTAATGTCTGTTGATGTATTGGGTAGCATAAATCAGATGTATGATTTTCAGCCAACATCTGATTGTGACTATATTAATTAAACAAATTACTTTTATTCCTCTAAAATGGAGGGAATATATATATATTTAATAGGGTCATCATTTTTAGATGTAAATAGCCTCAATTTAATGCTAACAATATAAACTTGGTACTTTTGAGTCTGCTAGTGCAGAGCCAAAATAACAAAATGTGCATTACTGTCCAAATACGTATGACTTCACTGTAACTGATAATGAGAGTTATAAGGTTAGCTATATGATGCTCTCTGACTAGTTGTGTTCATATATTCAAATCAACAACATGTGAACCAAGAGGAAGTAAAGGACTATTTTTTTGCGTACAGCGTACCTCTGTTTTCCCTGCTGAAAGCTGGCACACATACAGAGCAGAAAGCACAGAAGGCATAAACAGACACCCACGATGATCCCAGTTACCGAATTCATATCCAGGACATCTGCTTTGGAGAGAAAATGGTTGAAATACCTTTTGTATACGACACATAGATATATACATTATTATTGGTGGTAGAATGGAATCATGGTACACATGCAAGCGAAGGATTTATACCGGGGATACATGTATATGAAGAATTTTGGAAAGCCTAACCTTCAGTACCCGGCGATCGTGTTGGCATAGTTTCCACTTCTTTCAAACTGGAGTATGGTCCCAAACCTGACACAGTCTTTGCTCCCATCTTAAAGTAATATTTGGTCCCACTTTGCAAACCTGACACATCTGTGCTGAAAACGTTACCTTCAAAATACCAGATTACTAATTAATTCCAAATTCTGCGAAGTACCCATTATGCAAGCATTATATGTATTATATATTCACTACACAATGTGCTGACCTATCATTAGATCCAATGGCGAATCATGAACACATTATCCATTAACTTGCAGAAACAGTACCCAGAAATCCGTCACACCCAGTACATGCCACAAATGGTACACATGCATGCGTTTTCTTAAAGGGACACTATAATCACCAGAACCACTACAGCTTACTGTAGTTGCTTTGTTGTCTACAGCCTGTCCTTGCAGTATTTCTAAGGTAAACACTGCCTTTTGCGAGAAAAGGTTTACTTTTCAAATAAAATCCAGTGTTTACATTGCTGAAATAGAAAGCAAAGAATTGACTATGCTATATCACTACTGTGAATTGCTCTATATATTATACATTTCCAATAACCAGCAACTAATGATATATATAAAACACCATATTTGAAAATACAATCACCCTCACCACAATAAGGGGAAGGTGATGACAAAGTTTAAAAAGGAAGAAAAACTCTTAGAGTTGTATATATAAAATGACAATTTATTAATTTAAGAAAGTAAATCATAATTGATACGTACAAAGTTGCAAATATTGAGATTATGTATCATGATTAATTCTGAAAGTGGAGCAATCAGTAAGTTCATTCCATTGGTTTACATGATATTGCTCTTGGAACTGCTTTTACGTATGGCTCCTTTACGATTATTAGTGATCAATGATCACAAGTGATCTCTCACCTTCTTTGATCAAAACAGTCCACTTTTCATCTGGATAGCTGCTGTTGTAGCTGAACATGATCAGGTACTGCACAATTATTCCATTGGACTCCATAGGAGGGCGCCAGTGTACCTGAACTGAAAACTGTGACACAGGGTGTACCTCCACATCAGAAGGAGGCGAGTAGGGTCCTTAAAAAAAAAAAAACAGATGAATGAGAAGAGGAAGATTTAGAACAAGACCATGAATGGTTGCGAGATATAATTTTATTTTCTACTTTGAACAATTGCTTTTTTCTACGTTTAGCACCACTATGTTTTTACTGCTAAAGGGATGGACCAGTTTGTGTCATATTCGATATTATTAATTGATATATGCTCCTCTTCACTTTTGTTTTTTGTTAGAAAAATAAAAGTCACAAGTCATATTTCGTATAGTTACAAAGGACCTTTTCAGTGTATGCGTTCAACTCAAACCCCAGTTCCATGGTCAGTTATTCCTATGAAATGAGCAGTGTTTTCTTTCATATATACACTGCAAAAATTCTAAATACAACATTTTTGTTTTTGCCCCCATTTTTCATGAGCTGAACTCAAAGATCTAAGACTGTTTCTATGTACACAAAAGGCCTATTTCTCTCAAATATTGTTCACAAATCTGTCTAAATCTGTGTTAGTGAGCACCTGTCCTTTGCCGAGATAATCCATCCACCTCACAGGTGTGGCATATCAAGATGCTGATTAGACAGCATGATTATTGCACAGGTGTGCCTTAGGCAAAGGAGAAGTGCTGACTAACACAGATTTAGACAGATTTGTGAACAATATTTGAGAGAAATAGGCCTTTTGTGTACATAGAAAAAGTCTAAGATCTTTGAGTTCAGCTTATGAAAAATGGGGGCAAAAACATAAGTGTTGCATTTATATTTTTTTCCAGTGTAGTTCATATGATATTGACATCAAAGTATTAATGAATAATATGAATGAGTAAGCTTGGCATTTTTGTTGATGATTGCAATCAAAAGCTACATAACAGAAATTGGTAAAGAAAGCACAGTTCTGGTATGGGGAGGGGATGGGGGTCTGATGATCTGAATACCATATATATCATGCTATGTCACTACTTTCAATTATCCTCGGAAAAACAATTATCTGAAGATTTTGGTAGAAATTATCACACCACAGAACTTCTGTTACAGTATGTGCTAAAAAAATTAAACACAGCCTTTTTCCCCCAAAACGCATAACATGTCTCGTGGGCACCAATAATATCTATAATAATGTCTTAACACTCTTGTGTTTTGTAACACTGATATTTCGGAGCTAATGGTCATTACCGCCTCCAATACTGGTATAACAGACAAAAAAGAAATCCTACAAAAACTTAATCTGCTGTTTTTAAAATGAACGAATCTGCAGGTTTTTCTGCAGTGATGGCTAGATAGATCAATACATGGGTAGATAAATGGATAGTCTCAATATTGCAGTGATTGTGATTTTACAAAGTCTATTATAGTTGAATATAGACTGGTTATGCTTGTATACACTGCCACCTAGTGATAAAGTACTACATTACAATTAGCAACAGATACACGTTTAGTTAGTAAACTCAGAGTGAGTGAGAATTCTTATAAAGAGTCATGAAGAACTAGTTCTGGAAATTAGAAAATAAACTGAACAAACCCACCTCTGAGGTAATATTTTTAGAGATATTACCTGTGCCATGCACTACAGTGGAAAGACAATTCGAGATGAAAATACAATTTTGCCCCTTTATAAATCAATTATAAGGCCAGACCTTGAATATGCTGTGCAATTTTCTGACTGTCATTCTGGGGTCGAGAAGGGATTTTTTCCCTAGTTTGTTGCATAATTGGAAAAAGCTTCACACTGGGTTTTTTTGTCTTCTTTAGGATTAACAGAGGAAATAGATGGGAGAAAGGTTGAACTTAATGGACCGAAGTCTTTTTGCAGCCTATTTAACTATAAATTTAAAGTGAATTTCACGTTTAAGTCCAAAGTAGCACGTGACTGGAAGCATATTCAAAGACAGTTCAGCCGTATCGTAGGTCCAACATGGGCTTAAAGGGACTCTCCATTGCCAGGAAAACACTCTCCCTCCCACCTCCCATCCCCGGTTGCTGAAGGGGTGAAAACCCCTTCAGTCACTTACCAAAGCCAGCGACGATGTCCCTCGTCGCTGCTTCTTCCTCCACCGCCGCTCCTCCCCTTCATTACGTCAGCCGGCGGGGGAGAGGTCTAATGCTCCATAGGAAAGCATTGAAAATGCTTTTCAGTACTTTCCTATGGGGATTTTAGCTACGCTGGAGGTCCTCACACAGCGTGAGGACGTCCAGCGACGCTATAGCACAGGAAACCTGTGCTATGGACCAGGAAGTGCCCTCTAGTGGCTGTCTAGTAGACAGCCACTAGGGGAGGACTTAACCCTGCAAGGTAATTATTGCAGTTTATGAAAACTGCAATAATTACAGTTGCAGGGTTAAGGGTAGTGGGAGTTGGCACCCAGACCACTACAATGGGCAGAAGTGGTCTGGGTGCCTGGATTGTCCCTTTAAATGATGGTGAACTGGGATGCGGTTGAATTCTATGAGAGTTCTGCCACTCATTAAACCACCATCTGTTAAGCACAATAATTGTAATTTTGATTTTATACGAATATTCCAGACTCTGTGTGACTCATTTATAGTATAACATTTTAAATTGCCCTAATATTTCAAAAAAGGGTAAACGAATAAATGAAGAAAAATAAATGGTGTAAATTTGCATAAATTTAATTGTTATGTTTGTCTCAACATCACCCAATGCACAAAACTTTATCCTACGTTTTGTTTATATGTTAGCTGTGCATCCTATGTTTCAAATAAATATTACGCTAATATTCAAACAAAAACTGCATGTTACTGAAGGGGTTTAGAATTAAATGCAAAGCCAGAGAAATCTCAGGGAAGTTCTAGTTCTGCAACATCTCTGCATTATCAATTTTGAAAATCCAAAACAGCTGTTCAACTTCCCGTTATTGACTGCGGTGTTACAATTGCAAGAATACAATTTCAACCATGTACAATTTCTAACATGAAATTAATAATCATGTGAATATAAAAATGCTAGTAAGCTCAAGAAGACCAGTATTGATAGGAAAAGCTGCGGGTTCCATAGAGCCTGATGCTCTTTCAACAGGAACAGATGAAGAATCGAGTGTGATGGAAGGAGATGAAGCTTCCTGTTGGTCCTCCAGAGTGAGTATGAGTGCAAGTGTATCATTCAGTGATTCATGCTCTTCTGTGTAATATCAGCTGGATCCAAATGAAGCAAGAAATCTGTTAAAGTCATCCCCATATCCACCCTAACACCCCAAAAACCCATCAATAATCATCAGCTCCATAATCCCACCTATACACATGTGCCTCTCCGATACACATCTATACACACCACCTCTCAAATGTCCACTATGTACAACCACCATCCTCTTAGCCACCAACTTACACAACTATAAACACCTATATGCCCACCTTTGCCGATACCACGCTACCTCTAGAATCACTCACATGCCAACCTGTAACTATACAATACAATAACATGCCCCACCACCCAAACACTCTAGCAGGCAAAAATAAATAAATTAATGTATCTCCAAATGTCTCAGACTGTTTACTGTGATGGCCATCAACTCCCTCCAAGCTCGCTGGGTCCATGGTTCTCCAGCCTTTGAACATGGTTGGACTCAGAAGTTCATCAAAAAATGGTCTACTGCCAGAGACCTTTGGCTATTTCAAGATTTGCTTCACACTTTTTTTTTTTTTTAACTCAAAGCACTTTTAGATCATTTTCTGTCATCTTGCAGTCACACAGTCCATTATGCTTTTCTACAACTGATTTTTCTTGTTACTTGTTGCTGTCTTCGTATACATTCCATAAAATTTGCCAACGTATTGATACGACCTATTAATGAATGTCTCCAGCACAGCAAAACTGAATTTATGTTTGTGTTTTCCTTCGCACACAAAATGTGGCAGCCAGATGTAAAACTGCTTGTGTCACAAGTGTAAGATGTAAGTCTTTATTTAGTAGGGATGTGCGTACACATTTTTTTGTTGTTACTATGGGAATAACTTGGACGTTCTCTAAAATACAGGCATATCACAAGTGGATTTAAATTGCAAATATTTAAGTAAATTACTTGCATATGTAAATGTAAAGATGGTGTTTTTCCTGAAAAGTTGTTAATATACTTGGTTGTCTAGCTAAGCTAAAACAGCTACTCATTCCCTCTAAGACAATCAAGGTGTGTAAATGCATTCAGAGATCACAATGTCTTTAAAGCTGATAGGATGAGGGTGGAGTCTGCAGCCGCACTGACAGGTTGCACATTTTGGGAGCTTTGAGGTAAAAAGCTATGAAAAAGCTTAAATTGCTCGATTCAAGCCTGAATTCTACATTACGGAATTATCCCGTATTATCACCACAGTGGTGCCACTATCCGTGATCCAGACCGAAATCGGCGGCTTCAATGGAGAGCAGACTTGCGGCCAGAAGAGGCCTACATACGCTGGGGGAGTTGGCTGATCCTTCAGCATGATTCTGTCCACTACTCATGCAGTCTCTCCTTTCAGCTCTCCCCCCTCCTCTGCTGGTGAGGGATATCCCGACACCCTCTCCAGCTGTAGTGATGAATTGCCAGCAACTTATCAGCAGAAGCAGCCAACCTAACGCGACCAGCAATGTCTCCACGAGCAGCACAGGGAATGAGGTCCTGAGCCTTGTCACATCTGGACAGCCTCTTTGAATAATTCTGGCTGAAGCTGCACCCCAGGCACCTCACACCTGTCCTACAGATCTTCCCATCTCATTCATCTATGCAGTCTGCCCAACGTCCTCGGGCCCAATCTGTGGTCTCCAATCCTCGGAAGGCATTCCCCACTTCCAGTTGAAACACTTAAAAAAATTGTAAGTAGAGTGGCAGGAGGTTGTTATTGTACTCCTTTTGTTGATAATATCTGGGTGGACTGAAGGTATGGGGCAAAGTTTCTCTTTACCAAGAGATGGAGGTTTTTTGTTCTCTGTTTATAGATATGATTAACCCCTTAAGGACACATGACATGTGTGACATGTCATGATTCCCTTTTATTCCAGAGGTTTGGTCCTTGAGGGGTTAAGGGAGTTGGGAGATGCTAAAATGATCCGGCATGGGGTCAATATCCCCAGACCTGCAATTAGATATGTCATACATGACAAAGTGTGCAGAAGTGTGAGTAAAGATATCATCCTACAGGATGTGTGAGCCAAATAAGACACCTTCACACCCTCCTCTGGTGCCACAGTAGTATACCTTATGGTCCATTATATCCAAGTTTGCAACTGTCAATTAATGATGATGATGACGATGATGATGATAATATATTGATTACTGCAGGATCTAACCCTCCCGTGATATTCCTGACCAAAACCAAGGTGCAACTGGAAATCTCCTCATTTGATCCCCAATGCCCATGTGTAACACATAACATATATGATAGTGGGAGATAGGGGTGTCCTTAGCCAAAGAATGCCCTGATCCAGTCAAACACCTTGTTGGGGCAATAATCTATTTGAAAAGTGTTACTACTGAAATGCAAGTGAGTGGTTCTGATTATAGGTTTCTTTTGAATTGTATTACTAAGTGGCAAGATATTGATTGGGAAAATGTATCTGCTCATTTGAAAACACAGAATGATAGTTCAGAAGTCAGAGCTAATTATATTTGGACAAATGCAGCTATGGAATGACTGTGCAAGTTTTTGAAAAGGATATAAGAGAAAATGATGCAGCTGGTATATTCCCCAGCAATGTAAAGGATGTTTTCAGGAGGTAATAGAGGACGGGGCAGATTCAGAGAAGCAAGTAGAGGAAGATATGCAAGCAGAGATAGCAGATTATTGAGAGCCCAGCATGATAGACCAGTCAATCAGCAAGAGAGAGGTGCATGCTTTAAGTGTGGTCAGCACAGTCACTGGCATAATGAATGTCCAAATTCTGGTCCCATTCACACAAAACCTGCCTAACAAACCCAGCCTGCCCCCCACAATACCCCTATGACTTTCACTACCACCCCAACTATAATAATAACCAATAGTCCCTAGCTTGTTTGTTAACCCAGCTTTCAAAAAGGTGGAATACACTCCCCATGGTAACTCTCCATGTTCATGGAATCTACTATGATTTTCTTATATACACTGGTGCTACCAAATCCAGTTTGTCACATAAATTTTACCATGTTCCTGTTTCCTACAAGTGAATCCTCTCTTGGTGTAAGTGGGGCCCCCAATGAAGGTTCTAGAACACCTCCACTGTCCAGTCAATTTGCTTGGCCATGACTTAATGGCACATTTTAAAATGGCAATGGATATGGCAATGGAGTGCTAACTTGACACATCTCCCATATCAAACTCACTCAGTGCCCTGTCATATGCTCTATGGGAAAGTTCTTCCACTGTCCCTGATTACATACCCTGCACTCTATACTAGGCCACTTTCAAACCAGGTGCATCTTCTGTGCACACTTAATACCCTCCATCACAAGACAAGGAGGCAGTCATAGCCCCAGTCACACCAGAGTTACTACAGAAAGGCATCAATGAACCAACACACTCACCATACAATAGACCTATTAATCCTGCCCCAAAGCCAAACAAGGCTGAGTATAGGTTCACACAAGATTAGCGGATGGTTAATTCTATTGTCCAACCGCTGGCAGCTATTGTAACTGATGTTAATTCTCTTCTTACTTCCATTCCATTTTCTAGGATCCCTGTACACCCTGACACAAAACCACTGCTTTCACATACAGAGGCAGTCAATAAGCATAGAGCCTACTTCCCCAAAGCTACTGTGACTCCTCCACAGCCTTCTCAGCAATGGTCGATAAGACTCTTGAGTCACGGGCCTCCCCATGTAGCTCTACGTTGCTTCAATACATGGATGACCGTCTGCTGCGCAGTCAGATAAAGACAATTGTCATAAGGATTCCCTTCACCTACTGCAACACATGGCCGATTGTGGTCATAAGGTTTCTCTTAAAAAAGCAATTATGTTTTCCCGAGGTAAAATATTTGGGATTTATCATGAGTGAAGGTCAGAGAACTTTGTCTTGTGATAGGATTGCTGCCAACCTAGCAGTGTCTCGCCCCTAGCCATAATGTCCTATATAGGCATGGTTACCCATCAATTTCTACTCCATCTCTACGTAGTGTAAGTATCTTTAAACTAAGTTTGCTTTTATTTTCACTTTATAACTCTTGCTTAAACAAGTGCCAATGTACCTTTAGGTGTTGCTATAATACAGGCAGTACTTGACAGTACTGTACCATATATTGCTGTTCCAGGAGATATGTAGCAACAAAAAAAAAAATTTAAAAAAAAAACCACTTCGTATAAAAGTATTTATACATAAAAATACATGTAATACATTATAAAGTTTTGTGAACATCAGCAAGATGAAATGTTTAGCTAAGCATGCTGGAAATTAAACAAGCTACCGTGATGTTTAAATAAGTACTACAGTTGGAGCATTTACCAACTAAACTGGTTAATCAGCAGTGTTAAGAGGCATTGTAGAAAATAAACAAAATACAAAAAATCAATTCATCAATCTCTCTTACTCACTGTCTGGAAGTGTCATTTTCTCCACTGTATTACTAAATGGGCCATCAATGCCGATTCCACTGGACTGAACTGCAAATTCATACTTGGTATAAGGTTTCAGGCCAGAGATCAGAATCTCCTCGGTGAGACTGAGAACAATGAAACAATATAACTCATGAATGAAACAAATCTCAACATGTAAAACAATTTATTGTAATAGAAAGTGCCAGAACTCTTATTTTTGTTTCTGGATGATTATGTCATAGGCAAGTATGGTCCTTTTGTTACCTGCTGTGATACGTGGTTAGTGAGTTGTTTTTGGCTCCCAGGAGGCCACAGCGCACCGTGTAGTTTACAATTTTGCTGCCAGCAAAAGGTGGCCTCCTCCACCTTAACCACACCGAAGTAGAGCTATTGGAATCAGCCTCTATGTGAGTTGGAGGCATTGGGGGAATCTTCTGCTTCATAAGGTCTGCAGTAGAAAGAGGTATGCACGTCTATAACATCATTTGATATATTAGTAACCTATGTTAACTATTTTATTGCTGAAGTGAAGTGATGCAAAGTAGTGTGGATAGCTAACACAATACGCTCCCGTAAAACTACCTACCTGGTGGTGAGGATGGTAATTGCTTGGTTATCCCTTCCCAAACTGCTGTTTGTCCTTCTTGCTTTTTGTAGTATGCTACCAGCTTGACTTGGTACAGCTGCCCAGGCACTGCCAAACAGATAAGTTATGTCAAGGATTTGGGAAGTAGCTAATAATAGGGGTAGCCTATACACAATCCTACACTGTCAGAGATATTCATTGACGTATGATTTGTTGTGAATGTCAGATTTCAGGCGACAAATAGCCAAACTTACAAACATTTTGGCTTTCTTAGCCTCAAACATGGAATTCTATCTGAATTCTTAACAAGTCACACCTACATTACATAAGATAGAAGATGAAATCTGTTAAAGAAGCGGTGAGATGCCATTAAGTGAAACTTGTAAATCACACCAAAGTTATGTTAGTTTGTAGGATTGCTATGTATCATATAGAGAGGTCTATGTCATATAGTCTAGCCTTGCATGTCACATGGTTGGATCGGTGTAAGATGGTTGTATTTGCTCTACTGAGTGGTCAGACAGATAAGTATATAAGTCCTAATGATAAGTTAGTAAAATAGCCTTGTATGTCCTATCATAGGGTCAATGAGTTTTAAAAAATAGAAAACATACTCAGCTGAGTTATTTCGTATTGTCTTCGCCTCTTCTTCAGTTTGATTGGTCCCATGTCCCAGGTCTTCCCATGCTGTGAGCAAGGCCCACCCAACTCCAGAGAAGGACACACCATGCGGCAATACAGCCTGAAACCAGAGACCAAGTGCTCGCTGTGGGGAAGCTGCCAGCTGAGAGAAAGTGAATTGGTGTGGGCACTTACTTTCAACTGCATTGGTGATTGATCGACTGCATATACAAAGGGAAGCAAAGCAGAAGAAAAACAAATATCATTGTCTAAATTTTTTCTGTAGATTTTCTCATGAGGTTGTGTCCAAAACTGACCATATAAATCCCTCATGGAATAGCTTTGACAGTTACAGTGAGGCCATCAGACAATCTATATATATTTTATTTATTTTTTAAGAGCGCATGTGCTTTTGTTTATAATTTTTTATCTATTCAGCAGTTTGTTCTTTTCATTATTAATGAAAAGGAAATCAAACATTTCTAGCTAGTATCTTTTTTTTCTTGGACAAGCACTGTTAGAAAATATGAAATAAACACAGAAGTAAAAATTACAGAAAAAAATAGGTGAATTTAAGATTCTTGACTTGGATAAACTGCCAGGCTTATACACAGTGGAATTCTGGGAACTACTCAGCAAATTGGAAGCCATCATGACGTGCACTCTTGTTTTGGATTTATATTTTTTAACAGTAAAAGTTACTGAGGATTTGGTGAGACAATTCCAAGGAGCCCATCTCCACAGCCAAACTGCACACGTGAGATCTTCAAATGGTGTCACATATGGGCTAAATATGTTACCGTCCTGAAAGCAGTTCTAATGTATTGGGAATTTGTTTAAAACAAAAACTCATTAGAGGCACTTTAGGACACATCTACTATCTATGACAAAATACTAAAATCTCACACTGAGCTAGAAAGAACACTGAATGCTCACACCTAGCTAGACACAATTAGGAATGTTAACACCTTGATAGACACATTACTAAATGCTCACAATACTCAATGGTCATATCTGACTAAACAAAATATTGAAAAATCTCACCTAACTAGACACAATACTGAATAATCTCACCTAACTAGACACAATAATGACTGTTCACACCTTGCTAGACACAATACTAAATGCTCACATTTAACTAGACACGATACTCAATGGTCATACCTAACTAAACAAAATACTGAATAATCCCACCTAACTAGACACAATACTGACTGTTCACACCTAACTAGACACCATAACGAATGCTCACACCTAGGTATATGAAATTCGGAACATCCAAGTCTGGCAAGGCCCACTTGAATTATCACACAATGCAACTAACTGCAAGAACTGCACACAGCCAGAGTGTTTACACCCAGCATCACCGAACATTTCCTCAGACCTTGTGTCTGATTGTCCAGATCTGGAGTTTGGTGTTGAATCCATTCAGAGAAGGTTCCAAATCCTGCCGACGTGCTAGCCGAGATCCGCACTTTGTACATCTTGTTTGGCAGCAATGGGCTAAGTGTGACCTGCGTCTCATTCCCACCAATGTCCACAGAGGTGATAACATCTGTACATAGACAAGGAAATATCTTTACTGGGAAAATCAAATTAAATAATTTCACACTATACTTTTTTCACAGGATCATAATAAAGTTACTCAACACAAGGTATAACAGATGTTACCTCCATGTGAAAATGTAATTCTATGGAACACATTTAAGGCAGAGTAATACTATTATGAATGTAATATGTCAGAATAGGGCATTGTTGGAGTTTGTGAAATGCAATATAAATTTTCTGATTATTTTCCAGAGTCCTCATTGCACATTTCATTACAGCTGTTCAGTAAACCTGATGTGGAACCAGCACATAACTTCGAAGCGATAGCTTTGCAATAACAGTAAGCAGCACACATACCCTCCCGCTGGGTGTAGTATTCAATGCGGTATTTTATAATGTGCCCATTGCTAAGCTCCGAGGGGAGATGAAGCCAGCTGACGTGGATATCAGTTGGGGAGTCGCTGATCAGAGACAAAGAGGGCGCAGCAGCGGGAACTAATTGACAGAGTTGGATCAAAAGAATGAGATTAATATATACTACTGGCATACTAAAAATGTTACTGTTACCACACTCAGATGATCAGTTAAAGAAGCATTCACATTTTTATTTTAGTTATATTAAAAGAACATTTGAACAGGGTGCATGCCTTTTTTCCCCTTAAGGAAAAAACTTCCACGTATCAAGTAGGCTGGGGGATGCCATATTTTATCCTTATGTGTGAATTTTCTTTTTACTGATCAGCTGAATTCATATGGAGGACTTTTTGATTTTAAATGGATCAATGAGAGGTATACAATTCATAACTGGCAAAACCCTTACCTTTTGCATACATATCTGAGCTCATCTCAGTGTGCTATTTCATATAATATAAAAGACATTTATATTAAGACATTCTTATCATATTTTGATTGTGCTACTGAGCAAACATCTTCACAAACACTAATAAAAATCCAATGCAATCCATTTATCTGAGCAGAGTCTCTAAATGCTCTGAAAACAAAATGACCACATTGAAGTAAAAGCAATCATGCTATACATCACAGCTCAAACGTCCAACACAACTAACCAGGCCTAAAAGTTACCTGCCACTGCAAGCCTGGGGGGTGCATTGCACCCTCTCCAGGGGTGAATTTATACTCAGCCGCCACAGTAAGTTTTCACTTGCCAGTAGCTAGTGGGCAAGTGGAAATTTTGAGGCCTGTAGTATGTATCTTGACAGTACAGATAATGTGAAAGTGACATTTCACATTAAAAATTATTGTGTGCTCCCAAAGACTGATTTGCACCATAACAACTACAATAAGTTTATGGGTGTCTCTAATATATTGCTAACTAATACATATGAAATTGTGTTTTCTTTCCCTGCCTTGTTACATTTTTAGGACTCTTTAGGACACATTAGTAGACTAACTGTTAGAATAGTTTTTGAGATACTAGGGCAGGGTCAGCCTTGTATTGGAGTCCCAGGTGTCCAGGATGCCAAAAATCATTAATTGTCTTAGGTTCCATTAGCCAGGGCTCCTTTATGGGCAACAAGCTGTGACCCTGGACATAGACCACTTGACAATTGTGCTTTAGGCAGATGATGGTTGTCATTTTGATGCATAGTGTTTGTATTTCCAAACTTTTCCAGCAGGCACCTTTACCATTCCATGTACAGTTTCACTCCATGTACTATATCTGATAAATTCACTTAGCAGCAGACCTTGTTCATTCTAACGAGATATGACTGTACCTTAACGAGGTGTACAAATATTAGGAATATTCTGCATGGAATTAAAGTGTGACATGAAATTGCTGGGGTGTCTCAAGCAAATGTTTGGGAATCAAACATATTTTTCAAGTTATCTCAGAGGATATTCGTAACTTTAAAAAAAAAAAAATTAAATACTGTATTAAGGTATATTTTAATGTTTTTAATTCAATTTTTTTAGTGAGCAAACAATCACTTGATGACTAGTTAAACGGCTTTAAATATATTTTTTTGCTTTACTTTATTAATAACTAATTAATAAATGAATGCAGACAATGCAAGTAGTACAAAAAGGCACCTATTAATAAACGGAAATACTATTGAGCGCAAAAATGCATGTACAACCCACAAAGGCAGATCATCTCCTTCTTCACAATATCATACATACTTTTATTCAAAGAAATGAATTCACACTTTTGTAAAGTTCCTGTTTACATTGCTTTTCCACATCTATCAACTCAAAATCTATTAAGCTTTACTACATAACATAATGCACTTAAAACTTTTGTTCAGTGTTCCCTGCTTTTCTTGTTTCCCAGGTTCTTGCTAAACCTATTTGTATATAACCCAATTTAAATTCAACGCATTTTGTTCCATACCATCATCCCAGGTCTGTGCGGTGACTGGGTGTGAGGCGCGACTTGCACCCTGTTGGGAATAAGCAACCACATAAAAAGTGTAATTGCTTGCAGGTTCTAGGTCTCTCAAATGAAATTCTGTGGTGTCATTATTGACGGCAAACTGATACTCCATATTTTCAGATCCTGGAAGAAAAGGATAAGTTTACCATAGTATTTAGTCGAAAACTATGCAGTTAACATCAGTATTCAGCACTCCATATTGTTGTAGCCTGACAAAGACAGGTGGGTTTAACATAATATTTTGTGGTAACAAGAGAAGTACAGTGCCAATTAAACCAGTCTGGTCCAAAAGTATTGGTAAGCCAGGAAATGAAACAGCTGGATTCCAGCTACTGTAGACTACAACTTTAATTACTGTAAGTCAGGTTTAAAAAATGTTTTTGCTCACTTGTGCTATTACAAAGAGAACCCATACCATCTGTATATCAGACTGATCCCACACATAAGGGTAGTACAGAACTAGCAAGTCCTCTTGCATGAAGAAAAAAGCAATCCTGGACGATCATTTTGACCTTCTTTGACCTTTTCAGCGAGGTCTAGCTGATACCCATCTAGGCAGAGTGAGCACGGGTTCCACGTCTAAATTACCTTTAAACTTATGGAGAGCCTAAGCAAATGCATCCAAAGTTGAAAGGGAAATTTAGACGTGGACCCTGTGCTCACTGTTCCTTCAGGGGTATCAGCTACATCTCGCTGATGAGGCCCAAAAAAGGCTGAAACGATCATCTGGGGTTGTTGTATCTCTTATGCAGAGAGGAAATGCCGGCATATTCTCTGTTTTTGTCCCCCACTAGTGATTTAAGTAAAAAGAAGAGATCCTGGCAGATTATAGTAACATTAGTCTAACGTCTTTCAGCATATTCCATACCGATCTCCATTTTGCTGTGGAGAGATGGCATTTTCTTTGTCTTTGTAATATTTTTCCCACATATGGTGCCCTTCTCCCATATGGTCCACAGAATGTGTCTCTAAAAACACGTAAACATATTGTTCCAGTGCATTTTGTACCATTCCTTTCTTTTTCCAGCAGATCTTAAAATATATATTTTTTCTTCAGTTCATGCGTTCATTCCTGATGTGAGTATTGTAATGTTTTACAGGGGTTAATATGGGTGTTCTCACTTTTTACAAGTCAAATAATTTACCATCTTTGTTTGCTTTAAAATTCTTCAATTATCACGTGTTCAATATGCATAAGATTTAATGCTATCCTACACAAAATTTTGCTACCATCTTTCTGTTTTTCTATTTCAGTGCTTTGGATGTTTGGCTGCTATTTTAATCATATTTCTTAAAGAATTACTTTAGTGATGTTTTGTGGGATTTTGTGAGGTTTTGTATAATTTTGTCGACTGCCATAAGCCAGTTGCGTGCTTTGGAACATTAGAAGACTTACCTCCAGTTTTGGTGTAGTGAAGAGAGAATCCTATGACCCTTTCCGAGTTGCTCTCTGGTTGCTCCCAGTTAACAGTCACTGCCCTGCTGGATATGGCCACTGCCTTCACTGCTTGCGGTGGTCCAGGCAGACCTTGGTGCACCGTCACATACAGTTTTGCAGTGGCACATGCCCTACCAAGGCCATTCTCTGCTACACACTGGTAATAGCCTGCATCCTCCAGAGCAATCTGTGTAATGACCAGGCTGCCACTGGCCTGAATTCTCACTCGCCCATTGGAGTGTAGTGTATGCCCATTCTTTAACCAGGAGATTGTGGGCTCTGGATCCCCATCTACTCTGCACACAAAACGAGCAGTGCCAGCTCGCGCCCTTGTTATTGTCTCCGGCACCTGAATGATAACTGGGGGGACTAAAAAAACAAACAAACAAGAATAATATCAGAGGAGAGAATGATATAACCAAGCCATAGCATCAGCATGCAGCCAATTATACATAGCATGGGAGCCTGACAGAATGCTTGCTACCTCATTTTGCATATTGCAGTAAAGTTATGTAATGCCTAACTGTTGTGAGTAATGACCCATTCAAATAACACACTGTGAGCTATATCGGTATGTGTGCACTAACTCCTCAATATTTTACAACTCTTTTTTTCTCAGTTAAGTGATTAAAACTGTGTGCAACCCTCCACCCCTGGTACTGAGAAGGGTAATCTGGCATAACTTTAACATTTATTTACAATTCTAGGTTTATGGAATAACCCAGTAAAACACATGGAAAGATGCAACATATCCAGAGTAACAAATCATTTGACAGATTAAACTAGCCTTTCATTACACCCTTTGTTTGCCAGTGTGCTCTGAAGCTGTATTGCAATGATGATGCACTTTAACTAGATATTCTGTTTAAGAGCAAGCAGAGGGGTATAGCAGTGCATTACTTACTCTGGCACTTAAATTAATTATGCAGGATGTATACGACATGTTTACTGGTTTTGCGGTCATGTCTAGTGCATTATTTACATTATAATCTCACTGGAGTTCTGGTCATATTCTGATTGGTTGACGTTTCAGTGGTGCATTTTCTTTGCAAAAAAATACTGCTCACCCAATACACGAAGCTGCCCTGCGGCTGTGACAAAATGTTTGCTAAGAGGCTTGTTGGCTCGGCATATGTAAATCCCTCCATGATAAGGCTGGGCTCGTGGAATTAGGAGATTGGCCTCTCCCAGTATGATGACATCAGCAGAGATGGGCATATCGTCTATAAAAGAGAGACAGCATTTACATTAGATGAGACTCCGAAGTGGGATTATTAGCCTATTTTATGTCTATTTATATTATATCTAAACGCATATTAAGGTTGAGTTACACTTCAAATAGACACATATGGAGTTATTCACTAAACTGGAAAATGTGTCAAATTAACATGGGAAATGCATTTTTTAGACTCATATTGTTGAATTGTAAACATTGTCTAACTCTTCTGTTTGTACTTAAACCGTGTAGTTCCCTTGTCAATTTATTTCACTTTACAAGTTAACAAAGAGAGCCCATAGTTTGGATTACCCAAAGTCATTATGGAACAGTGTAAGGCATGGTTGTGGTTATGATTCTATCAGAAATTTAGTATAGCCCATTTTTTAATCAAACTGCGGGTTCTTCTGCAACCTCTGAGCTGATGTAGAAGATTCAGTTCTACTTCATCTGTCCAAAGCTGTGCAGTTTTGGATTGCAATGATAGGCTGCGATTGTTGAACACAATTAAATGCCCTGATTAACATTGAGTCAACTTGCAAACTGCTGTTCGCCCAGACTAGCAGTCAATCAAATTACTTACCCTGCCGAATCCATGAGATCAAAGCTGTCCCACTTCCCTCAGCACTGCACTCCATAACTGCACTCTGACCTACTTCCACTGTCACATTTTGGGGAGGTAGGGTGATGGTCAGCTCCTCAGTCGATAGTTCCAGATCTGCATAGGAGCATGAAGCTAGTTAATGAGAGGCGAAGGACAGGAAAAAACGAATGTTACGTGTCATGTGTCATATGCGATAGTTTATTATATTATACTTCACTGCCGTTGAAGGCAGAATATTGTAAAGAACAGGTACATTTCAACACATTCACCATTAACATAAATATTGGAACTTCCCTAAATCCACTCTTTAAAAAAAAAAAAGGAGCTAGTAGAATTACAAATCTGGAAAATACTTAGCGACTTACATCCCCCAATATACATAGTCCAAGGAGTTGTATACTACAACATAATGTAATATATTATTTAACTAAACTGGAAACTGTGGAGAACTGGCAACGGAATTAGAAATTTTAATCCAAAATAGCCGGGTGTTTTGGGTGTTTTGATGTAAAATACTAGCATTTTACAGTTCAGTGAACAAACTTAGCAGTCAGTGGTGGCCACTTACATATTGGTCAAAACTCTACATACCTGGTTTCTGAAATATTACAGGTCAGAGTTATCTAATCAACTTGTGTATGTGTACTTTATTTCCTTTAATGCATTAAAGGAAGTGTAGTTTAGATACCAATGCTAGTCACCACTAATAAGAGGTATACCATTCATTGCAATCAGTAATTTCTCAAAAAATATCTTTCTTCATTGAAAACAACAACAAGCAATGGCCTGTAATGGACTGGGGCTGGCTTGTAGGTATCATAGCGTTTGTAAAAAAAACAAATTTCAAAATCCAGCTGATACCTTGGAGTATGGACAGCTGAACCTCGTTGCTGTATTTGGTGCCAAAAGCATTGCTTGCCACACAGCGGTATAAACCTACATCATGTTCCTGCACTTCCAAAATCTGCAGGACACCAGTGGGAAGGCTCAGCAACCTATAAAAACAATGAGAATCTGAAGCATAGATTATACACCCCCATCTTCCCATAAACTGGCATTTAGATACAAATACATTACCATTACCAGGAGTTTAGAATGGCTGGTATGTAAAAGGGTACCACACAAAAACTGATGGCAATGTGTATATGGACTGAAGTGCATATGTTTAGAAGGGATATCAGCTACATCTCGCTGACAAGGCCTAAAGAAGGCCGAAACGATTCTTCAGGGTTGTTGTATCTATTGTGCATAGAGAACTTACAGGCATTTCAGTTCTAGACTACCCTTATGGGTGGGATTAGTCTGATATGCCTTGGAACTGGTTTTCTCTGTAATGGCACAAGTTAGCAAAAACCTTTTTTGAGACTTGATCGGGGATTTACCAAATGGCAAGCTACTGAGTTTTTCGAAGCTGTTGTCCATTCTTAGAGTTTTCATATCTTCTGTTTATGTTATAAAATTTGTTTTTTTTAAAGAAATTTCTTTGATTTTGGACAGATTATGTATATAGAGTGCAAATTGTGTGTTATGAAGTTACCCTTAATGCTCTGGAAAAATCCTGCCTCAGCAACATAACTCCCAAAATTTCAAAAGGGCACACATACGTTTTAGAGAGGAGCTGGAAGTGATGTTATCGGTAGTCAATATCCAAGGTGTTTAGGCGGGTATCAACTGACATTTATAAATCGGTAAGAAAATTACAAGTATAAAATGTTTTATTTGCACAAACTGATTTCTAAACACATTTATACACGACACCTAGTTACCATTGTATTCTATGATACATTTATACACAAGAGAAAGTCTTGAATCACCTACCTCGGATTGTTGGGGATTGGAGCCTGGTCTCTCTGCCAAGTAATTTCTGGTGGGGGTTCCCCACTAATGCCACACTCAAACCTCGCCAAGCTGTTATATGGTACAGTCTGAGGTTCAGGCTGCAGGTGGAAGGGGGAAAGATCTGGGGACACAAACACAAATTAAATGCAATAACAACATCTAATTTGCAAGAGATTCCAGATCACATGGTTCACTTGGTTAAAAATGTATAGACCTACTTTTCCATTAACAATGTGTAATATTAATCATTCTCATTCTGTAGAATATGAGGGCCATCTACCCATGAGGTGCTGGGTTATAAAGAATGGAAAAATATATATTATTGCTGTGAACAGCAGACATATACGAAATGGACAATACGTTTCCATGTTATCAGTGGTGTATCCTGGTTTTGTGCTGCTCTAGGCAGGACAAAACTCAGGCGCCCTCTCCCCCCCGTGCCACCCAACCTTCTAAAATACACACACACATTCACTGACAGATACGCATACACTAGCTAACAGAAACACACACACACTAACAGACACACTCACACTAACAGACACACTCACTAACAGACACACTCACTCACACACTAACAGACACACTCACTAACAGACACACACTCACTAACAGACACACTCACTCATTAACAGACACACTAATAGACACACACACAGACACACTAACAGACACACACACAGCGAACACACACACACAGTAATAGACACACACACACACAAACAGACACACACACACAGAAACAAACAGACACTAACAGACACACACACACTCACTAATAGACACACACACACTAATAGACACACACACACTAAGAGACACACACTAACAGACACACACACTAACAGACACACACACACTCACTAACAGACACACACTCACACACTAACAGATACACACACACACTAACAGACACACACACACACACACACTAACAGACATACACACACTCACTCACATTAACAGTTTCATTTTTTTAAGCCCCCCCAGCCTCCTTACCTTTGGGAATGCTGGGGGGGGGGTTCCCTCTCTCCCTGGGGTCCAGTGGCTGATGGGCGAGCGGCGTTGTCTGCTCAGCTCCCTCGCGCGCCTCAGAGTGAGGCTGGGAGCCGGGTTGATGATGTCATATTCCGACTCCCAGCCTCCCTCTGAGGCGCGCGAGGGAGCTGAGCAGACAGCTGCCTGTCAACGCCGCCCGGCCGGTCAGTTAGGCATTTGCCCAGGGCATTTGGGGAGTGGCTTTTTTTGCCGCCCCCTGGAAAATGCCGCCCAAGGCAAATGCCTTGTTTGCCTCGCGGCTAAAATGCCCCTGCATGTTATCCCCTGGAGATGACAATGCTCCAATTGGAAACTACACACGGACTATCTTCTACAAATATAGGTAAAAGGTTATTAAAGGACCACTCCAAAGTAAAAAAAAATTATTATTAAACAATATAGTAAATATACCCCAATGAAAACATGCATGCATTTAATTATGCATTTTGTTCATTGAGGGTATATCTAAAAACAGTTTATAATCGTTGCCTTTGCAAGCCATTCTAATCCCAGCCAGATTTTCTGTGGCTGTCCAATCACAGACTTCCCAATGCAGCTCAATGAGAAGTCCATGCAAGGCAGGTGCTCTGGGCAATTGCTGCCTCTTGAGTTTAGCTCTACTGAGCTAACCAAACCAGGAAGTAACAGGACCTACTGTCTGATTGACAGCAGGGGGAGGGTAGAGAAGGGGTTTGTAGCAAGGTTAATTTATAAAAGTGCCAATTTCTATTTAAATATGCCCTTTTTGTAAATCGATGAAAGAGGACTCACTCTTCATATATAAAGGACTTCCGTAAACCAAAGTCCTATAGGCGTTTGGAGTGTTCCTTTAAAGACTACCCTAAATAATGAAGCATAATAAACACAGAGCAGACCCCATAGTGTCAAAGCAGTGACACCTGGTACATATCTGTCCTCCTATGGCACCATAATTTTTGGATCCCTTCCATATCCACGTGCTCCTTAATCCAGCTAAATGATCACATCTCTCAAAAAGACAAACCAGTCTGATTTTACGTACATTAAAATCATTATTTTATTTTGATATGGATTGGGAAAGAGCCTGAAATGGATCAATATTATACACTTAAAAGTATTCCAGAAATTACAAACCTAACATAAATTTAAAGATATTTCGTTATTTAGATGTAACATTAGTACCTCTATTTTGTTAATAATGCTTTTGCATACAAGTTTATTCATTTAATGGTCACAATGAGATGAAAATGGCAATTGAAATAGTGTAGCTACGTATATAGAGGTGAATATTTCTCCTCTATCAACTATTTTTGCCTTTAATGAATTTTTTTTTCCTTTAAACACATTGCCACACACGGCTATTATTCTACTCATATAACATGAGAACTACGAGACACTGCAACACATAACTATGCAAAGCTAAAAAACCATCAGTGTTAATCGCTAAGGTGGGAATTGAAAAAAAAAAACGCTAATTTTAAGTCACAATTCCTAACGAGACAAATTACTTTGGCCTAAAAATTCACAATTCCATCGTCGAATCTCTGCAATTCCTTGTTAAATCAATTACTCCAAATATCTCAAATATGTTTCTTTAACAATATGAAATTGGAAACGTGGTAATATTGCAGATACACTTTTTTTAAATATTGATTTTCCAGCTGTGAAAGAATATATATATTCAGAGCCTTTCTCCCACTTCAGATATTCTGTAACCATGGTTGCCCTTTCTCTTTGCTCTGCCTTTATATTCAGTACAGCTTTGTACCTAACCTGTGTTGTAATGAATTACATCACTTTGCTGTACGAACCTTTATAAACTCTGCTGGATGACTGGTCTATAAAGAACACGTTATTGTAAAAGTAGCTCCACTCTTACAGAACACCTTAGGAATGAACTAACTTTGTGCAATCACTGCTTTTAAGAGCTTCCTCACAAATCACTTGTTAATGGACGTTTAGCAGCGACACATCCGACCAGAGCCTTTTAGAAAAATGCTGCTTTGCATCATTACTCTATAACTCCTTAAATCACTTGCTCGGGCAACTAATGGCATTGGAGGGCAAGTACAAACCAATATGCCTTCCCGCCCCATCTTACATTTTTTTTTTTAATTGTATCAAAATATTTTATATAAATGCTGAGAAATAAAATAACACTATGATTTATTGTAATAGGAAATACTAATACGTAATTGATTGACACTGTGATTGCTTTATTTTAATAAATACACAGTTTATTTCCTAAACTCAAAACTTTGGAGAAATGATTAAGGGATGGCAAATTTTAGACACATGTAACTCATTTTCAAAAGCATTAAGTGACACAACAGTACACAGCATTGGTAAACACACATATTGTGGGATGCCTGAGGTTGATGGAAGTTACAAATCAGGCTGGCAGCTATAGTATGCTGGGGGAAGGCTCGGGAAAATAGAGACACTGACATGGTTATTTGGTAAAGTGAGAATTCTAAGTGAATTTTAAACTTAAGACCAAAGTAGCCAAACTGAAAGCAGAGCTGACTTAGAGATTGTTTCCAGCTTGGCTGCTTTAGCCTTAAATTTGAATTCACATTTTACTGAATAACCCTGTAAGACTCACTTCCCCCTATCCTATTCTGCTACATATTTGATAGAGAGTAACTTAGTGCCCTATGTATTACATTTGTTTAATAGCAAAGGTTAAACACACATGTAACTGATAGGAATTCAGACCCAATATAAAGACCAATGTTTTTAATGGTAGTCCAGTCCACCCAGTAGCTCTCATAATGTAGGTCAAACAAGCATGTGGGGGAGAGAAGTAAAAACTATGTTTATTAATGAAGTATTACAGCCAAATAAAAATATGGTTTATTTGAGAAGCTTGTCACTGTCTATATACTCTGCTTTAGTGTCACCTTCAGACATGTGGAAATAATCTGCGATCAGTACTGTATATCATTTTCTTACTACGAAGATTAGTGAGGGTCGATAGTGTGGAGTGTCGCAGTTTGTCGCAGTTTGATTTGAAACATTGTGATATTTTAAACACCTATAGATTCTGAAGTTTGGCTATTATTATTATTATTTATAAAGCGCCAAAAAATACCGCAGCACTGTACAATAGGAGGACAAACAGATGTATTTAAACCAGACGAGTTTGATGCACAGGAACAGAGGGATAGAGGGCCTTGTTCAAAGAGCTTACATGCTGGAGGGAGTGGGGACTAGTGACACACAAGGTAAGGGTTGGGTAGGGTAGAAATGTAAGTTGCTAGCAGGGCCGGTGCAAGGGTTTCTGCCGCTCCTAGGGAAAGATCCATTTTGCCGCCCCCTCATGTCACTCACTCACTGACAGACACGCACTCACTCACTGACACACACACAGAAACTCACTGACAGACATACACTCTCTCACTGACAGACACTCACTGACAGACACACACACAGACAGACAGACACTGACATGCATACATTCATTCACTGACAAACACTCACACACACACACACACACAGACACTCACTGACAGACATACTCATTCACTGACAGACAGACATTCACTCACTGACAGGCACACACACAGACACTCACTGACATACATACACTCACTGGCAGACACACACACACACACACACACAGACAGACACTCACTGACATACATACACTCACTCACTGACAGATACACACACAGGCAGACACTCACTGACAGACACACACACACTGACAGTCAAACACTCACACACTCACTGACAGACAGGCACACACACATACACACACACACACACACACACAGGCAGACACTCACTGACATACATACACTCACTCACTGACAGACACACACACACACACACTGACAGTCAAACAAAGTCTAATACTCACACATTCACTAACACACAGACTCAGACATACAGCCTCCTTAACTCCCCAGTGTGGGGCAGCTCCTTACTTCTCCAGCGTGTTGTTTAGTATCCCGGGGCCGAAATGACGTCATGTTCCGGCTCCCGGCTTCACAGAGGATGCGCGAGGGAGGAGTGAGGAGCTGCAAGAAGAGCCTCTCACACTGCCGCCGCCTGCCTCCTCTCCTCTGTCATTCACTGGCAGAGCAGGTACCTGCCATCAGGGTAAGCAGGTGCCTGCTCTGCCATACTCTAGAGCCGCTCGCCCAGTGCTGCGGCCCAGGACAGGGGGAGCCCACCAAGAAATTTTCTGGCCATGGTTGCTAGGATAGTATTCACTGAGGTCTTAGTGTTTTGTTTTGATGACAGTTGCAGGAGAGGAATCAAGGTGCGGAGAGGGAAAGCTATTAACAGTTTAATTGATATGTTTTCATGAAAAAGTGAGTTTTTAATGATTTTTTGAAGGAGTGGAGACTGGGTGAGAGTCTACACAGGGGTCCTCAAACTACGTCCTGAACCCGGCCCAAGCTCTTAGGGCCACCCGATGGGCCCTATATAACACATAATTTTATTTAACTGTAACTGTATCACGCCATGTAATGTTTATAACTGTTACAGATTTACATACATAATTTATCCTATTCCTGATTCATCTTCACAGGTTGTATCTAATTCACTATATACTAGGTGTTTTCCCACTTTTTTCTGGAAACATAATAAATACTCTGTAGTTTCTCATTCATGCCAGGTTATGAAAATGGACATGGTTGATTGAATGTTTAGCAGGAACAAAAAAAGACAATGGCACAAGGAAGTTAAAAAGTGTTCAAAATCTGAGCGCAAACTAACCAAAAAGCAATCTCCATTCACTTTTTGCCTTTTGGTTTATTTGCATATTCTCAGGGTCTTCCTATGTCTAACATGTAATACAGGCATGGAATCCTTGCTCAATATACCGAGACAGGTATCAGCGCTGTCTCAAATTGGAGGACTATGAAAGGCTGAAACAATCATGGAAAGACATCTCTAGCGCAGAAGGGGCCTGTTTGGTATTTCAGACCTGGACTGCCCTTGTAGGTAAGACCAGTCTGTTATACAAATGGAACAGGTTGCCTTTACAAGAGTAAAAGTTAGCTAAAACTTGTTTAAGGCCTGAGTTAGCTATGTTTCATTTAATAGTAAAACGCATTGTGACATAAACCCACCAATCACAAAATAACTCAACAATAACAAGAAGTGTTGTTAGACCCACTTGCCAATCTGACTGTGCCAGTTCTGCCCATCACTATCCCAAAGGCTGTATGGATTGTGCAGAAGTAACGTCCTTCAATGTCGTTCCCTTCACCATGAGAAATTAGCAATGACATATTAGGTAGGACACTGGGAGTATCCTTAGGGTTCAGCTGTTTCTCATCCTTCCACCATGTGATGTTAGAAGATCCATCCACTCTGTCCAGGTTACATAGCAGCAGGGTCTCTTGGCCTGGCAGAAGTACTCTGTGTGTGGGGCCAGAACGGCGGCAGGTGAGGTCCAGCCACGTACTCTCCCCTGTAAAGGAAAAATCAAACACTAATTAAAGAGAATTCAGAAGCTGCAAATAATTTTGTTTTATTTTTGTGCTGCTGATAATTTTTTTTTAAATCTCACGAATTTTATATTGCCGTCATCAAAAGCTGTCACTGATCAATGTTATTTTCTCATGTTTTGATAATATGATAAAGTCAGACAATTTATTTGACCTACTGATTTTTAAAGGATCTTTTCAAATTGTGATCTTTTGTGTAGAGACAGCTATCCAATGTTCAGACCCAATTTGATGAAAGTCTTTGTTCCATGAACTGTATCATATAATCATCTGTTGAACAAACGACTTTACTGGCCCCAGGAATAAAACATTTACCTTCTATCACCTTAGTATGGAATTCACCACATTTACTACACTCCTCTTGGTTACTAAAACCATGGCCATATTAGAATGGAGAATTCTAAACCACAAAGCTGTCCTTTACCCATAACTGCAGCTCATTTTGAGCCATATATTGTTGGGATTTCCAATCTACTTCCAGTCACACAATTAAAACCTTGATTACTATTTTCATTGTTTGGTATTTTGAGAGGCTCTGTATTGTCTTACAGTCTAAGGGCACATGGCAATTAATTATGGCCATTTCTGCAAAAGATAGCACACTCTTAGTAATGCAATCACATGCCAAGGTGTGTATACAGCACGGGAGCCTACAAGCTGGATTGGTTAAATGTCTGATCTAAAGTACGGTATATCCAAGAAGCACAAGCAACAAATTAGTACACAATCCTCCCGTACCGGATTGTCAGTTGTGAATCTTCACTGGCTTATCCCACTAAATTTCACTATAGAGCATTCCATAGAACCAGAAGTGATGTTTCACTGTGCTATCACTTCGGAGCAGCCACCAATTTGTGACAACAGGATCATCACAGCTAAATCCAGCCTGATACATGACTCACTCTAGAATTATGTTCTGTATTTAGAAATATCCACTATAATTCTTTCAGAATAATTGTATCTAAATTACACCCTTAAGGGTGTTTTATTGATCTAACATTACCAGAATGCTCTGTCTCTGGTTTTTAGCACATCCTACATCTACAGAACAAAAAGTTATACCTAAAAGGTTTAAAAATATCCTTTCCTTTAATTACTTCTATATGAACCAAACCATGTCCGGATGTTCTGGCTGGGCCAACTGACAGTAAATACAATAGTGATAGACAAATTTGGTTCAATAATATGCTATTTTAAATACTAAGCATGATATATTGATCACATTTTTGCCTTTGTGTCTGTAAGGCAGGCTTCCCCAAACTCCGGCCCTCCAGATGTTGCTGAACTACAACTCCCTTGATTCTATGAATGAAATAGATAGGCTGAGAATCATGGGAGTTGTAGTTCAGCAACATCTGGAGGGCCGGAGTTTGGGGAAGCCTGCTGTAAGGTATATATAATATATTATGTTACTGAGTTTTATATATGAGAAGTGAAGTAGCAAAATTTAAACGTAATCTCTTAACATATTCATCATAGAACATATGGAAAGGTACTGTAAGATTCCATATCAGCTAATAAAAAGAATAAGATATCCAAGAGTTTACTTCTTGAGATCTATACACCAGTGTAGACACTCCAGCAGTTTCCAAAGGGCTTAAACCTAATAATAATAACACAAGAAAGATTTACCTAACCCACAATAAAGTGGATGAGGTAAAAACTGGAAAAATGTAATCAGTATCCTGAGGTACATGGGATCACAGTCCACTCTGCATGCACCAATGCATACACAAACCACATATATACCCAGTGAGAGTGAAATATATATAATATTATTAAGCGGCACTCCGGTGAGCAGAGCAGGGACATCACAGCTCCCTCTCCTCCCTCCTTCTATTCGCGCAGCTAGCGATCCGCTTCCACGATCCCCAAGCATGCAGCCAGCCTCCATAATCCCCCAGTTTTCCGCCAGCGGCCCACCTGCCTCGGAGGTAAAGGTCTCACATATCCCAGACACCAAGGCAAGGCATTTGTCGAGCCCTGCTATAAACTTGGTCAGATTGCCATGTTGGGCACACCTCTCTGCAAAGGGAGTTTCTACAGACCCCCATGCCCGTCTTATCCTCCTTCCAGTCCACTAGTGACAGAAACAGGGCATCACCGTGCAGCAGCAAGAGAGATATCTGACACTGAAGCCTGCTCTGCATGATCACACTGATCTAACTACCCATCTTCAGCCCGTCAGATGTTTCAAGGTAAAGACATCTTCTAACTGAACATGTGTTAATCTGTCAGGCATGCCCAATGCACTTTTCCAGACTTTTATATCAGTGTCGCAATGGAGTAGAATTCACACCTTCCCTCATTTCCAAAAAGCAATTAATACATGGAGCACTTCAGCAAGTGCTTTAGCTGTTTGGAGTGCCCCTTTAACATGAAAGATGTGTCAAGGTTTTTTATCTCGTGTTTTGTTTTTTCTGTAATTTAATTTTTATTAGAATGATAGCATGTTACAGGTTGTAAAATTTTCTAGCATACAACTGTATGATCATAAGAATTAAACACTTTAACTGACAGAGGCTGAACTGGCTCAAAGAAAAATCTTGATTTTATTTTTAAATAAAGAAATAACAATAGAGGAAAAATAAAGGCTTATCAATGTGTAGTATATAATAAATATGTAACAGCTTAAACACACAAGTAGGTTGCCACTGGAGTAAATAAGCCATTTATGGGTTGGCCAAGGTACATGAGTAAGTAAAGTTGAGAGTGTGATAACCATAACTAAAGAAAAACATTCAGCAAACTGGTAGGTAAATGCTTTATCATGGGCCCCAAATATCCCAATTCCCGACGCCGGGAATCTGCTCATATAAAATGGACAAAGTCCCGCAAACACAGTCCAATATATGCTCTAGCTAAATGTAATGGCTGCACGGATTAACAAAAGCCTAATTAAAGGCCTCCATCCACGAGGCCCGCTGTGGAAATGGTTGCTGGGTAGAAGGTATGGTAGCAATTGTGTGTATGGTCAGCTTTGTAAAATAATAGGCACTGCCTTCCTTTGACTTTTTTGCGGTTAACAAGCTAGTCTCCAGTGGAGACCGGTATAACTCCCACAAAGATCCAAAGATGGGGGAGGGGATCAGCCGTTACAAGGCTTTTCAAAAGTTAGAAATCGGCTGCATTCCCTACCTTGACAGGCTAGTAGACCTCAGCTGAATAGGACTAGGAAAACCCGAATATACCTTACGATTATTAGGACTAATCAAGGCTAGATTGTCCTCAGGCAGTAGAAGTGCGAGTGATAAATAACGTCAAAACTCTAAATAATTGCTTAATTTTGCTTTTCTGTTGAGGAGCTCATCCAGCATGTGACTTGCTCATTTGGTGGCCAAGCCCTGGCCCCTTTGTCTCATTGTGTTTTATGAAAATGAAAGTTTACTTTTTTATTTTTTTTTATTTTGAGCAGTGCTTCTTTTTTTCAGACAATACTCTTTCATTTATCGCCATTAAACTTCTCTGTGGGATTATAAGACATCTGACTGTAAACGACCATAAACCCTGCTCTATAATATTTAAATATAGTTCTAAAAGTATTGTATTTCTACACAACTCTGAAATATGAAACAGTTATAAAATGGACTATGAGCTATATAAACAATTTGCAATGCTGTATTATTTTGCCTGCTTTGTATATTACAAACTGTGGAATATAGCAAATCTTTACATTATCTGCATCAAACAACCATGATCCAGATGTCCCTGGCAAATGTCCAGAATGGTGCACCTTCCGGCAATTTAAAGAAACTTTTTTAGGTCAATGAACAAACTATGGCTAGGAGAGAAAGAATTGGAGACATGATTTAAAAACACTTTGGATAGACAAACTGATTTAAAACCCATCCACTAACTACAAAGTAGACACATTTAATAGAAAAAAGTCTTCACTAAATGGCCACTGACTAAATGTTAAACTTTTCTGCAGATTCTATAATTATTTATTCTACACAATTCACAGGTATCAAAACAGATCTACAACCTGTAATATAATATATCTATGAATTTGCATATTTAGCTGCCTGTAACCCCAAGCTAAAATTGCGTCGGAACTACTCAATACTGAAGAAATTTTTTTTTTTTTAATTCAATCACCTTTACTTGTAAATTTATCATGATACAAAAAAAAAGAGCTGAGTACAACAAATAACATAGATTTGAGAACATGAAGATGTATTCCATAGTTTTACTGTTTGCCCCCAGCTTATCTCATAACTAGCAATGTTTTCTTTCTTTGGAGGTATTCTTTTCCATATTATACTTCTTCATGTCTTTCACATATGCCAGCACATAAAAGAAAAAAAGGAAAAGGAAAAACGTACACCAATCTTAAAAACTACCAAGTTACCAGGAGGATATCTTATTAAGCCACTTAAAGGGATCCTAGAGTGCCAGGAAAACAAAGCCGTTTTCCTGGCACTATAGGGTTAATAAGTCCCCTTTAGCCACTTACCTGAACCCAGCGCCTGGGTCCGGCTCAGCCCATGCTTCCTGCCGCCATCAGACCTCCCATTCCTATATATATCCAGCGTCAGATAATGGACCAAAAGTTTGTTACGAATCCGGAGGCGCACCCAGTGGCTGTCTCGTAGACAGCCACTGAGGGCAGACTTAGAGCTGCGATCTAAACATTGCAGTTCCCTTAAAAAACTGCAATGTTTTACATTGCAGCACTAGGTGCAAAAAGGTCACAGCACCCAGACCCCTTCAATAAGCTGAAGTGGTCTGGGTGCCTACAGTGCCCCTTTAAGTCCTCCTTCCATTCAGCTCTGAAATAGAATTTGACTCTTCAGGCTTGGCCAAGTTATTGTGACATTTAGTTTCCAATGCCGAGCTAAGAGCAGTTTTGTGGCAACAAAAGATTAAGTTGCCATAAGTACTTCTTTTTGCGTTAACTCTGGCCAATTCAAGTGTAAAATTAATATTTCTGTTTTTTTTTTTTCGATCTTGAAGTTCCCCAAGACCTGTAGTTTATCAAATGCAATATTCGCTGCTTTTATTGGGGCCAGATACCAAAAATTAATCACTTCACACTGGTTTTCGATAATATTTACACAATGAATATCTCTATTGTACCTTTTTATAGCCTCAAACCATTCTTCATTATTTATGTCAATATGTAGTAACTTAGACCATGTCTGTATATTCTTATGATTTTTCCTCTCGATGTATAAGGGCTATTAGTGAGTAGGCTTTCGAAATGATTTAGGGACCGTTTGTTTCTCAGTAATCTCATTATTTGTTCATCGGTCACTAACGTGGCCTTCTGTAAAAAGCACTTCATTCTTAAGAATGTAAAACTTTCCCTAGTAGATAAGTTATATTCTAAATTGAACAAGGAAAAAGTTTTCAGTATTCTGTCATTATATAGGTTAGCCCAGTGGTTCCCAAACTTTTTAGGTTTATGGCGTCCTTAAAGGAGCACTATAGTGTCAGGAAAACAAACTCGTTTTCCTGGCACTATAGGGTCATTAGGCGTCCCCTCCCCACCCTTAGGGTACCCCCTCCTGCTCGGCTGAAGGGGTTAAATCCCTTCAGCCACTTACCTTTCTCCAGCGCCGGGCTCCCTCGGCGCTAGGGAACTCTCCTCCTCCTGCCGACGTCATTGACTAATACGCGACAAGAGCCGCGAGCGCAATTAAACCACCCATAGGAATTACAGTGAGAATTGTGGAAGTGGCATCTAGTGGCTGTCAGTGAGAAACTGCTATGTTTACAGCTGCAGGGTTAAAACTAGGGAGACCTGGCACCCAGATCACTTCATTGAGCTGACGTGGTCTGGATACCTATAGTGGTCCTTTAATATTTAAATATTTTTTCAAGACACCCCAAGTCAAAATTTCTAGGTTGTATATCTTTACAGCGCAATTACTGGCGCTATAGTGTAATGTACATTGTTGGTGTTTGAAGGGGTGCTTGTATATAGTTTTAGTGTTTTAATACAGGGGTCTGTTTGTGTGTAATGTTTGCGTTTTATTGCAGGGGTGTGTCTGAATGTAATGTTCACTTTTAAATGTACATCAGTGTGAAGTATTTGTGTTTGCGTAAAGATGTGTTTTTGTATATTTTGGGGGGGTTTGAATGCAGGGGTGTGTTTGAATGTAATATTTGTGTTAGATTGCAGGCGTGTGCTTGTATGTTGTGCTGGTGTTTGACTGCTTGGATGTATGCACATACACCACCACATACAGTGCCTTGCAAAAGTATTCACCTCTCCTCCCCACCCCTGACTTTTTCCTATTTTGTTACATTGCAGCCTTATGTTCAATGATTTATTAATCTAAATTTTATGTAATGGATCAGAACACAATAGTCTAAGTTGGTAAAGTGAAATGAGAAAAACATATACATGGTGGTGTTAGCATCACCACAGTGAAACATGGTGGTGTTAGCATCATGCTTTGGGGATGTTTTTCAGCAGCCGGGACTGGGAAACTGGTCAGAGTTGAGGGATATAGAAATAGAAAACAGAAAATTGGCATGTGCGTATGTATTCACCCCCTTTGTTATGAAGCCCATAAAAAGCTCTGGTGCAACCAATTACCTTCAGAAGTCACATAATTAGTGAAATGATGTCCACCTGTGTGCAATCTAAGTGTCACATGATCTGTCATTACATATACACACCTTTTTTGAAAGGCCCCAGAGGCTTGTCAGAGTATTTATATCAGCAGACATTTTGTGCTATGATAGAAACTAAAAGTGTATATTCTGAGTCACTCTGAACAGACCAGACTCCATTTTGTTATTCAAGTTAACAAAATGACACTATATTTCTATCTGTAAGGTAACCACTTTCCCAGAGCTAAGGAATGCATAGTATATACAAACAAGTGATAAGAAGAATATAATCAAATCTAAACCCAGACAATTGTGACAGAGAAGATTAAATAATTTAATATTTAACTGTCTATATATATAAGGTACCATTGTATGGAAAAGGGTAAACTTAGTTCATGATCTGTCATATCAGAAATTATGGCAGGAATTGCAGACGCTAAGTCTGGACAAAATTTAAGAAACCCTTTGAAATTTTAAATTATGGCGCTATAAAGATAACGCAAAATGACGTCAAAATAGCCACCAGGAAAAGTTAACTCTTTCCTGGATAGGTATGTTTAGTGGGACAAGACTGCCCTCTATAGACCAAATAACTAATTTGCGATCTGGAAGATAACCACACCTCTAGTGCTTCTATTGGGTTATCAACTGATGACGTACAGAGAGTCTGGCCCTTTAAAAGTTAAGACAAAGGGAAGATAGAGATACAAAAAAATACACGAGAGGAGGCACATGCAAGATATGCAACGGAGAGGAGAGAGGAATTGGAAGTTTGGGGATTCCAACTCGGACAACATCTGAGAATAACACTCTACTCCTAAAACTCTAACACTTAGAATTTACTGACTTTCTAACCAACACCTCCATGCAGAGAGACTACCAATCGGATGAAATATCTACTCAACTGGTAATTATACTGGTTTCATTTAATTAAATTAAATTAATTAAAATGTATTAATAGCATTATATATGACTGGATAAAGCACGGTCAGATTTCCATATTAAGAAATCTTAGTTAACTAAAGAATATATAGTTATAAACATTCCATTCTGCAGGTGGAATTAAGAATAATTATATATTGATGTGATATTATCACGTGTTAGCATACCGCTGTTTTTATCCAGGTGTATTGATTTGCTCTAAATTAAGATAGATATCTTTTAGACAAATTAAAAATCTGCTTATATAATGTGGTAAATTCTCTTATGGATGGTTTAAGAAAATGACTAGTGAACTGGTTTAAATGTTATTTTATTTAAAAATACATAAGAATAGATCTTAACTACCTAGGAGATCTAGCCAGCATTGAAAGGGTTATTCTAACTGTCTGCTAAACTTTACGACCTTACGCTGCAATCTGAGGAATTCTGTTCTTAGCTGTGAAAAGTCTGTGTTAAAGATAGTCATAAATCGTCAGAATTCTTGACAGATAATGCCGTTTAGCCATTGAAACGTAATCCCCATTTCTTTGTATTGCATACCATTTTATACTGGATATTCATTGATTATTGTCATGCATGTTACATATATTATTATTAATTAACTTGTCATTATAAATAAAAATCTATTTTTATACATTGTGATTATTTATATGAAATACTTTTCACTTACGATAAACGTTCTTTGGGATCTGAGAATTGAATTAGTGGGCAATTCTCACTGTTACTATTATTATCCCATAAATATCCCCACAGGCTGCAACACCTAAGCAAGAGGTAACACTAAGAAAACACTGTCAATAAGACCAAGGAACTCTACAAACAAGTAAGGGACAATGAGGTTGAGAAGTACATGTCAGGGTTAGGTTATAAAAAAATATCCAAACCATTGATGATCCCCAGAAGCACCATCAAATCTATCATAACCAAATGGAAAGAACACGGCACAACAGCAAACCTGCCAAGAGACGGCCGCCCACCAAAACTCACGGACCAGGCAAGGAGGGCATTAATCAGAGAGGCAGCATAGAGACCTAAGGTAACCCTGGAGGAGCTGCAGAGTTCCACAGCAGAGACTGGAGTATCTATACATAGGACGACAATAAGCCGTACCCTCCATAGAGTTGGGCTTTATGGCAGAGTGGCCAGAAGAAAGCCATTACTTTCAGCAAAAAACTAAATGCCACGTTTTGAGTTTGCGAAAAGGCATGTGGGAGACTCCCAAAATGCATGGAGGAAGGTGCTCTGGTCTGATGAGACTAACACTGAACTTTTTGGCCATCAAAGAAAATGCAATGTCTGGCGCAAACCCAACACATCACATCACCCAAAGAACACCATCCCCACAGTGAAACATGGTGGTGTTAGCATCATGCTTTGGGGATGTTTTTCAGCAGCCGGGACTGGGAAACTGGTCAGAGTTGAGGGATATTCTTGAGTTGAGCAAAACCTTGACCACTCTGCGTGATTTGAAGCTGGGAAGGAGGTTCACCTTCCAGCAGGACAATGACTCTGAACACACTGCCAAAGCAACACTTGAGTTATTTAAGGGGAAACATGTAAATGTGTTGGAATGGCCTAGTCAAAGCCCAGACCTCAATCCAATAGAAAATCTGTGGTCAGACTTAAAGATTGCTGTTCACAAGCGCAAACCATCCAACTTGAAAGTATTGACTTTAGGGGGGTGAATAGTTATGCACATTGACTTTTTCTGTTATTTTGCCCTTTTTGTTGTTTGCTTCACAATAAAAAAAAAAAAAATCTTCAAAGTTCTGGGCATGTTCTGTAATTTAAATGATGCAAATCCTCAAACAATCCATGTTAATTCCAGGTTGTGATGCAACAAAACACGAAAAAATGCCAAGGGGGGTGAATACTTTTGCAAGGCACTGTACATTCATATAAAGGTACACAGATATTCATGCACATTAACACACAGATACATATAAATACACCGACACATAAACACAAATTCATATAGACATGGACACACACATAGATACACATCGACATATACACACATGCACCCTGACACACACAAACATTGATACATGCACACACCATGACACAGATACACAAACTGACATAAAAACACACACCCTGACAAACAGATGCACATACACAGATGTGTGAACACACACAGACACACACACTGACACAGAAGCACACTAACATATATATATACACACACAAACACACTCACACATACACTCACACATATAAACGCACACACTTATAAACGCACACACTCATTTGCACATACACATACACACACACGTGATATTTCTTTATATCTCCTGCCACCCTCCTGTTATCTTACCTTATGTGTCCAAGAGGGTGGCCTGGAGTCCTGCTGGCTGGTGTGAGTCTGGCGCAGCTCCTGCAGTGCTCCTCTCCCCTCGCGGCTGCCTCCCTCCTGCGCTGTCTCTCTGCATGATGCTGGGAGGAAGTGACAGGCTGTCACTTCCTCCGAGCCGGCCAACATTACAGATGCCTGGTCGCGGTCTTAGAGGACCGTGGCATCCGACCGGGCCCCTGTTCAGCAGTAATGTTTCCCCGGTGCTATAGTCATAGCACCAGACAAACATTCTGTGGCACCCCTGTGTGCCTGTTTGGGGACAATATATGCTATTACAGCATCTATTCTGCCCACCCATGATAGATATTTATTCTTCCATCCCCTTAACACAGTTTATCTCTTTTAGTACTGCCATAAAGTTTAATGCTAAAAGGTCCGAAACGTCCGGTGTTATTTTAAAACCCAGATAGGTAAACTCACTGTAACATTGTTGCAGCCATATTTTTTTTTCTTCCTTTAAATTGAGAGCCATGATTACTGTTTTGCCCGCATTTAGTTTGTAATTGGATAGATTTGAATACTGAGCGATCACATTCAAAAGAGCGGGTGGAGAATTTTCGATGTCTGCAAGCGTCAAAAGAATATCATCAGTATACATGCAGACCTTATATTCCTTCTGGGAAAAGGGATACCCATGGATATTTCTATCTGCTCTTATTTTATTTGCCAAAAATGTATAATGTTATGATGTATAAAAGTGGGGAGAGTGGACATCCCTGTCTTGTCCCTTTTCCCAGATTGAACCAGTTAGCATGTATATTTTGCCTGATGGTTCTGGCACTAGGGACGCTGTATAAAGCTTTTATTGCCTTACAAAGAAAAATTTCAAAATCAAATTGTTCCAGACTCTGCATCATAAACCCCCGATCAACCCGGTCGAAAAAGCTTTCTCAGCATCTAAAGCTATAGTAACAAATTATTTTTGTTGATTTTCAGCCCCGCCTATTCTTCTTCAAATATTACTGATAGAGCTTCGACAAGGGACAAAACCTATTTGGTCGTTAGAAACAATCCTTGTAATAACCCGCTTAAGTCTAACCGCCATGATGGGCGCATAAACCTTAGCATCTACATTGATAAGGGATATAGGACTATAGTTTTTTTGAGTTGAATACAACATTTTATGTCAATGGCAGATAGACAACATGGTCACTGAAGCTGGGAGTAAATCACCAGCAAATCCTACTCATTTTTAATGTTTTAAGCTAAGATACCCAGATTCGCCTCTAGTTCAGCGAATATGCATTCATCTGGGGGGGATACTAGTGATGGGCTTCATGCGCCTTGTGGCTAAGTGGCATAGCGCCATGAAACTTAAGCTCTAGTAAGGCACCTATAATACAGTACTTTGCAAAAGTACTCACCCCCTTGGCATTTTTCGTGTTTTGTTGCCTCACAACCTGGAATTAACATGGATTGTTTGAGGATTTGCATCATATAATTTACAGAACATGCCCACAACTTTGAAGATTTTTTTTTTTTTATTGTGAAGCAAACAACAAATAGGACAAAATAACAGAAAAGGTCAATGTGCATAACTATTCACCCCCCTAAAGTCAATACTTTGTAGAGCCACTTTGGATAAGTCTCTATGAGCTTGCCACATCTTACCACTGGGATTTTTGCCCATTCCTCCTTGCAAAACTGCTCCAGTTCCTTCAAGTTGGATGGTTTGCGCTTGTGAACAGCAATCTTTAAGTCTGACCACAGATTTTCTAGTGGATTGAGGTCTGGGCTTTGACTAGGCCATTCCAACACATTTACATGTTTCCCCTTAAACCACTCAAGTGTTGATTTAGCAGTGTGTTTGGGGTCTTTTTTTGTCCTGCTGGAAGGTGAACCTTCGTCCTTGCCTCAAATCACGCACAGAGTGGTAGAGGTTTTGCTCAAGAATATCCCTATATTTAGCACCATCTTTCCCTCAACTCTGACCAGTTTCCCAGTCAGGCTGCCGGAGCTGTAGTATTCTGGTGCTTAAACAGAAGGCTGTGGTCTTAAGTGGAGCGTGCAGTGAGTAGCTGTTATGTCACAGGGGGACCGCTTATGCGCTCTATGTGCTGTTGGGGGGACGGGGGTATGCTATCTTAGAGTTTAGTCTTAAGCTTACGGAGCCAGAACAACAGAGGTATTAAATACGATTTCAACAAACAGTAAAACAGAAAAACTTTACACATTTGAGGGACATTATGTGTGAATGAGGGCACATGTATCTGCAGCAGCAGACATCAGGTTGGCAGTTTGGTTGCCTCGGGTGCCCCAACTCTGGGTACAAATGGGGTTATTCCCGCTACAGTCCAGGCTGGGTGGTCTGGTGGCAGTAGCTTCTCTGTTGGCAGGCTTAGGGAATGCAGGAAGGCTGGTGCTTAATTGGGGTGTGATATTGCGTATATCTTGCCCGCTTTGTCGGCGATTAGTCGTCGGGGGGGCCCCATTTATAGGGGATTGAATTCTGCTGGAGGAGCTAGGTAATCTGCTTGAGAGATCTCTGCCATGTCAAAGTATGCCTAGAAAAGTCTCTGTAAAATGCCAGTTGTGCCCCCTCAAAAGAGAATGTGGGGGAACCCCTGACTGCCCCCATGATTACTGCGTGGTTAGAGCCTCGCACCAGTTTTAGCAAGACATCCCTGGCTACCTCTTGAGCTGCGTTGGTTGCCTTGGTGAGCCGGAAGCAGGAGTTCACCACGAGTTGCTTGGTCTGTTTAGGCATGAGGAAAGTGGCCAAGAGCCTCTGGCAATAGTGAGATCGTTTTTGGCAGATTTTGCCCTTTAAGAACATTATTTGGCCATATCGGATTTTATTTCACTACTTCTGGCCCTTTAAGAACTGTAGGGAAGGATTGGTACTTTTTACATGGCACTTCGGATGCAGCCTAAGTGCCGAAGTAGTCGAAGTGTCAGCCATTCGACAAATGAACACGTGGCGGCGGACATTTTAATTTAGTCGAATGCAGTCAGCGGTGTGTGCCCCTGAATCCATGGAACTAAAACCGGCTGCACCTTTGCACGAACACCGCTGACCCTGACCTTCTCCTCCACCTTGGCTAAAGTTGAAGTGTGTTCGACAATTCGAACGCCATGTCACTCTGTGCTATTTGCATGAATGGGGCCTGTTTGTGCATTCGAATGGGACTTAGTAATTTTTTCTATGTGAACTGACTTTAACATTGGAAATAGACGGTCCGCACAGCCAAACTCTGTGGAACTGTTTTGGGCAGGAAATCCTGCTTACGGTCGGTCAAAAGAGGCTTCCCCAAAACTTTAACCTCATGGCAAATTTACTTTGTTCGTGGTATCTGAGCGCTGTTCACCTATATTGGGCACTCAGATCCGAGCTATCTGGGGATAGGTTAAATGTGGGGGGTTTGTGTAACATAATAAGAATTATGTATTTTTATGTACTTTTATGTATTTTTGCTGTTAGTGTAAAATGTAGATATTTTCTGTACCTGGAGATAATTGAGTTTACTGCAGTGCCTTAAGCCAATTATCTCCAGGATGGAGAGGAGGGATTTCATTGTGTATGTGGGAGTGTTATTATGTGAATTAGTGTTCCCATTGGTTTGTGTCCCTTTTGTCACAGTTTTCCACCAGGTCCAGGGGATGTGCCTCTGGCCTGAAAACTTGTATATAAGGCGTAATAAACGCTCATTGGAGTCAGATCATCTTGTACCTTCATGAAGTTTCGGCTCATGTTTGGGGGATTGGAGAACTACATTCTGGGGATTGCTATAATCATTATACTCCCCAGGGTATAATCACTAAGCTCTGCTAAGGGCTTGATCCTGTTCCTGCTCTCTGGAATTCGGAGAGGTTGACCTACTGGAAGCTGGACCCTGGTCTTGGGTCCAGAGTGGGTGGAGACGGCGAGACACCAACCAAGCTGTGGCGGTTTGTGGGAGTCTACAGTGGTTATGGTGTCTGATGGAGTGCTTGGAGTCCTCGGGAAGCACTAGGAGCATCCATCAACGGAAGGTACCCGGTTGGAGTGCAAACGGTACCGTTACAGGACACTATAATCACCAGAACAACTACAGCTTATTGCATTTGTTCTGGCGAGTAGAATCATTACCTTCAGGCTTTTTGCTGTAAATACTGTCTTTTCAGAGAAAATGCAGTTTTTACATTATAGCCTAGTCATAACCTCACTGGCCACTCCTCTGATGGCTGTTAGATATCCTTCCTGGGTCATGGCTGCCTAAAATGCATCCAAACATTCAGTATCTCCTCCCTCTGCATGCAGACACTGACCTTTCCTCATAGAGATTCATTGATTCAATTCATCTCTATGGCGAGATGCTGATTGGCCAGGGCTCTTTTTCAGTCACAACCAATCCAATGGGGAAGCATTGTGATCGGATCAGGCTACCACTTCCGATGATGTCAGCAGGCAGGTCAAAAGGAAACAGGGACAAAGCAAGCAAGACTTGAATACAAGTAAGATTTTACTATATTTAGGGAGGCATGAAGGGACCAGGGGGCTAGATGGTGGTTTTAACCCTATAGGATCAGGAATTCATGTTTGTGTTCCTGACCCTATAGTGCTCCATTAAGAATTGGGAGAATATTAGCCGTAAGAAATTAGACAGATGTATAAATTCATTAAAGGCTTGTGCCATCTCAGGGACTAATCTTTCTTTGACTATTTTATAAAACTGTGCCCCAAACCCATCTGGGCCAGGGGCTTTCTTGTTTTTAAGTGTTTCGATTGCTTTAATAACTTCACAGGTCTGAATAGTTTTGTCTAACATTTCTTTCTGTTCTGTTATTTTGGGTATATGTAAACCTTCCAAAAAATAATCTAAACTCCCCAAATTAATCTTATTGGAACTATTAAACAGTGATTTATAATATCTATACTGAAGACATTTTGATGTAATTAATTCATAATTTGATATATATTGCACAGCTATAACAATTCTCACATAATCTACTCCTCCATACTTTATAATACACTGGTACTTTTAAGTCTTGTGTCTTGAAATGTATCCACTTGAGGAATATGCTGCTACATTTCTCATTACCTTACAAGTGATGCTTTTGTACACTTCTTAACTTCACTGTGCACAAAGATTGCAGGTATTGACCTTGATCAGGCGGTACCTAAAACACACAGCTTTCATTTAGACAATACATACAAAATTAATATGCAGCAATGTTTAGGGATATTTTTATACTAGATGTATGTTGTTCTCAATTCGCGTTACAAATTTATATATGCAACCATTGTATTTTTCCAAAGTAAGCCTACTCACTCCATAAACTAGTAGTACTCAAAAAATGAAAGCATTTTTCGATTGACTGTACACTATGAAAAAGCTGAAAATGAAACTTCATGCCCCACACACTTCTGCAAGGATTAACTGTCATATCTGAAAGTTTTCTATGACAAACCTCTTCACAAGTTGTCTCGGAGTGTCCATCAAATAGTGAGCAGAAACTACAGAGAACCCACTCCTATCCCAAGAAGATTATACCACTGTCTAATGCCACTGGGATTATTATTATATTTTTTAAACATTTATTGGAAATGTTCACAAAGTTATAACCGTTCCAAAGTTACACATTGTTATGATCAAGTACATCAAAGTTGCAACAACTGTTGTATGGACATACAACAATTGTGTAAGGATGAACATATCACATACAATTGGATAAACATACCATGTGTAAGGGCGAACATAAAACATGTGGATGGATTAACATAACACAAAGAGCATTGAGATAATTTCATGTCATCCATTCATTTTGTAGGTATACATACTAGCGTAATGTGAACATATGTGGTCCTCAACTCACACAAGTAGGGTGGTAAGCCTAGATAAGCCCGTAATCAGTTGGTTGACACCTAATGCTTTATAGCCTTTGGTATAGCACCGCATCGGTGATGGCAGTTGAACATTACTGCCATGTTAGCGTGTCAATTATATGGTTAGGAGACTGTACCCATTAAGAGGTCACCTGCCCAAAGGATTTAGAACCAAAATAGAGTGAGTGGCAAGTTAATTGTTGTATTAAATGGTGTGTAAGGCTATGTTTGTATCAGCCCATCGAAAAGTGAGAGTGCATTTTTTGCGTGAACGTCGGTAACTTTGGTGCTATGTGTTTTGCGTGATCAGGTTGAAAGGCTTCAGGATAAATGACAAATGATGTTGATATCATGAGTCATGGGGGAAGGGAGATTAATACATTGTTTTTATGTCAATACAATTGCACCACAGTACTGAGAATGTTTTACTCTCCATAAAGATAAGACAGGATATGATATATACAAAGATGTTCTTGTATCTGTAGTTAATGTACTTATAAAGAAAATTTCAAAGGCCGTGATAAACACAGAATGTAAGAAAAAAGTATAGATTTTTTTTTTTTTAAATCAATAAAAATGTCTCTTGTCCTGCCAGTTATACATTTTTGAGATATATAAAAAAAAAAAAGGAAATTAAATTAAATTAGGAGGGTTTAATGATTGCAGAGTGGGGAGACCCGTATTGCTCACACTTCCTTTCAAACTGACAATAGTTGGTTGCAGACTGTTGAGCCAGATAGGCATTTGTGTTTGGAAATCTGGTTGAGAAGTTGATGGATGTGAAATAGGGCAACCACATCATTTTTTGAGAATGATTTGCTTGTCAGCCAAGAGGACCCAGTCAAGAACACCGGACCTGTTTCATTATCATCTTCTGGAATAGACTGGTAATTAGAGGAACTGAAGGATGCATTGCAGAGGACATTACATTCCCAGCTTTAGCTCTGTGTCCGTTTACTATGTTGGACAAGAACTTATGCTTAAGGAATAAGTAGCAATTTTGGAGAACCTTTTTAGATGGGCTGTAAAATGTGTTCTACAATAGATTTTGCCTAAAGTGAGAACCAGGTGATGACTTTTGGTTCTGCTTTTCAAATTGACACATACACTACTGTTGTTCCAAAGTAAGCCAATAGACTCTATACAGATCCTCCATCAACAACTAATGATCTTCAACTGGAAGATAAATTTTTTAATTGACTGTACACTCTGAGAGAGCTGAAACCAGAATTTGTATCCCACACAATTTGTCTTGTGTTTTTAATGTATATGCTATCTGGTGCTATCTGGGAATCTCCATTACAGACTTCTTTTTCAGTGTGTCTCTGTTAGTCAACCACCAGATATGTTTACTGGATTGGTGAAGAAGAATTCTGAAACTCTATTTTGGCAATCACAGTTGAATAGCAGGCCAAGTAACTGCCTTGATGAAAAATAACATTACGGTTAACAGCGACATTGTTGACTTGAAGACTTGGTGACTTTGTAAACATCTTTTATCTTTTGATTTGTCAAAAAAGCTCTTTCTTCTACTGAACTGATCATTATTTCTAAAAAAAACAAAAAACACTTCTGTATAGGATTCACATAAAGGACTGAAATATCTCTATTATTCTGAAGTTCTAAGTCCTCAGTTTGTTTAATGTGTAATATGTAGTTGTCAATTATCCAGCATTTCCACTACTGCTATTCCTTATCTTCAGAGATGGACAGTCAGGCACAGTTTGCAAAACATCTAAAGCAGTTTTGAAAGACAAAATGGCAAAGCATGGATATGCAAGTGTTCTATACCTCTTGACCCGGAATAAGTAAATTTTCTTAGCCAAATTCTTTGGAGGTTTTTCCAGTATCCAAAAATGTATTATGCGGAGTACCAATTTATGTAATGTTCCAGTGCCCCAGGTAACATAAAAATAGCCAAAGTCTACATCCTACTGACTAACAATTGGCTTCATGCCAGATAAACAGTGAGAAATCCTCCAAATCTCTATTTTTGGCATAATACATTTTTCTTAATCTTTCCTACATTTCCTTATTTTTGATCAGAATGTGTCCAGTACATATTTTTTATCTATATTAATACATTTTGCTTGACTTAATTTGCATTGTCTCAGGAATTACCACTTACCTAACATTGCAGATTGAGAGGGTGCCCAATGGTCAAAATAACTGAATTTAAACTTCTTACTTACAACTGGGTGAGTTAAAATTTTGAGCCCTGTTCCACAAACTGAAAACAGCATATATTGAAGCAACTCATGGTTTTGTTCACGTTCTTATTTACACTAAACACCAAAAAACCTACAGCCTAATATAGAGGTTGTCCTTTTTCTCTGGCAATGTAGAACACTGACACAACATGATTCCAGTGGGTGTCTGGCAGACAGTGACTAGAGGCACAGTCTCCATTATTCGTTCATTGTCACCATGCACAGCAAAATTATTATTATTATTATTATGATATTTATAGAGCGCGGTCAAATTCCGCAGCGCTTTACAATGATGAAGAACTGATGAAGCTAATGCAACTGATAGTATCATTGGATTCAGGGCCGGTGCAAAGAATTTTGGGTACATAGGCGAAGATGCATTTTTCCGCCCCCCCCCCAAAAAAACCTCTTCACCCATGTGCCTCTTAACCTCCCTTTTGTGTTTCTTATCCCGTCTTTTAAATGTCTGACTCCCTTTAATGTATTTTATCTCCTATTTTTGCCTTTGTGTGTCTCCTATCTCTCCTCTTTGTATGACTCTTACATCCTCCCACATTTTGTGTCTTACTCCTCCCAGCCCCTTTGTGTGACTCCTTTTCTCCCAGCCCCTTTGTGTGTCTCTTTCCTTCTCAAACCCCGCTGTGTGTTCTTTTACATCCAGCCCCTCTCCCTGTCCCTTAATGGTCCCCTCCCTTCTCTGACCATTACTGTTCCTCTCCCCTCTCTCCTCCTTTCCCTGTTTCTCAGTGTTCCTTTCCCTTCCCCCCTCCTTTCCCTGTCCCTTAGTGTTCCTCTCCCCTCCCCCCTCTGTTCCCTGTCGCTTAGTGTTCCTCTCCCCCCCTCCATCCTTTTCCTGTACCTTAGGGTATCTCTCCCCTCCTCTCCCTTTCCCTTGGTGCGCCACCCACCCCCATAGTGGTCCCCTCCCCTTCCTGGTGTGCCTCCTACCTTTCTTGTAGCGTGGTTTAGCGGGGCGAATCCCGGTACAGTGAGCTTTTCCTGACAGTCCTGCTAGGTACAGGAAACAGAAGTTCCTGTACCACGGTACACTCCGCTTGGCCACGCTACAGTCAGGGGTGTAGAAACACTGACAGTCACACGCACTCAATGAAAAACACACAGACATATCTGACAGCCAGACTCACTTATCTGACACACTCATTCATTGACAGACACTCACAAGCACACAGACACACAAACACTGACAGACTCATTGACAAACACACACTGACACACACACACACAAACTCACAGACACTGACAGACACACGTACTCACATGCACTCACTCACACATATACACTGACAGAACCACACACACACACACACATATTCACATGCACACACACACACACTGACAGACACACTCACACACACACACTCACACACACACTGACAGACACACTCACACACACACTGACAGACACACATACACACACACTGACAGACACACATACACACACACACTAGCAGACACACTCACACACACACTGACAGACACACATACTCACATACACACTCACTCACACACTGACAGACACACATACACACACATTGACAGACACACTCACTCACATGCACACACACACTCACAGTAATTAATAATCTAAATTAAATTTAAATTTCCCACCCAGCCTCCCTACCTGGAGAGCTGGCGTGGGTCTCTCATTGGTGGTCCAGTGGGGCTGCTGGGAGGCGTGCGGCTGAATTGGATGCCGAGTTGGCGAGGGAGCTCTGATCTCTCTGATGTGCTCCCTCACAGGCTGTTTACTGATGCCGCGGGAGCCGGAATATGACGTCATCAGTAAACAGCCTGCGAGGGAGCACATCAGAGAGATCAGAGCTCCCTCGCCAACTCGGCATCCAGTTCAGCCGCACACCGCGCCGGGGATCCAGGAGGTGACCTGGCAGGAGGGAGCACTTCCCTCCTGCCGGTCACTGGAATTTTGCGCCCCCAGAGCCGGTGCGCCCTAAGGCGGCCGCCTGTGCCGCCTTATGGACGCGCCGGCCCTGATTGGATTCAATGTTTCAGAAGCATTTGATAAGAGGATTGCCGCACATTATCCCCAGTGCTTCTCATAGAGAAGTATTGGATTTCACAATAAAGATGACATCACAGAAGGATGATCAGACTGAAATTACGAGATTATCCCAGTGCTGGAATAAAAGTAAGTAGCAGTGTGAATGTTAATGTGTTTAGAAAAAAAAGGGGGGCAATTTAAACATACAGACAGACAAAGTACAGTGAAAACGAGATTATTCATTTTGAAAATAGGAAAAATAACATAAAAAGACAAATTACTTAACCATTTAAAATATTAACAAGTCAATGCATGCCCTCTTCACAATGGCTGTAACGGTACAGATTCCAAGTGCTTGCAAAATTAGAAAGTACGCAGTTTAAATATCTGCTATATACAAATATTGCTACTTTGGGGTCACAAACCAGTTACTTCACAATATGTTAACGGATATTATCTCACAGTAAATCAGAGGGGTGAAATTTCACTTGTGTTTAAAAGGAAACTATGGTGCCAGGAAAACAAACTTGTTTTCCTGGCACTATAGCTTTCCCCTTTGTCAGGGCAGGGAGTTTGCACCCAGACCACTTCAATGAGCTGGAGTGGTCTGGGTGCCTACAGTGTCCCTTTAATGCTGAGATTTAAAGGGCTTCCAGACTGATGAATAAAATATTAACATAATATATCGCTGTCAATTATATCCTTCATTGGAGACAGTGAAGTATAGCTACACTTCGTAGATTAAAATGTTCCACAAGCACTTGTTTACTTCATAGTCAATACTGTGTGCTATGTGGGATTCACAAAGTCAGTGAAGGGGTTAATTAAAAGCAAAATATCTCCATGTTGGTTGAGCAACATGACCCTGAGACCAACATTGCCATTTGCTGTTAAACATTATCTCATGTGACCTTGGGCTAGTGGCCAGCATCCTGATCTTTGGACACTTGCAATTCTCCACTGCATAGGTGTATATTCCTCTCCACTTTATCACTCTTCCTAAGGACTTAATAGCCAAACTGGACAAATTCTCAGCTATGCTTCCAGTTTGGCTACTTTGGCCTTAAATGTGAAAATCCCTTTGAAGTCCAGACAAGTCTCACTTTATTGAATAACCCTGTGAGTGGTGATAATATTTCCTCTCAATTGCACCCATTTATTGTAAAAGTTCCTGAAGGCAATGTAGGTTGATTTATTTTTTTTCATACCGGATCAGTTGTCACTTTCTCCCTACTAAGGTTTTCTAATAAATATATTCCTCAGGCAAGCAGATCATCAGCCTCTTTCGTTTATTTTTTAAACCATTTATCGCACGGGTTAGGGTGGCACTTTTTATTATCACAGTGCTGACATGCCAGCTGTCACAAAGAGAATCAGGTGTGGGTAAAGGGGGGTGCTTACTCGAGACAGGAACACACATAGAGTACTTGATTATTATTAGTACTTAAGTATTTAATCTTATATACCTGCTTGCTTGTTGCTCCGGCATTAGTGCTGCCAGGAGGAAACGGGTTGTCTACGGTGTTCACAATACACATAACAATACTTATTCAACTGATAGATGTATGAGCAGGCAGCTGCGGCACCTACAGGTATTACCACCATTTATGATCTTTGGTGGGATAGAAGTAAACTGTGTGCTCGAGTAAGAAGGTGAATATCTCATTCTCCATCCCATGAGAGACATGCCGCGACAGTACTTCTTTCTCTGCATGGCTGCAGGACCAATTTCAGGAGAACGAGCAGGGATGTATGGCATCAGCATCATGGCCCCACGTGAACTCCTGCATGTGGGCCTTTTACATCATTCCGCTCAGCCTCACTTACAGGCAGGATAGGGGTAAGGGAAAATGTCATTGGGAGAGGGAACAAACCGGGAAAGAGGAGATGTGACGTGGAAGGGAGCAGAAGATGTGGAAAGGGAAAAATGGAAAGCGGCACAAGTGGTGAAAAAGGTGGATACGAGCAATTGGACAAAGTGGGGCTGGGGAAGACATAAGATGAGATACATGCAAGTGGGGAAAGGGGAGAAATGAAGAGGGGTGGCAAGTGTGGAAGAGGGTGAAATGTGGAGACAGATGGGAGGAATATTGGGAGAAGCATGCAAATGGAGAGTCAGGGACATGGAGAGAAATGAAGAGAAGGATGCAAATGTGTAAGGGAGGGATATGGGGGGCGAGTGAGCAAAGGGGGGTTTAGAAAGACAGAAATGAGGGACACGACACACTAATACTTCACATTAATATACACTTACATTCTCTCACAGGTTGACACCTTACAAATTAATCTCTATATGGTGCAGTGTGTGAATTTTATTGCTGTGTAACTCTGCTTTGCCCTCACAGACAATGAGTATTATATTACCAATCCTCACATCAATAAACACACTGAGGACAGAACAGCTGTGAATTCAAATCTGTAGCAGGTATGTTTGCCTTAAAGGTACACGACAGTGTCAGGAATACAAACGTGTATTCCTAGAGGTTTAAAATGGCCATTTAGGTCCGTGGCTACCCTTTAACCCCTTCTCAACTCTATTAAAAAGGTGATTTACTCACCTTTTTTCCAGCGCTGCTCCGCCTCCTTGGTTAATATCATCAAATTTGACAATCTCAGCCATTGCTATCGCGCATGCATGGCAAAATACCACACTGCGCCAATCAGCATCTCCTCATAGAATCAATGCATCTCTATAGGAGTGTTCAGCATCTGAATGCAAAGTGTGGAGACGATGAAGCCCAGGAAGCATCTCTAGTGGCCGACTGAGTGACTGCCGCTAGACGTGTTACTAAGCAGTAATGTAAACACTGCCTTTTCTTGCTGTAAGTGTTCTGGTGACTATACTGTCTCTTTAATTTGGCAATACAGATTTCAATTTGCTTAAAGGACCACTCTAGGCACCCAGACCACTTCAGCTTAATGAAGTGGTCTGGGTGCCAGGTCCCTCTAGGATTAACCCATTTTTTTATAAACATAGCAGTTTCAGAGAAACTGCTATGTCTATAAATGGGTTAATCCAGCCCTCAAAGCCTCTAGTGGCTGTCTCATTGACAGCCGCTAGAGGCACTTGCGTGATTCTCACTGTGAAAATCACAGTGAGAACACGCAAGCGTCCATAGGAAAGCATTGTAAATGCTTTCCTATGAGACCGTCTGAATGCGCGCGGAGCTCTTGCCGCGTGTGCGTATTCAGCCGAAAGGGAGGAGAAGAGGAGGATCGGAGGAGGAGAGCACCCCGCCCGGCGCTGGAAAAAGGTAAGTTTTAACCCCTTTCCCCAGAGCCCGGCGGGAGTGCACCCTCAGGAACTATAGTGCCAGGAAAACGAGTATGTTTTCCTGGCACTATAGTGGTCCTTTAATAACCCCAGCCGTAATATAAATCCTGAGACTGGGCACTGAATCTGCCCCGGAGGGGAATAAATAAGGAATAAAAGCATGAAAGTCACAAAATACTGGCACTAACGTAAACTTAAATCATTGAAATGATCAGTGGCTGATGCGATTAACTATATAGGTACTGACTAAGAGTAATTCTGCTGTTAATGTTACAAATGCTCATAAGAGGTATATATATATATAAATATATTACAATCAAATATACAAATCCACACTTTTCTCTTCTGTGAGAACCTCCATTTTAGGTCCGTCAATATTTGTTCTCCTCTTTGCACCTGTCAGTCAGCAAAGAAGAGAGAGAGAAGAAGTAGAAACAATGCGGGAGGTTTAGCAAAGGGTTCTGTTCTAAAAAGCGGTGCAAAAATGTAAAAAATGGCGTCAACCTCCGGACGTGTTCCCCTGGTTTCCATGATGATTGTTCCACTTTTATTTCTTTAAAATAATTATTAGAGTATTACCCTCTGATCAATCTCTTCTGTTCCCCGGTAATGGGGCAAACCCTTTTGCAATAGTTTGCACACTTACCTGAGTCACCAATGGATGCTGTTTGCCCTATGGGGCCAGCGATGACACCCGACTTCTGCAGAGCTGCAGAACCCGGCAGTTGATCCCGTCAGCCATTCATTGGCTGAGAGCATTAGCTGACTGCTCTCATCCAAAAAATGCATTTCTGTGCATAGGAATATGCACAGAACTGACATTAGCCAATCTTGTTCAGGTCTGGATAATACCACCCTAATGACACTGCCGGTGGTTGAGTTACACCTCCAGCAGCAGAGGGGTTAAACTCTGTATATGCGGCATTTCAAAACCAAAATGCTGCACTTACAGACTACAGGCACCTATAACGACTTCAAATCACTGAAGTGGCCATGGTGCTTGAAGAAAATGTTATAAAACGTATAGTTCATTTGTATAGTTATTTTCAATGTTTTATTCTGTCGTGTAATTTTTAGAAAAGTAACGGTTGCTCTTTAACAGTATTCACTAATGGCAATAAATTTATCTTTTCTCTTAGAACCTACAATTTACCAGTATGTGCTAGGTGTTCTTGTCCTGATTGGTTGTTCATTTTGTATTAATAGAATGAGCAGAAACCAGGACACAAGGAGTAAAGGTGCGCATTGTAAATGCTTCTAGCATAAAATGTTCCACGGAAGGTAGTAGATTTGGAATGCATCATTAAAAATATCTTAAATCCGATGAACCATTTTAATATATCTGAATACATGATAAAGTTAAAGGCAATGGGGTAATTACCTCTAGAGAAAACATATGAAGCTAGTATGTTAACGACATGGGCATATTTACATATGGGTAATGAACATATGTGCCTGGGGCACAGTAGAATTGGGGGAGACAGTCTAACAGTTACCGTGCCTAAGAGTTAAAATTTAAACAAATGTCAGTAAAAATTAGTTTTTTACATAGACCACCCTTCTCATATCTGCAGATCTTTGAGATGAAGTACTGCAAGACACAAAGATTTTATTATGGCTCAAAAAAAAATCGCAATTGCTAGAGATGCAGACTAGGGCAGCAGTAAAGGCTGTGCCAAGAGATGCATTAGAAGATATGGCTAGCCCTCCACCGGGAATCTGGGTGAGATCAGCAGCTCCGCTGCTGCAGAACCTCTTTCACTTACAATCTGACCAGTTCACTCTCTGTTAAGAAGATGACCAGATACTCAGTTATAGGTCTGCTGTGGTTTGTAAAGCGGTTAATGTTGCCCAGGCTCACGAACCTAGAATGGGGCTTTGAGGCCTCTTTACACACTTACAGTGAAATTATGAGGATTCATTGTGGCCTGTATTCTATGGGTCACTGCTATTCATTTCCCTCGAAGCTATAGAGCATGTAGGCTGTATATTCTGTATGTACAGATCAGCTTCCAAAGAATAAAACACTAGAGAAAAAAAAAACACTATAATAAAGCATCTAGCACAGCACCGCAGGCTAAATTGGAAGGCAGTGATACTGATCCACTCCTCCATAAATTCTGCCTGTTAAACTGTATAGAATCTGATCAAACAATCCAAAGATTTACAGAATATGACAAATGGTCTTTTTAGATGGGAAAAAAAAATAAACAAAACAATAACAGATCTGATGACTGTCCATGTACTCTGTAGAGCACAAGAACACTTTGCAAAAGTTATATGGGTAATTAGGTTGTTAGGGAACAAATTGTGATTTTTAGCATTTTTCTAGTGCCAGCATATTTCACAATGCTTTCCTATAATACAGCGATGACAACAAGTACAAAACAAAACAATGTCAACAGATGCAAGAGGCCACCATGCCCTGCTCAAAGGAGCTTACAATCTAGGAGACAAATAATCAGTCTTGGTTGATGTAACCTCTGACACTAACATTTGTGAATGGATGTACAATCAAATCTCAGATTATCAAGAAGCCAATGATAGAAGTATTGTATTAACACATCAATGTCTCAGTATAATATTGTGTCAATTAATTATAGTTGACAGATCATTAGAAAAGCACAGAAATAAATGAATGTGTCAGTGCAAAGATGTGTCTGTCTATGGAGATGTCAATATACTATATATTAACAGGCAGTGTGCCAGCATTGCATGTTATTAGCAGTACTGTGTTTGGCATACAAAGAGCTAGAGAGGCCCTTCATTTCATGATCACTGTGTGACAACTGCCATGACAAGACTGGAACACACATCCATCTATTGAATCCATGGACCAGACAGGCTCCGCTTGTTAACAGCAGCAGGGTACCAGGTCCTTTTGGCCAGAGAAAAAAAAAAAAAGCATGGCATGCAGCACTTATATACCCAGTCATGCCAACGTCCCGAGCTGCTACGAAATCATATAAATGTTTAATAAATCACTGTTGCCATGGGGATTATTGTGACAATGAGATGAATATGCAGCAGGGTGAGGACCACATCCCAGTGCATTATATAGAGTTCTATGCGGGCTAACATTCCAACGAGTAGAACTTTGGAGGGCAAGGGTGTCATTAAGACAGTGCATGCCAGACAGCAGAGTAAGGAATTGGTCGCCCCTCTGGCACACAAGTGGGGGATTCTCCATTCTATTTCTACTCATCCTCTGTCTGTAGAAGCCAGAGCTCAGAGCAAGCACTTACCTGCAGCCACCACCAGGACGCAGCCAGCCCACTGCAAACCCCACAGCAGAGTTATCCTTCCCAGCGCCATGAAGTGTGCAGCCCCCAGCTCAGGCTGCCCGTGCCCCCCTCTCACCAGCCAGGCGATGCAGAGAGGGGCTCCCTCTCCCTCCAGTCAGACGCCATCTTGTAGAAGTTTTTTTTTCCTCTCTCTCTCTCTCGCTCCTATTTTTTTAACCCCCTTTATGTTTGTTTAGGCAGCTGGTATCTCCGTGTCCATTTACTGCCATCTATTGGTTACTGAGCCAGTCTGAGGACACCCTCACTATCTCATTCTAACAAAGGGGTCACATGTTTGGGCGATGCTGCCTCTCCCCCCTCTTCCTATTAACCACAGTGGGGGAGCAACATCTCTTTTGAGGAGACAGGCAAAAAAAAAAAAATATCATGGGAAATATCTGAACAAGACCATGTGCCAAATCTCACACCAGAGCGATGTGAGATTCCCAGCCAAGGCTGGGGAGGAGGGGCATATTCACATAATTACAGATGGCTGGGGGTAACTAGGGAGAGGGTACTGAGGATGGCATAGATGGCAGATCACTCACTGCTGAACCTGTCCTCCCAAAATAGCTCTCATTAACTCTCTGGGTCCCAGAGCTGCAGTTAAAGGGTTACACAATTGCAATGTATGGAGCTGTCTGGTGTATTATGCAGCATTTAAATCACACGGTGCACGTTAGAATATTCATTCTGTAACCTGTTACCTTTTAAATAGTCTGTAGCCTTGAACCCACCCCTAATATCGACAGATTTTAACAGATGTTTCACCCTCAATGCCAACCTTATTTAATAAGTCCCCCTAATAACAAATTACTTTAATATTATAGTGTAATTCTTCTTAGTTAACGTGGAATTACATATGGACAGGATTCATAATTGGCTGAATTTTCCTGCTTCAAAATACAATATTCCTTTAACTGGGGAGTTGAACCTCTGGAAATTCCCGATTTATTTATTTTTTTGGCAGGGAGGGGGAGTTATCCACTAAAGGAAACAACTCTCATATTTAAGTGTACTTCCTATACAAATGGATTGGTGCCATGTTTAGAGAAGAATATTTAAGCTATACTGTATAGTCATAGAGCTAGCAACTGCATGTTTGAAATCTGTTTTAAAGGGACACTAACTTAAAATTAAATATATTAATTTCAAAGTTAGTTTTTTTTAATGCACTAATTAAGATTCAGGAAACTCCGTTTCAATAAATAAAATTAAAACAAAAACAACAAAGCATAGGAGATCTACTGCAGATCCACCAGTCCCATGCTTCTCGCAGAGAAGTGTGATATCAAATGTAAGGGCCCTTGGGAATTAAAGATTTTCAATAAGGAAACGCATCAGATAGTTGTACGTCTGACAGCCACTAGAGGTGTTTTTTTTAACCAAAGTGTAAACATTGATAGTTCTCATAAAGGTCAATGTTTTACATTGCCAGAAAAAGACAGTGTCTATTCATCAAACTCAAACCATCTCATTAAGTTTAAATCATTGTGGTGTGGAGTGTCCCTTTAAAAATAACAGACTACATGTGGGGGGTCTACAGATGCACTAATACACGTTTGTCTTGCCCCATGTAATGTGGCAACATTAGCCCAACATTAGTATGTATCCTGGTGCTAGAAATTTTGTAAGAGATAAATACGAAATTAAGTGCTCGCTATTTACTCTAAAAGGGGCTGCAGAAAATCTTACAAGGATTCCCCAACCTTGTGATAATACAACGATACAAACACAAAAAAAAAATAGATGGACTGAGCCTAGAAATTTTGTAATGCAGATTCCAACATTTTAGGTCTGGCAGAATCACTATTCACATAACTGCCATTTTCATCTCTACATTTATTGGTGGTTGTGGGTGCATTCCCCTTCACCTCCCAATGAGATTGGCAGAGTTTAATTTTACTTTAGAAGTAAAGAGAGAAAGATTAAAATGATGTAAAATATGATACAGATAGATTGAACTATTATATTCTTTTTTTTTTTCTCCTATATTAAATATTTGTTTGCAAACTCTGAATTTTTTTGTTTTACAAATCAGCACTACTATATGTATCTCGATCATGGAACTGGGTGCCTTGAAAATCGTTATTACCTGTCCTTCCCACGTTAGTGAGCACAGTTTGTTTTTGTTTCTTATCCAATACAATGTGTTCTTTTGCTGTGCTATAAATTAAGTGGATTGTGATGTGAATTTCTAATTTTGCTAAGGCTCTCCACACATTAAAAGGGTAATCCAGACGTGGACCCCGTGCGTAGACAGGTAACAGCTACACCTTGCTGAGGCCCAACGAAGGTCGAAATTACCATCCGGAGTTGCTGTATCTATCGTGCAGAGAGAACTTGCTGCCAATTTGGTTCTGGACTGCCCTTATGGGTGGGATAAGGCTGATATGCACATAGTACAGGTTCTCTTTGTAATGGCACAAGTGAGCAAAAAATTTTTTGAGACCTCAATGGGGATTAACCGAAAGGCAATCTACTGAGTTTCTCTAAGCTTTTGCCAGTCTGTTTTTGTTGCAATTGCTAATTTTGTAATCTAATTAAAAAAAAAAATAGAGCATCACATGAAAAAAGATGGTCAGTTATCAGTTGGGCAGTTTTCACTGTGTTGTCAAGTGGTGTAATTTCTAGAGTAGTCATATATAAGAATTGTTAATTAATGGTTCCCCTTTATTAAACAGAAGGGGGGTAGGGGGTCTCATAATGTACAGTGTATTCGACACCAAGTCCTCCTCAATTCCATAGCAGACTTGTGCAAAAATGTTTAATAAGCTATGCTAAACTGCTCTGTAAGATGACGCCTGCTATTATCTTTCAGTTGGCAAATCTTGTTGCCACCGAAATGCATAGCACCCTCCTCAGATGAGCACACAGCTTGCTACTCATTGTGTGAAGCACTGCAGAGGTTCACACTCATTGCCTCCTTAGGATTTTGTGTCATCGAGAAACAATTTCTGTTTTGAGGACAACCTTCTGTTCCTGTAGTGCTAGAGGTTCCCATCTGTTTAGGCCTTGGAGTGGCCAGCCTGCAGCTGTCCTGATTAGCAGTATGGTCTCGCCAGACTCTTGCATGCCAGTTCCTGTTACTATGGCAACACAGACTCCAATAAAAGATGACAAACAAGTCTTCAGAAGGCCCCAGCAAGTGAAAAGGGAAAGCAGCTGGGAAACGTTCACAGCACTTACCATGTACATTTTACTCCTTTCTAAATGGCTAAAGGAAAAAAAAAAAAAATTTTGACTATTGCTCGACTACTTCCATTGCAGGTCTAGAAGAAAATGCATTACCAAATAGAAATACCAACTTTTGTGACTTTAAAAAAGGGGCTAGGAAAATGTAAAGGGACAATTCAGACCCCTAAAGCACTTTAGCTTGGTAAAGCACTTTATGTGAGAAGAGTGTCTTTTTTTTCATTTCATACAAATTGTTGTTTTCAATAGAAATGGACACATTTAAAAATTAAGCTGGTTACATCATCCCTGACTGTCAAGCATACAACAGGTCCTGTTATTTCCTAGTTTGGATAGCTCAGTGGAGCTAAATTCAAGAGGCAGCAATTGCTCAGAGCACCTGCCTTGGAAAGACATCATGAAACTGTATAGGAAGTCTGTGATTGGACAACCACAGAAAGTCTGGGCAGGGTTAGAAAACCAGGACTTGCAAAGGCAGCAGTCAAGAGAACTGAAGCTATTTTTAGATATACCATTAAAGAACAAAAACAAATATTTTAATATGTGCATGTTTTTGGGGTACATCTACTAAGCAGTATTTGTGCTTTTTGTTTTATTGGCAGTGGTATGAACCTTTCCATACTGCAGTCAGTTGCCCATGGAAGGTTTGGATACATTACCAATTATATGACTCGGAGATCCTTAAAAAAGGCATTCAAAGTATATACCAACTGATCCCTTCTATTACATTCATTAGGAGAGAGCATTAGTAAGCATGGAATGCATATGTTGAAACACGTGCATATGAACTTTAACGCCTTATTCCGACCAGCATGAGCACACACACAAGGCAGCTCACGATGCCATTTTATTCACACGAAGGCAATGATTCTGTACTTTCCGTGCAAGCAAATAAAATTACTAGATGCTCTATGCACGACTACGCACCAGGCCTCAACTTTACATGATACAAAGCATAGACATACTTGGTTAGCATACATGCACACAGCTTCATTTGACATTTCGAATCTGCAGTCGATGCCAGCATGAATCCACAATAATTAATGAAATAAAATAAACTATTTATATAAAAAGAAATTGTTGACATGTGTGTATGGGTGGTACTAGAATCCAAAGAAAAGTATTACATTACAAGAGAGGTAGTATAAAGTAGAAGCAGAAGGGTAATCTTAAAGGGACACTATAGTCACCTGAACAACTTAAGCTTAACAAAGCAGTTTTGGTGTATAGAACATGCCCCTGCAGCCTCACTGCTCAATCCTCTGCCATTTAGGAGTTAAACCCCTTTGTTTTGCCTTCTTTTGGATCAACAGCAAAAAACAAATGTGAGGTAGGCTGAACTTGATGGACGCAAGTCTCTCTTCAGCTATGTAACTATGTTTATGAACCCTAGTCACACCTCCCTGCATGTGACTTGCACAGCCTTCCATAAACACATCCTGTAAAGAGAGCCCTATTTAGGCTTTCTTTATTGCAAGTTCTGTTTAATTAAGATTTTCTTATCCCCTGCTATGTTAATAGCTTGCTAGACCCTGCAAGAGCCTCCTGTATGTGATTAAAGTTCAATTTAGAGATTGAGATACAATTATTTAAGGTAAATTACATCTGTTTGAAAGTGAAACCAGTTTTTTTTTTTCATGCAGGCTCTGTCAATCATAGCCAGGGGAGGTGTGGCTAGGGCTGCATAAACAGAAACAAAGTGATTTAACTCCTAAATGACAGCGAATTGAGCAGCAAAATTGCAGGGGAATGATCTATACACTAAAACTGCTTTATTTAGCTAAAGTAATTTAGGTGACTATAGTGTTCATTTAATAAGAGCATTGTGTTTACAGCTGAAAGAGGTAGTGGAGAGGAGGAGCTGCCAGAAATGCAGAAAAGCAATGTGACATACAAGAAGAATAACTAAGATAGGATAGTGTTACGGAAGGCATATTCCTGGTAGGGATCGACCGATTATCGGTCTGGCCGATATTATCGGCCAATATTTGGTATTTTCGGCAATATCGGTATCGGCCAATTCAGATACCGATATTGCCGATAATATATAACAGGACCGCCGGGCCCATTACAAGCCCGGCGGTCCTGTGGGGGCCAGCAGCAAGCGCTGACTTACCTTGCATGCAGCTCCTACAGCTGTGTAAATCTCGCGAGACCCGCGGCCGCAGAGCGTTGCCACGGGTTACCATGGCAACGCTCCGCGCGGCACTAAGAGCCGCGAGATTTACACAGGGAGCTGTAGGAGCTGCTTGCAAGGTAAGTCAGCACTTGCTGCTGCTGAGCCACCACTGTACTTAACAAGCCACTGGACCACCAGGGGATACTATATCCCCCTCCCTGGTAAGAAGCAGGGAGGGGGGACTAAACAAAAAAACCCAAACATTTAAATATTAAAAAGAAATATTAAAATAAAAAATTACACAAATTACATCACTACACACACACAAACACACACTGCACACATACTGCATTACATACACACTACACAAACACACACTGGGGGGGGGACTAAACAAAAAAAAACCATTTAAATATTAAAAAAAATATTAAAATAAAAAATTACACAAATTACATCACTACACACACACAAACACACACTGCACACATACTGCATTACATACACACTACACAAACACACACTGGGGGGGGACTAAACAAAAAAAAACCATTTAAATATTAAAAAAAATATTAAAATAAAAAATTACACAAATTACATCACTACACACAACACACACACACATACTACACAAACACACACTACACAAACACACACTGGGGGGGGACTAAACAAAAAAAAACACACATCACTACACAAACACACACACACACTACACAAACACACACTGCACACATACTGCATTACATACACACACACTGCATTACATACACACTACACAGGCACACACTGCATTACATACACACACTACACAGACAGACACTACACACACACCACAAACACACACTACACACATACTGCATTACAGACACACACTGCACACACTACACTGCACACACTGCATTACATACACACTACACAAACACAGTACACATACTGCATTACATACACACTACACAGACACACACACTGCATTACATACACACTACACACACTACACACACTGCATTACATACATACACACTACACAAACACACACACACTGCATTACATACACACACAAAAACACACTGCATTACATACACACACAAAAACACACTGCATTATACGTAAACACACTGCATTATATACACACTACACACACTGCATTATATACACACTACATTCATTATACACACACTACACAAACACACTGTGCATCCACTACACACACACACACACTACACAAACACACACAGTTCCCCTGTCTAAACACACTTCATCCACGACATGTGGCATGTATATTTTGTGCATTTACCTTTCGAATTAGTTTATTTATTCAAAATAGTAAATGTACAGAATATCGGCAAGATATCGGCTATCGGCCTGAAAGTTCGCAGATTATCGGTATCGGTATCGGCTCTAAAAAATCAATATCGGTCGATCCCTAATTCCTGGGAATTATATACATGTATATTTTCTTGCAACTTAGGTACATCAGGCCTTTTGAAACACACAGGATGGAGCTACAAGTATATGTTCTATTTCACTAATGCCAAATCTGACACATTGTTTTTAGGTCAAAAGTGGTGTTTCTTTTGGATTGCTACTTTTGCTGGGTTTATGGTCCAAATCAGTATCTGTGAACATGAATTCCCCAGAGTGGTTTTGTGAATGCATTTTGAATATTCACTTCTCCGAGTTATTTTAATTATCTTTCAGTATGTTTTCTCTTATTTGTTAACAGTATAATATTGCAGTATGCTTAGTCCACTATATGGATTACACCCATATTTTGTACTGCCAGGGCTTAAAATTCCAGCTCTTACGCCACTAGCCAGGCTTGAAAAGTTACTAGTCACTACAAGTCTGGATGGTCCATGGCACACTCACCAAGGCTACATTTTTACTAGTCAATGACTAGTGGTGAGAGTAAATGTTGAGACTTGGTTAGGCAGTGGCGCTAAATAAAGTACTGATTTTATTTTGTGGGATTTTCACTGCACAACTGATGATATGGTTTATCACTATTTATATTTATTAGCTACTTATCACAAAGTAGCAATCTCAATTTGTAAAGTTTGCACTGTGATTTCAGATTCTCATTCTCTCTCTCGCTATTTATATATTTATATTGAGGTCTAGTAAAAGTTTTCTATTTTAGTTCTACATTGGTCAACTGCATTGGAATCTTATTGAAATTTCAACATGAGCAAAAGATATGAGACAAAAGATGAAGTACTTTATCTAATGTACAAGTCTGAAGTCAACAGAACTTGAAAACAAGTGGAGCTTCTACCATCAAATTTTATCAATCCCCACAGCTATTGCATCGCAAAAGTTGGTTGATGGAGGATCTGTGGTCTCATAGAATTCCATGCAGACTGATGTACTGTACAGCAGTGACTCCCATTCCCGGAGGATAAAGAAAGACGGTGGCATCCACATGGGAACACTTCAGATAAGCATGTTTGCATTCACCACCGAGGATCTTTGCAAAATGTGCAAAGACCCCCACGCCCAAAGTGTAAGAGCTGCTTTAAAGGTTTAATTTTTTTCACTAAAACAATGTTATGTTCTAGAAAAGTTTATTAAGCTGTTGAGACATCTTACTCTGACAATGTTGTAAGCAGTGATTACAAGTGTGATGTGAGATTGCAATGCGTCCCCCAGACTGGCAGAATAAACACATTGCACAAGATAAAATATGCAGACACTTCTTTTATTTAGAGGATTTGACCTTTTTAGCCACATCCCCTAAAATAAAATGCAAAGGTCAAAGAGACTTCCTTTACGCTACAGCATACAATATTATACCCAAACTTGTCATCACATCTTTTGCACAAATTGTAGTACAAATGCATTTTCTGGATCCACCATCACCCCGTCTCAGGTCACACAGAGTGTGGTAACATGGCAATACTTTCTTGAGATTGGGTAAAGCAATATGACTTACCTGTATAGATCCCTGACATCAACCCCACTGAAACATTTCTGCTAAGAACAAAACCATCATCTGTGCTCCTGATTTACTAGAGAAGTTAATTTCCGCTTTAGTAGCAAGTGGCTGAGATTTAGTTGCCATAAGATCAGTAGTTTGTATACACATCAGACACGTGACACCCAACATAACCTTTGCTCCATAACCACTACTGGTCAGTTTGAGTTTTTATTGTATTTATAGCGAGCCTTCCAAGAAGAGTTAAATCAGTTCTGTCACTTACCCATTATTACATAGAGCAGGTCATGTTTTCAATAAATTAACTACCCCTACTTTGTTGTGAGAGAATATCATCTGTAAAATATTTCCTGTAATGCTCAGAATGCCGTGGTGTATTGTGGGATTCACAATCTCAGGACAGAATCTACATATGTCCAGGACAGCAGAGGCTATTAGTAACTAAACTAACAATCCCCAAGCATTCACTAACAACCCTATATTTTAATGGTGTAGTGGCTCTTGGATCAAATATCATTTAAGTCTTTCCACCCTAAATTACCATGTTAATAAAAACAGGGAGTTATTAGATCTGCACAATGCGATGAAACACCAATCATATGGAAGTCCTTGTACAGCTCTAAGTCATGTCCATGAATTAACCAAATCATCTATGGGAAACTATATACATTTTTGGTTCAATACTTGTATAGGTGGAATGTAAGCAATGAGACTAGTTTTCAGCCTAGACTGGTTGCGAGAAACATCATAGTAACTCAGGGGAAAACCAGTATCCACAATGAACAATTATGAAATTATAATTCCCGTAAAAGCAAAACCTCTTGCAACATTATGAACGTGGCCATCAAATGCTATTATCTATCTCCATAATAATTTCCCATTTAAAGGGTGTTTTTCAATTTTAAATAAAGATAGCTAATGTACTAAAAAGTAGAATGAAATAACGACAAGACACATAATTAGTGTATTGTCCTTTCTTTAAAGATCATAGCATATCTTTTAAACAGCACAGCGTATGGCACCTTTATGTTTTCTGTGTGAATGGAGCAACGCAACTATACCAGTGACATGATGATGAAGATTAATAGTTTAGGATGGACAATTAAAATAAGATTTCATATAACTACAGTTTCTTTTTAAAATAAAAATTCATATTACTACATTTCCTTTAAAAACACTTTAGACTGGAAAAAATGTACAGGATAGCTGAACAGGGATGCTTGTGTTTTGTTCTAGGTGGCTGGCAAAATCAATAATATCTATGCATTTGTTGCACATCCAAAAAAAACACACAAAGAAAAATTCTTAGCAACAAAACAACTTATAAGGCAGGAAAAAGACAATGCATGTATTAACACATATATATGCCTACAAGTATGGGTGTTGCCAAAATATTTTGACTAAAAGGTTAAATAATTTAAAGTCATTATATGTCACAATCTTGATTCCTAAAATGTGAATTTGAATGCATTTTCCTCTTTATCATTAACTTGAGCAGGATTCAGTCAAATTCAGCACCTTCTAGGAATGGAGTTGTAATTTCCTCTTCTCAGAGGTCCTGTGTAAAATGGCATGTAATCAACAGGCATAGCCAAATGTAAAAATTCAGCAGCAGACATACAATCCTGTAGAGGAGGATGTCTATGTTCATGATACTTAACACACGGGAAGTTACCAGGCCTTTCGAGTCAATGTGTTTTTCCTCTGTGCCAAGAAATTCACATTAGCCTAGCCTCCATGTATGATAATTAATGCACCTGGAAGAGCAGTTGCAGGGAGTTTGGATTCATTGACTTCGATTCCTTATTTCTAGAGGGGTAGATTGCTGTTGAACCAGATGCCAGGCAGACTAACCATGAATCCCAACATGCTACAGGCTACCTTGCAGATCCTAACTCTGAGTGGTGCTTTTTCCTGGAGAAAGGTTTGTGTGTTCAAAATAGATGCCATAATCTATCATTTCTTGGAACACGGTCAGCATTAAAATTCCGATTTCTCATTGCACAAAGAAATGTAACAGAGGATGCACCCTGCAAAATACCACCCTGAGATACAATTCCAGGAGGATTTATGGTCTGAGAAATCCCATTTCCTGCAGCACTTGGTCGTCAATCACTGCAAACCCAGACTGCAAGCAAAGGTTTACTGCAGACAGGGTGGGTTTATGAAAATCTAAATTGCAAACAATCTAATAAAATCTTCAAGTAGCAGTTGAGATAGCACCTTTCCATTATAAAGTGCTTTGAAAAAAGGTTGACTTGTGTAAGCCACCTCTAGGGTGGAACCCTGGCACAATCAGGAATTTAAAGAAAAGTTGCTGCATAAAGGAGGTAAAAAAGCCTAGGGAATAGGAGCCCAAGCTTGAGTGTAGCCTTTTCTCTGCAGAATTGCAGAGGGTGCCTGGCAGACATTAATAAGAAACCAACATGCTCACCTCTCTTCTTGAAACTTGTTTTGATTTGACTCATTGCTCATTCAGAAAGAAAAGCATCTGATGGACAATGGTGAATGATAACCAACAGCAACGGTGACAGATTTACGTGGTTCAAAAACCCATGCATTGGTACTCAATTTGCCAAAACAGTCAGCAGGAAGGAGCCAGAGAGATGAATCTGGAAGGCACTCCAAAATGTGCACCTGGTTGAACAGCATGATCCACAAATAAATAAAAACATGACAAAAGGAAAAAAATAAAATAAAAAATTACAACTTCTGCCCAGTGACAGTAAGTCTAGGCCATCAGAACAAAACGAGCAAATATCGGGTTTGTGTCTTTTTCAGGTGGTATGTACAAGTCTCTTTTCATATCTAATGAGTGTGTTATTTGTGTGGCTGTGATTTTCTTTATGCATGTTCTGAAGCATGCCACACAAAAAAAAAAAAAAAAGCCACCCTCATGGTTTCAGAATTGATCAAAGGAGAGATCAGGGACCACACAGTTACACCTATTTAAAGATGTATGGGGAGGGTGAGGTGGAAAGTTACTCTCCCGCTAGATGCAAATCTGATTTAGTGCTGTCATGAGCACAGATTATCCCTTGAATGTCCAAAGAAACACTGTTGGAATATCTATGAGCACAGTATGGATTAAGTCCTATGATTCCCTCTTCTCTGATAGCCTACCTCGAAACAGGCTAGGTACGCAAGGCCAGCAGGTGTCCAACTCTGCTGGCAGCTGTAGGGCTGCAAGACCCATATACCCTAACCATCTCATAAAGATTTGGTTACTGCTATTTGGGAACCCAAATTTTCCTGCAAGTAGTAGAGGAGATGTAGTTCATAATGTTCTCCTGATTCAGGTACCCGGATACTGTGACGTTCTTGAGGATATATCTGTATAATAGAAAGCACACAGCACATAACTTTTTTTAATAACATAAAAATGGTGAGCAGGCATGGAATACATTTTAATTATTTTACCCAACTATAGTTGATTTTTGGACAACTCAAATATGTGAGAGGGAAAAAAAACCCAACAGAAAACAAAAACATCCCACAGACCAATTCACTTCTATCAGGGTTTTTCTACCCATCCCAAAATTACTTCTTAGGTAAGACACAGGGTTGAAATGTATGATGGGTGAATAAAGTATAGGAAATCTGACTGTATATTTTTACATGCAATCTAGATATGCATCAAATACAAGTTTGTTTTCACAAAGCCTGGAATCAAACATTCAAACACCCTATGGGACAGGGACCTCCCTACAACCAGTTTTTTTTTTCCCCCTCAATCCTACAAACCCCTAATGTGAGATATATACACTAAACATACATAGTGACAAGCACTTTGTAAGTTGCGCTAGTTCTTTGAAGGTACTTTGAGATCTCACCTGCAGGTCGTATGGTTTCCCACTGCGTACAAGGAAGCTGAGCAGAATGCTTGTGTGAGCAAAGTGCACATTCTCATCTAAGAAGCCATGTAAGAGGAGCAAGCGGTTAGGCCTGTGAAACAGATAGTAGGTATTACAACTGGAACATCCAAAAGTGTATAGTGTGTTAAGTAATTAATAAAACAAGCAGGGCTTAAAATTTTAAGTCCTATGTTACTAGCCGGGTGTTAAAAATTACTCCCCACGGCTAGTGGTGAGTGGAAATTTTGAGACCTGAAACAAATAAAGTTATATAGGCCCATACCGGAGTACAAATCACTTTTTCTTATTGATGCTACACGTTTATTCATTGTTATTATCCAAGATATGGAGAACAACAGGGCAGAACTGTATGCGAAGCAATGTATTTAATGTAGTGAACAGAAGATTACATTTTGCTATTTACATGTCTGACTTATAACATACAAACAACAACAAAGAGTATTCTGACACTTACTCAGATGGGAACTTTTCAGCCTGCATGGCCACAGATCCAAGGTAGTAGCCATGCTCATTTTGGTCTGGGTGACCCATGTACCGCTCAGTATATCCTGTATCATAGAAGATCCAGAGAGTCACAGGAGCTCCTGCAATGGCCACCTATATCAGAAGAAAAGGGGGCATTGAAAATGTGGGAATGGCAAGAGATTGACAACAGATATTGTACTTAAGGAAAGTTTCACAAGAAAAACTAAAAGTACGGGAGAGGAAGATACATTTATAACCAAGAGGAAAGAGTAACTAATTAAACTCCATCCAAAAGTAACTATTACAAAGATTCAAATTCATCCCCCAGTAACAACTATGAGGAAAACAGACAACTCGTTGACCTTTATATTTACCTGGGGCTTGACCCAATCATGAGATTACTGATCCAGGTCAAGGTTATGACACACAGTGGCACATGCCTAGCAGAGGGGAACAGAAATGCTAAGATAGTGTATTGACAGTTGCAGCCTCAACGAGTTTATCTAATATAAACTCCTAAAAAAAGGTAAGCAGGAGCTGCTTAATTTTCGCAACTACTCAATCAGGTAGGAAAGCATGTTAAGATTAGTGAAGAATAGAATGTAATTAATTAATTATGAAGTAAAATTAGGATGCAAGGGATGGACATTCTTGCCATGGTATTCTCAAATACTACAAGTCTCTAAGGAACATGCCCAAGGAGTACTTACCTTAAATATATCAGGTCTCTGAATAAGGGCCATAAGGGACAGATAGCCTCCATAAGACCATCCATGGACCCCCACTCTATCCAGGTCAATGAAGCGGTATTTAGCAGCCAGGTACTGCAGACCTTCCACTTGGTCATCTATTTCCACTTGACCCTAAATGTAAATAGAAAAGGCCAAGTCTGTCAACCATGTAAACCAAGACAATGCACAAAGAGGATAGAAAGAAAAGTGTGTCCCTTTCTGCAGGTGTCCCAAAATAAATAAATTGTTCTATAGCATTTAAATAGATGTTACCACAAATTACCAGGCATATGTCTAGCAACATAAAAGCAGAGTGGCTTAATAAAAGCAGATGTGGTAAGGTGTAGCATGTGTGTCTGTGTCCCCAGGCATCGAAGGATAGTCATTTTACCAAGCAATGAAAATGTGCACTTAACCCAAAAAACATGTGAGTTTAATTTGTCGTACTGGGTACAAAACAGAGATATTTCAAACATCAAAATAACTGATGCCCTTTGCACAGGTTACAGGGGCATGAAGCTCACTGACCCCTTCTCCTCATTCAGTTTAGCTTGAAAAATGGGAAGAACTGTTGCAGATACATACAATAAAAAATGAGAAACCAGTGCACTCCTGGTTTCTCATTTTTTACTGTATCTATTTGCCCCCCTCCCCCCCCCAGCAGTACCCCATTTAAGCATGTTAGGTTGAGTGCAATGGACCCCTTTGTTTTTTCATCTGTTGCAGATACAGGTCAACCTCCAATAGAGAATGTAAATTAAAAATCAATAAAAACTATGGTAGATTTAAAAAAAAGCACAACAGTGGCTTAATTAAAGTTAACTATTCGGATGTTCAAAAATCTCATGTGTAAAAATTTCACAAAGATATATGTGATAATCATCTGCACTCTATCCGAGCAATAGGCATGGCTGAGAAAACTCTTTTGTTTCTGTAGACCCTGGGAATTTTCACCAAATTGAGGAAAACCAAAGGTGAACATTTAAGGTTTGCCTTTTTTGTATTTTCTGCATTACCTAAATAATGCATAAAAAGGGTGTCAACTCTAGAATGGATCATTCCTCTTGGTTACTCTCCAGAAAAGAAATAAAAAGATCATATCTTGTAAGTGACACAAATTTTATTAAAGGGATGGCTCGGCTCGCTTTCAGTAATCCTATACATGTTCCTTACCATCTTGTATTTGAAGGCACCTTCAAACTTCAGTCCACGATGACAAGAGCCGCGGTTGTCAATGACAACTACAACATACCCCAGTGAAGCTAGAGTATTGAGGCGGAAATACTTCACTCCCTTGAATCGATTGTTTACTAGCTGGACCTGCAAGAAGGAGATTACTATTTAAACATGCATTTCTCCATGCTTTTACTCCTATAAAATACACATATTTACAATGCTTCCCACATACGGGTTTAATTCGTTTTTTTGAAAATGAGAGGGTCAAATATAGGGCTTGCCCATTTCAGCTTTTAAACATTGAAATTTGCCAGATTGGTTTGCTGGGCCTACATTGCATATAAGAACACATGGCAGCCCTGGAATTAAATTTACCCACCAAAAGTAAACACAAAGGGTATTCAAAATGGGGTATGTCCAGTCTTTTTTTAATAAAAGTTAGTGTTCATATTGGTTTTCTGCATTTTTCACACAAAAAATGCACTTTCACTGATGATATCGTAGTCCTTATACATTTTACTGCTCAATCACCCTCGTTGTGTTCTGCAATCTTTTGCGAGTACTACAGCACATCCTATCCTACTGGTGGAGTTAGACAGATCCAGCCCATATTCTGCACAGATATTTCAGTGCACAGATATTTCAATACAAAATCCCAGCAACTTGGTTGTTCCTGCTAACATCTTGCACCAAGCTACTATGTGCTGGATTGTCTAAGATGCCTCTACACAGTCTGCACCTTGGGTCCTGTCTGGTTTGGTAGATCCCCGCTTCTATTGATTTGGTGCCTGTTCCTGTGCTGCTAGGATTAGTGCCTCAGTGATTGTGATGGCAATCACCATCACTGGGAGCATAAGATGGACACTTCAATAAGATCTCTGGAGGATTCCTACGTTTAAGTAACCCTGTACCCATTGTGGGTGCAGGGTGCGTGTAATGTAATTGTTTAGTGTTAAATGTTAGTGTGCTCTCTTGACTTGCTAATGCTTGAAATCAACTAGGTGGATTTGACTGTGGAGCCCGTACAGCTCCACCTCTTGGTTGCAAGGATCTAGCAACAGCTGGTATTGCTCTTCATTGTATTAGCAAGTCAAAGTGGGAGCCTGTTGCTAGTAGCTGGTTGATTTGTGCTGCTAGACATTGTGGGTCATGTCAGGTCCTGGGGTTGACCAACGCCTCAAGCAGTCCCATGACTCGGATTGGCTGCAGGGGGACTGCCTGAATTGTCAGACAGGCCACGGATTTCGGTGGAGGGTAAGTATTTGAGGTGAAGGAATGGCCAGATCATTAGGGTGTGCTATGCTGCTCTAATGGTGTTAAAGCCCTCATTTTGTAGGATGACACACCACGCCCTAAAGCCGGGAAAGGTTTAATGCTCAAGAAAAATGTGTCAAATTCATGTTTCTGCCTCTTCCAAGATGGCTACCAAAATGGATACTACTCACATCATTCAATGATGGGCAGATATATGCACATCTGTCAGTCAAGGTATTTTTGGAGTTTCTTTTATACAGCACACTGTACACATATCATACATGCAAACATTTCAGATGGGCAAAGAGAGACAGTGTAATTTTAGGGGTGGGTGTGCGGCCAGGAGCTGGGCTATTCTGAGAAATTTAAGGTGACTTGCCAACAACAATTTATGGAAGTAATATGTCATTTTGAACAAGAACAATGTATTTTATTTACAGTGCCTGCTTTTTAAACCTTTTTTTGCCGTTTAAAGACATTACTGCGAGTATTACACACTCTCTCTGTTACACACCAATAATATTGAGTTCATACGAACGAGGGACATTAAGAAAGAAAAAAAATAGAGACTGTCCTTCCTAAATAGGAACACTTGGGAGGTATGTATACACATATATCCAATTGCTATATAGTGATAGCACAATGTATGGTCACCCTTTAAGCAATTTTTATAATTTTGACTGCACTACCCTTTCATATAAATGTTTGTTATGGTTTGTTATGGTGATCTTACCTGAGGTCCCCCATATATGAAAACAACTGTTGGATATTTTTTGCCTGGTTGCAACTGATGAGGTCGATACATCATCCCGTACAAAGTAAAACCTGTCCGACTGGGGAAGGAGAATATCTCTGGGGCAATGTATCCAGGTAGTGTTCCTAAGGGAGTAGCATTAGACAGATTAATACTAGCAAACAGTGTATGAGTTTCCAACACTATCCAACACTCCATATACATATTATATAAATATATCAAATATAACAAAAAAGGGCTAGGATGTTATTTTGAAACAATCTCATCCGTAAGCTTTCATAAATAGCATCATACCATTCATTAATAACATTCCATAATCACCTGGTGACTCTAAAAGTGTGGCCCAGAATTCCTTGTCCCTCTGGAACGCATCAGATCCAGAGCCTGTCAGGCGGAATAGATGAACAGAGTGCGGGAGGGTCTGGCTGCTGTATCTGCTAATGAACATGTCGCAATGCTGCAAAAGTAGGAACACGAGAATATGCTCGATTTTATTGGTATTATGCATACCGAGAAAATCGAACGTTCTGTGCTGAAGAGTGCTTGAGAACTACAATAATATTACACCTTTGTGAATGAGTATCACTTGTCTAAATTGGAGGTACAAAGTTGAATAAAGGGAATTTAAAAAAAAAGAAAAGCAGGTAAGAGGCCACTAAGCATGAAACAGAATATAAAGTCAATATAAAATAAAAATGTTTATATTCAAGGTATATTCAGCACTTCTCTCACTTACACCCAATAAAACACAACCTTGTGTGACTATAGTATGCTAGACCTAATATAATTCAAAGCTAATGTAGCTATTAAGCAAATGAGGACCAGGGAATCAAAAGTGATAGGTACTTCGATGTATTCCCAAGTGCAGCTTCTGAAGAATAGAGCACACTTAAAACTTTATAAAGGGATACATTTAAAACATTTCTATTAATTAATAAAAGTCTTCGACAAATCAAACGGCTCGATTTTTCAGAGGGTGTAAGTCCAAGGTGAGTAGTAAATTTGAGCATTTTGTGTATGATTCGAGAGTGAAGCACAGTATAATGGAATCATCGTCCAGCTCCATCAGTAGAGTAGGACTTTCTGCGGACCACACTTTAATCCACTAAAAAAATTACTTCCATAAACAAATCATTGGTGCAATTGGGGATTCAGAACTCTGTGAACATAGGGAGTTAAACCCCTTTGACGCTAGAGTTGTATCTTCACCTCTACGAGCATCATGATGAAGACCGTAACAAGAATTGTGGAATATGTTATGGTAATTCTGTGCGTATCTGGCAGTGTGGGTGCACGAAAAGTGACGGCACTTGAGACCAGAAAGGAGAACATGGCCAGTTGGACTAATCCTTTAATTATGTTTGTGAATACTAGTTTAGTTTGTTTTTGTTTGTTTTTTTATTTTTACACCAGCTATCATTCTGTAGAAAAATAATATTACTTCTTACTGAGGGTGAAATCAGTCTTAAATTATGGTTCATGTTGACATTACCTACCAGTAACATGAATGCCCAGTATAATTTGTTACAGAAATTATTGCAGTAATTATCTATACCACTGTACTAAAGTGTGTAAAATCGGATTTTAGCCTTCTTTTTACACTGCATACTTAAAGGATTTTCCTGAAGGTTAATACATGATCATTAAAAGTTCATTGAAATGTTAGAGAAAAGTGCACCCTTCATGTTTACCTTGCTGACGCAGCAAGAGTGGGAGTAACCCAGGTCTGTGAGTCTGGTAACCTCTCCTGGCGTCTCGTAGTTTGCAACATACAGGTGGTGTTCTAAAGGTGTGTCCTTTGTGCCCTCAAAATACACCAATTTGTTTACTTCGTCAACACGAATCTGAAGGATCAACAGAAAGTTGTAATAAACAGAAATATTTACAGAATCTAATCGTCGTAAGATATGAAAATAAAATAAAAAAATAAATTGCAACACTGCACCGCAAAAGCCTGACAGTATACGGATAAGGACACTCCAGTTTGGAATTGTATTCCTAAACCTTTCTATAAGCAATTACGGAAATAAGGCTTTAAAACAATGTATTCCATAAAATAAATAAATAAAACCATATACATTGTCTCTAACGCTCTCTCACTTGGGGTAAAATATTCTGCAGAAACCAGGAAGTAACAGAAATCTTTCAGTAATGGTTTCCAGTGGTAGTCTTGCATAATGGAATTAATGGATATGTAATACAGATCTCAGTTTCTTATTCAAAGTGGTACAGCAAGTGGCCTGAATGAAATTGCATTTCCATGTTGACAGATACTGCATGAAAGACTCATGAAAGTTTTTTAAGGGACTCTCTGACCCCTGTAAAAACTTCATCCCAATGGGGGATGGAGTCCATGGTTGCCTTTTTCTCTTACAATCCTAAACAGTTTTCAAGCGTTTTAACACCAGGCACCCATCCGCATTGCCTTCTGTCTCCTCCACCAGCCGCTGAAGTGATCTTTAAAGATTGATTTGGGCAATGGTGATAGGCCGTGAACATCAGCTAACACTCAGTCTATCATTTGCCACCCATTGCAAGTAACAGTACTTTTAAAAAGTTGCCCAGAGATTTTAGCACCCATAAAGACTTAATTGACATGAAGTTGTTACGGGTCTCCTGTAATATCCCTTTAATGAATAAAGGTAGGATCTACAGTGTGAGAGCCATCAATCTTAGGCGGCCCAGGGCATACATGTCCTGTTGCTGCATTAATAGTAATGGACCATGCAATGCTAAGTGTTTTTATATTGTGAATTCCTTTTTTAATACACACCGTACATAATTTGAGACAAGATCTATTCTGTATACATAAACACACATATGAGCAGCAGCATGCATTTGTGCATATCCACAATGTGTATATGCAGTCATGCACTCAAAATGTATAAAAGTTTGCATTTACAGTCCCAATCCAGGAAGCATAAACAGGTAACTAGTATCTGTAACCTATACAATTGCTGCAGATTTGCAAGCATGATACATACATTAAATATCACATTAAAAAGGCTTCAGAGCCCTAACTGATAAGAACAGGGGAAAAAGATGGCAGCATTAAACTTACAGTGGATCCATGTCGCCCCAGAACTTCCCATTCTCCGCTGGTAACAGCCATTTCCTGTTTTATTGGGCATCGGAAGTCACCTAGACACAGAATAATTTTGGGTCTATAGTTTGAATACATTTTCAATGTTCTTTTAAAAGTGAACTCTCCTGTTTCTACTTGTGATATTTTTTGTGTTTTATTAGACTATCAATTAATGTGGTTTTGGCAAAAATAATCAAGGTGTGAAACTCAAAAACAAATCATCTTACCTTTGCTGCCTGAACCCAACAAGTGTGCCATTTTCAGTAAATTATATTCACATTGTCAAATTATTTATACAAGTCTACTTTTCCAATTTCCCTTTTCCTGTAATTGTTTTCAAATTAGAGAGAAAGAGGCAAGTTGAATGACTTCAATTTGTTTAGGCCATGGGTCATCAACTTGGTCCCTACTGCCCACTAGTGGACGTTTCAGGATTCCAGGTGGGCGGTAGGGATTTTCTCGTTTTCAGAGACTGGGCGGGTGGGAGCCGGCGGTACCCCTGCGACCGGGTACCGCCGTCACCGTTTGCAAGGGGTCCAGCAGGTGGCCCATGCTGTCAGGGCCACCCTATGGATGTGGATTGTAAGGGGGCCCGGTCAGCGCTGGGCGCTTTAACAGTGTGACAGGGTCCCCTGTGCTTACGTCACTCCTCCCCGCTAACACACAGACCGCGCGGGAGGAAGCAGAGGGTGTCAGACTGGGAACTCTGACTCCCATCCACCTGAGCCACCACTGGACCCCAGGGAATGTCACCCTCCTGCACCTAAAAGGTAGGAAACAGGAGGGTGACTAAAATATTTTGCGTGTGTTTGTTTGTGTGTATGTGTCTTTGTATGTATGTCTTGTGTGTGTGTCTTTGTATGTCTTGTGTGTGTGTGTGTGTGTGTCTGTCTGTATATGTGTGTACATGTCTATGTATGTATGTCCTGTGTGTGTGTCTGTATATATGTGTGTATGTGTGTCTTGTCTTTGTATGTATGTGTTGTGTGTGTCTTGTCTTTGTATGTATGTGTGTCTTATGTATGTGTCTTTGTATGTGTGTCTTGCGTCTGTCTGTATGTGTCTATGTATGTCTTATGTGTGTGACTTTGTATGTGTGTGTTTCTTTATGTGTGTGTGTCTGTATGTATGTATGTGTGTCTGTATGTGTGTGTGTCTGTATGTATGTATGTGTCTTGTGTGTGTCTGTATGTATGTGTGCCTGTCTGTTTGTATGTATGTGTCGTGTGTGTGTGTGTCTGTATGTATGTATCTGTGCCTGTCTGTTTGTATGTATGTGTCTGTATGTATGTGTGTATGTGTATGTGTGCCTGTCTGTTATAGTGGGCTATAGTAAGTGGGCTACCTAGCTCAGCCTTCCTACTAGGCATTGCTATAAAGAAGGTTGTATGTGTATGTGTGTCTGTATGTATGCCTGTCTGTGTGTCTGTATGTGTGTCTGTCTGTGTGTCTGTATGCCTGTCTGTTTGTATGTATATGTCTGTATGTATGTATGTATGTGTGCCTGTCTGTTATAGTGGGCTACAGTAAGTGGGCTACCTAGCTCAGCCTTCCTACTGGGCATTGCTATAAGGAAAGTTAAAAATTGAAAAAAAGGGAAAAAAAGGTGGGGAGGCGAATTGAGGAGGGAGAGATGAGCTGACGCAGAGATGAGAAATCATATTATGCGCAACCAGAGAAGTCGTCTGAATATCACCGAAAGAGGAGACCTTCGTTTGTTCCTTATGAAAATCAAACCAGATATCAAATATTTAGTCTCGCAGCATCAACCTCAAGGATCTCATTAATCACTAGTAAAGGTAATTTCAATTTCCTTTATTGTTTTCTCATTAAACTTTATAAAGTTAAAAACATTATAAACATGCATTAAGTAGAAATAAAAAGATAAATGTATGTGTATATATATATATATATATATATTTTTTTTTTTTTAAAAACAGCCTCCTTTCTAAAAAATATTCAGCACTTGCGTGAAAACTGGTGGGCGGTAAGGAAATTTTTCCAACAAGAAAGATGCATTAGTGGGCGGTAGGTAGAAAAGTGTTGACTACCACTGGTTTAGACATTTGTTTAGTTTTGTGAGTTCGTTCAGGGCATTGTAATATTTACACAAATATTTATATATACAATGGTACCTCGGTTTACAAACGCCTCGGTTAACATAATTTTCGGTTTACAAATGAAAATCCATTGAAAATAATGCCTCTGTTTACGAATTTGTTTCGCAATACAAAGCAAGTTTCTCCAAAATGCACTGCGCCTGGGAGGTTCATACACCGCCCCGTGCATGCTGGAGTCTGTGGGTAGTACGTGGTGGCGAGTGTGGAGGTGTTTGAGTGGCTTTTGCATCGAGTTTTGGAACCATTGTGGAATTTATTTGCAGCGGTTTTGGGACTTTTTGGTGCATTTCTCAAGCGGTGGAAAGGTAGGGAGCTGAGCTTTGTCATTTGCATGCCTTTTACCATGTGTTCTGCATTGTGAGTTGGTTTCCATGCCAGCTCATTATGACTTTTTTCTGACCTCCAGAGCAGATTAATTGGTTTTCAATGCATTCTTATGGGAAACCACGTTTCGGTTTACGAAAAAGTCCTGGAGAACGCATTATATTGGTAAACCGAGGGAGCACTGTATACTTATTATTATATATAATTAATTTTTATTTAAAAATGAATGAGTGGCTATCCATTATTAGAAAAAAGGAAAAGGAATTCTGATAGATTGTAATAGCATTTAAACTGTGCTTTCTATGCTCTTGTCTGTCATTATTATTTAGTATGTCAATGACTTGTTGTAATACATCCCTATGCTATCATTGTAAAGCGTTGTAGAATATGTTGGTGCTATGTAAGTGCTAATAATAAATTTGTATTTAAAAAGTTATTACAGAATCCAGCCTGCATTTGGCACTGTGGTTACCTTAAAACTATGATTTTCAGAACACACTCCATATTTTCGACTTTTCCTATTGTTATGTTTATATACAGTCACTTAAATCTCAAAATAGCAGGCAGATAGAGAAGTGTTGAGCAGATGGCCACAGCAAGCATGTAAATTGCTGCTGATTGATAGGTCACATGGCAGTAGGGAAGCTGCAATTCTGATCAACATGGCAATACCGTTCAGTTTAAAAATAGATTCCATAAATTTACAAAAATTTAGAGCCTTACAAATCTTCCATAGTTTGCTATTTTGATTTAAAATTTTATTATTTTCGCATAAATACAATTTAGAAAATAAGAACTCTAATCACAAACGCTGCAGCTGTGCGTCTGTACAATTAGAGATGGATGGGCACTGCAACACCAATGATATCATGCTACAATGTATTCTTATGGTTCAGCATAACTAGTCACGGAGTAGTGTTTGAACAGATTAAATTTCCAATTTTATTCCATTGTGGGTTTAAATATTTCCTTCCTAAAGCTTGATATGGGATATTCTAGTTTATGAAAACACATTCTGAAAAAAAAAAAAAAAAACCCACATCCAAAACATCCAACCCTGTTCCAATAACCTTCATTCAGCTTTGTATATCACCACTAAGAATCAAATGGCAAGTAACTTACAGAGTCCCAGGGAGTCAGCCCCTCCTCTACTGGTACCACCGGCTTTCAATATGCTAATGATTCGGTAAAGGTGGCGGAATCCAGTCTTGCACTCTGAGGCGAAAAGGAATTGAATCTCATCATCCCGAGTTTGGGGGAAGAAATGAAGAATATCATGAATCTGTTGCACAGTGAGAATGAAAGAGGGAAAATTAGGAGCAGCTTGGTAATTTTGAATCTAATTAAATGTCAAGTATATATATACACACACACATATATATATATATATATATATATATACATACATACACACATAACATCACAAGGCACTAAATAATAAACTGCTAGTTTTCTGAAAGCCTGGAGTATGTTGGAAACCAATGAGAATTTCTACCATAAACAGAATGGTAAAAAAATGTAAATATTATACAAGTGAATGACCCATAAACAATTCTATATTTATATCCATGCTTAAAACCTACACTGCCTAGATTTGATGTAAGGCCAGAGGTTCAAGAGAAGGCTTATGAAAAAAATAACAAACGGAAATCAACTTTCTGCTAATTTCTAATATGCCATTTAGGAACATTTCTTACAGCCCATCACTATCTTAAAACAAATATTAAACCTAAATCTGCCTGTGCTTATATGTATGTGAATACAAAGTTCCCCTATCTAGCCTACTAAAACCATATTTTGGATACAATTAAAGGAACACTATAGGGTCAGGAACACAAACATGTATTCCTGACCATATAGTGTTAAAATCACCATTTAGTGTCTTGCCCCCCTCAACTCCCGATCTGACTCCTTGGTGATATCAGATTTTAGGATTTTTAACCAATCCAACATTGAATAGGCTGAAATCAGCATTGGAAGTGGGATTGGGCGGGGTCAAATTCAAGCTTGGCCAATCAGCACCTCCTCATAGAGATGCATTGAATCAATGCATCTCTGATGAAAATTAAGCGTCTCCATGCAGAGTGTGGAGACGCTGAACAGCAGTGCTGCTGCCCCAGGAAGCACCTCCAGTGGCCATCTGAGGAGTGGCCACTGGAGGTGTCCCTAGGCTGTAATGTAAACACTGGCTTTTCAATGAAAGACAGTGTTTGCATAAAAATGCCTACAGGGAATGATTATACTCACCAGAACAACTACATTAAGCTGTAGTTGTTCTAGTGACTATAGTGTCCCTTTAAATCCCACATTAAATACAACATTGTACTATCTCAAGTTTTTTTTTGCATCTTTGCTTTTCTTAAAACGTGTCGTCTTCTTAAGTGATTAGCAGGGTATACAAAATGTGATCGCCAATAGATCCAAGAAAAGCTTCCAAAAGTACAGCCAAGTCACTAATTTTTACCACACTGTTTCTAAATAGTTCTTTAGACTCAAGAGCCCCAATTGTTAATGAAGACAGGCTGTCAGGAACTTCAACAAACAAACAAACAAATAAATAAAAGATTGCCATTTTGACATAGCACTTTTAGAATGTATAATGTATCACTTCTAACAAACAAGCATTAATTTACTACTCCAAGTACATACATTTCAAATCATGGTAGAAAACATTTTTTTAAATTTACTTCTAATAACCAAGCAATGTTAATATTACTTTCTACACTTCAGTAAGTTTGATAAGTAACAATGAAAAGTTAATGCATAGTTTCACATTCACCCAGTGAAATCTCAATGCTTGACCTAAGCCAGCTTTGGTGTGTGAAATAACTATAGTTTATGCTACTTTCTAAAACATTGACTTTTTTGACAGACAAGTGTTACACTGTGAAAGTGATAAAACCCTTCAATAAACAGTTTTTTGAGAAAATCTAATTTTTTGTTGGCCTATGCTGTTACTTAAAGTGTGGTGATAGCTACACAGTTATTCTGTGATTTCCATTTGGGTATGTGTGAGCTTTTGTTCAGTTAATAGGATATTTGCTGCAACAGACGTTAAATCCAAATATAGCATACAGAAATATAGCATAAACATTCTTACGTTAATCCAGATATCTGTTGTCTCCTCATATATTATGAGTGGAGTCACATTATCTGGCAACGAGTCAAACAGGAGTGGGTGATCCGGAGAAGTTGTGTAGCAATTGCTGAATAATGCTGGTGGGATGAGAACGATCTGTAGACGAGTCTGAGGGCGATCAAGCAGGATGGCCCAGGCACTGCAAAGGCAAAGTCGATATTACAAATGCTTGAACTGCCATAGGATATCCCAACAGAGAACCATGCATTTTACCATGCACAACTTTTACATTATATGAAATGCATGTTTTGGGAAGAACATTGCTGCACCGGGTATTATAGTGTGAATGTACATAAGACATGCATGCATACAAACAACGGTCTTCTTTTTCATTTGAGGAATATAGGCATGAGAAGCACTCAACATGAATGGAATGCTGCTGTCACCTACCAATCACATTCAATTTATTTTCTCTCTTATGAATGGTGTATGCAGGGCTTTCTCTATGAAGAAAAGTGTATTGGTAATGAACAGAGCTCCTGTTCCAGTTAAAGAAGAGCTTATCAACTTCCTGGTCTCTTCAGATATCACTGCTTTAGTATCAGATGCACAATGAATATATAGCGGTATATAGTAGTTCTACTCTCCAAAACAATTTAAAAAAAATAGAAGAGTATCTGAATCCTAGCAAGCCTGTCTGTTCGTTTAGTGTTGTAGCCTCTGCTACTTTACAGGAAGAGCAGCAGATGTATTGAATAGCTTTTCTTTACATACGTAGCCAGCCAGCAACGTTTTTTCAATTTTTTAGCTGGACACATTCAGCACACTTTAATGTAGATTGATTTGATGCCATAAAGAAATATGTGGTATCGTGAATGATCATTCTAAATACAAACTCAAGGATAGCATAGTTCTAAAATTCCAGTAAAGATAAAAAAGTTATTAGATTACAAAAAGAGAAGGAATCTTAGACAGGTTTCTATGTCCTCAGAACCTGTTAATGTGATTCACAGGCTATTAAAGAGAATCCCTGGATAGATCAAGCTCTGTGGGCTGCAGATACACAGAGACATTTAAGGTGTTATTTGCACTCTATCAGAAAAAAAAGGGAATACACAGCTGACTGATCTACAGAAAAAAAAATTATCAGAACATAACGTAACATGTAAAATAGTAAAAGCAAAATTAAACACTGCGCAGCTGGAAATACACTCACAGCATAGATGATATTAGAATCGCCTATGGGTGCCTCCCCTAAGATAATTTGGGGGGCTAGCCAACGATATCCTTCTGCTTCAACAGAAAGTTTATTAAATAAAATAAATGAAAATAAGAAAAAGGTCCCACATGGGACTTCCCCGGGAACAAAATGAATAAAATAACATGAAATAAAACAATTTCTTAAAAATACCCTTAGGGGAAAGCAGCATTGTGCTAAAAATTAAACTGTAAATAAAGGATTTTAGATGTATTTGCAAGGTGTTTAAACCCAACCATTATGTGGATTAATACATGCAGAAAGCCAATGCATTTCACTGCCACATTCCCCATTTCTTCCCTCATGTCCTATTCAATATGAAGCGCTTTGTAACAAAAACAAACATTATTCAGTTCCCAACAATACTCACTACTTTCCATCAGGAGTCCATCCAGCTCTGGCAATGTATTCATTGCCTCCAAACAACACTTCAAAGGGTTGCCTAAGTTCTTTGTCCACCACATCCTGAACCTGATGAGATGGAAAGATCAACTTTATATTTAGATGCACAATGGGAGTTGCATTTAATTGCCAGTCATATTCTATAGTAAACAACAAGGAAGAGACCCAACAAGCTCATATACAGCTTAGATGTCAGATTACAGTATATATCGGTGAAGACCTCATTTTGAAAATATACATGCTAGCTACCATTACATAACATTTATAATACTCTCCCTGTAGCAGTCTTTTTACAATAAAACAATTATAAAAAATATGTCCAGAAGAGAAACATAGAAACAAAAAAAAGATAACTCACCCTGCCCTCTGCATCCACGATAATCTCAGACAGCTTAAATGTTACTTTAGGGTTTGAGGTACCTGAAAGAGGAGATAAGATTTTGAGAGAGATGTAAGCAAAAATAATGGGGGGAAAAGCATATCAGAAGCAGACTGAGTAAGCAATCACCAACTGTGATTACAGAAATGGATCTCCAGTAATACAATGACAAAGTGCTTTTACTTTCATCTTGCAGTCTTATGAAAAACAATAGCAAATTGTAATCATTTAAAATGTTGAGCATCTGAGCAACTGTAGAAACATCTAAAATCAACTCTTTTATTCCACTCCTGCAGTCAAAGATTTAAAGCATCCGTGTCACCAAACACTATGAATATGAATGTATTCACTAAATTATGAACGCACAAGGTAATTTCAAACTTCAGGCCAAAATAGCAGAGCCGTGAGAGGGAGGAGAAAAAATAAGAAAGACATGGAGACAGACGTGTTTTAGTTCATCTATTTTGGCATTAAATTCCCTAGCCAATTCCTGTCAATTCCTGGTTACTGAAATACAATGTTATCATGAAGACTATATATTATAGCTAGCTCAGGTTGCAAAGCACTTAATAAACATTCCCTCAGAGTGCTATAAAAGAATCCGGAAAACATCTGCAACTTGAAGCGCATACTCACCCGCTTTGGGGTAACGGAATGAATCAGTCCTTCGAGTCTCCAACATTGGAGAGGTGACATGAATTATTTCCACATCTGACTCATCATTTTCCTCGTAGAGAATGCGCAATATCTGACCACCAGATGAAGCTGGAAAATAAAGACACGCTGATAATGAGTAATGATGCTTTAGCATTATTTGGCTACAGCAAGAATGTACACATTATAGTGGATTACTCACAACCATTAGAGCCTACCAGTGGCATACTAAGGGGGTGGGGACTGGAGGGGTGGGAGGTCCGCCCCGCGTGCCATGACCCTGGACCAGGGCCGGCCTTAGGGGTGTGCAAGCTGTGTGGCCGCGCACAGCTCACACATGGCCAGGTGACAGGAGTGCAGGGGGGTAGCTAGAACAGGTTACCGGGTTGGAAGATTTCATTATTCTCCACCCGGGTGAAGGAAAAAATAGCGAGGTAGTGTGGGGTGGAGCTTAGTGGGAGGTCGAGTTACAGTGGCAGCAGGTGCGGGGTTAAGCCTTTCAGAAGCCCCTGGTAACTGCTACAAAGGAAGTGGGAAGCAGGAAGGAGTCCCTGCTTTCCCACCATCTTAACTACAGGAGCTGCACTGCCTCCACTACCCCCTTCCAGCCATAATGGAAAGAGGTAATTGTCTTTGTGCCTGTCTGCGTGTGTGACTGTCTGCCTGTGTGTAACTGTGTGGGTGACTGTCTGCATGTACCTGTGTGTGAACGGGTGCATGGATTTTGTAGAAGGGAGCAGGGGTTTGTATTGGGACAGGGGTCTTGTATAAGGGGGGTAGGACAGGGGATTTGTAGAAGGGGGATGACAGGGTTTTTACAAAGTGTACAAATTTGTGCAATACATTTAAAAAAAAAATTTGAAAAAGAAAAAAATTTGAAACATTTTGCAGGTGCTTTTTTTTTTTAGTGCTCCAGGTACACCCATGCAGCCTACTGTAGTGACTCTCAAGAGTACCCTGGCTCTATTCCAGAGTAATGGAGCAAACTATTTAACACTGGTATAACACTAAGCTGGGTCCTGCCAAGTGCTAAGCTGGCATTAACGGTGCCAGAAGAACATCAGTTTCTATAGGGCTTCAGAGGCTGGATGCCATTATGGCCTTTCATTCCAGGCCAGCTAATAAAATGTGACCATGGTGGAGTTACACCTCCAGCAGCAACTATACACATCTCTGTATACAGGGTCATCACACCTCTTCCTCTCCTTCCTCCTTCTATTAGATCCTCTTAGCGCGCCTATATTCTCTCCTGCTGACCCTCCACAGACTTCAGACCAGCATCCTTCCCAACCGTAGGTGCAGCACATGCACATAGGGCACCATTCAGAGACTTCTCAATAAGGAGAGGCTACAGGTATAAGAACTGCAGCTTTTGCAAGCTGATTTTAGATATACACACAATGACTGATAAATGGATGCATGCATGTTTTCACTGGCGGTACATCTACTAAATAGCAATTTTTTTTTTACTGTGGAGTATTTATTTAACTCAAAATAGCACTGCTTTATGGGAACAGCGGGCATTTTTGAGCATTGTAACCAAAATGGTCAGCTTTCCTCTGTAGAATAGTTGGACAACAACTTCCATAAACTTAAGTCACTGCATGACATACTGCAGGAACACAGGAAATACAGCAGGTATGTAAGAGAGTGGGCTTATAAAGCAAAAATTATTAAAAGGGGCTGGGGTTAAGACACAAGGTGTGATTGGGGGGAGGAGAGACACCTGAAATAGAGTGGAACAGAGGCTTCTGAATGGAGAATTCTCTGTGAAGTGATTGAAAGTCATTTCCTGTAAAAATAAAAAAAATAAAAAATAAAAAAAAGGGGGTGGGGTGGGCATACAAAGGTTGCAGTCATAAGAACTGCAGCTTTTGCAAGTTGTTTTAGACCAGGGCTGTCCAACCTGCGCCCCTCAAGATGTTGCTGAACTACAACTCCCATGATTCTTTCAATGAAACAGATAGCCAGGGAATCATGGGAGTTGTAGTTCAGCAACATCTGGGGGGCCGCAGGTTGGACAGCCCTGTTTTAGACTATACTCCCAATGAATACATACATAAAAATATACATGTATTTATTCATTGGGAGTATATCTACTAAACTGTGTGGGGGGGGGTCTGTTTTTATTTCAAGTGTGGAATGGTTCTTTAAGATAAATGTATAAAGGAAACCACACAACAATTGCATTCCTTTCATCAGGGCCAGCGCACCCTATAGGCGACTTAGATGCCTAGGGTGCACCGGCCCGGAATGGGGGAAGAGTTGAGTGACCCGGCAGGAGGGAAGCGCACAGCGCTCCCTCCTGCCATTCACTCAGTGTAGCGTGGCCGGCCGACGCGGACCATGGTACAGGAGCTTCTGTTTCCTATACCCGGTCGGACTGAAAGGAAGAGCTCTCTCAGTGAGCACTTCCTGTCAGTCCGGCAGGGTACAGGAAACCAAAGCTCCTGTAGTGCGGACCGCGCCACCCGGCCACGCTACAAAGAGGTAGAGGCCACTAAGGGAAATTAACCCCCCTATATATCATTAACATTGCACACTGTCACTGTCAATATTTATTTACATTCCCCTGTTCAGACCAACTTACCTCCCACTACTCCTACACAAGTTAGATTCATTACTATACATTCCTATTCGTCCCAGATTTGCTACTATTCTTTCTGTTTATGCCAACTTATCAAAATTACCCATTTTGCTAACATAGTGAAACTCGCTCTTTACCAGTAACGTGTTTATTCCAGATTCCATATCATTACCCCTCTCATTCATGTCAGTTTCATCTATTCCCTCAGCATTTTCAACTTCCCTCCCCTGTCAGCTTCATCCGATTCATACCTGTACAAAGCTTGCACTTTTTAGTTCTCGTGGAAACATACAATGCATCCTATACTCACACAGAAACACACCATGCTTCTCTTACACACACAGAAATACACAATGCATCCATTACACACACACAATGCATCCCTTGCACATATAAACAGAAGCACACAATGCATCCCTTACACAAACACTGCTTCTCTTAATGCATCTCTTACACACACACTCAATGCACCCCTTACAGACACACACACTGTATTACATTACATACACAGAAACACACATTGCATTCCTTACACACACACATATTCACACAATGCATCCCTTACATACATTCCATAAGAACACACACATTACATCCTCTACCATAACACATCCCCTACACACATACACTCCACTCCCTGTTAGCAAACTTATAGGTAGGCCTTGTTGGCAAAAGGCTTATAGGCAGGCCTTGTAGGCTGATCTGTGTAAGGGGTCACAAAAAATGGACCTGCTTCTGTTTCGTTGATTTTTGTGGGCACTGCCTCCAGATAGTCTGTTTTAACACCAGACCAGTAAAGCCAGACAGCAGGCTGAGCCCATCATCTTCCTCTTGTCCTCATCTGGTGGTAAGTAGACAACCCAGTATATTATTAGTGGCATTAAGCTCTAATTTACCTCACATTAAAGGGACACTATAGTCACCAGAACCACTACAGCTCAATGTAGTGGTTCTGGTGTATATAGCCTGTCCCTGCAGGCTTTTAAATGTAAACACACTGTCTTTTCAGATAAAAGACACTGTGTGAAGCACTGGTGTTGGCTCGTATGGCAGATCTTATGGGTGGGGCATTGTTATGTCACATAGTGGGCAGAGCATATAGGGGGGTCAGCAAATTTTAGTTTGCCTAGGGTGGCAAAAATCCTTGCACCGGCCCTGCCTTGCATGGATGCTGAGAGTGCTCCTTTAAAACCAAACAAACAAAGTGGAACAACAAAGAGGTGTAAACAATTAAGAGATTCTTACTTTTCTCATTACGTGGACACCACCAGAACCCAGTATAGCGATCAAACTCCTCCTGAAGCACAAAGGAAGCAACACCAGCGGAGCGTGCATCCTCCTCCACCCTGGCTGAATCTAGGAACAGACAGACAGACATTTGAATGAATGATCAAAATCAAAGGCACATAAGAGATAGCTAATACCCTTTAAGAATCTTTGACTGCTTCGCGAAATGATACTATAAAACCTGAGACTGTATTTATGCAAGACTGTCCAAACAGTGCTTCTAAAAGATTAAAATCAACTTGTTGAAAGCAGGTACAGACACACCTGTATTTCTAATGCTATAGTGCAGTAGTCCAGAGTTAGGTGAATGGGCCACCCACTTACAATAAAATTATAAAAATTGGATTTTACACACCTTTTTTTTTTTATTGCTGAGACTCCCTCAGAGTAGTTGTCGCTTGCTTGCTTGCTGCTGGTTCAATCCAGTGATTCTTATAGTAAAGCATTGAATCCAATGGAAGGGTTAAATTCCCCTCTAGTGGCAGACCTCCTGACAGCCACTAGAGGTGCTTGTGCCCTCGGTGCAGAGCTAAACAAGGCTCTTCAATCTGTTGTTCTCATAGTGACCATATGATTTCTGTAGCATGGAGCACTAACCTCCGAATCGAGGAAGAGCAACTGCGCAAGACCAGCATGGCAAGTGAGTAAAGGTTAGTAAAACTCACCGTTTAAATCCTCACTTTGAGGGCAGCACCTTAATGCAGGGAAAACCTTCTTATTCTGGAAATACATATTTGTATTCCTAACACTTTAATGTTCAGTTAAAAATCAAAACTCTCCTAGTACCCATCTCAAACTTCACCTGCCCTTGCTCCGAAACACCCTCTCCTCTCAACCAGATATCATGGTGCCTCCTACATTTAAATCTAGCAAGCACACAACCTAGGCACACCAAGCTGACCTGATCCCTCCAAAAATGTTCCAGAGCTTCTGAATGCTTCTGGAGAAAATCTTGTTCTGCATCCGACTTGCTCCACTATAATATTATGCTACACTCCTACAGTTTGGCTCTTTCCTCTGCTAAAGAAAACTACTTCAATACCCTCATAACCACACTCTCCCGAAAACCTCTTCCGTACACCTCTTTCATACTTTTAATTCTCTTCTTCGCCCTGTTGCTGCTCCTCCTCCTCCTAATAACTTGACTGCGACAAACTTTGCAACTCACTTCACTGAGATTTCTGTGATCAGGGAACAGATCTCCAGTCCCTGTCATTCCCCTACCAATACTTCCCTTTACTCCACGTTTTCCGATGTTCTATGCTCACTTGCACCCATCCTCCCGCCCCCCACCTGTTCCCTCAATTCTATTCCCTCATATCTCTTCACACAGTTTCCTTTTCTTGCTCTGCCCCTCACTAAAATATTCAATCTCTCCTTCATCTCTGGCATATTTAATTCATCCTTCAAGCATGCCACCATAACCCGGATTCTAAAAAAGCCAAACCTTGACCGAAACTCCACATCCAACTACCGCCTTTTCTCACTACTACCGTTTGCCTCCAACATCCTTGAAAGTTGTGTATACGAGATTGACAGACTTCCTTGAATCCAACTCTCTGCTTAACCCACTACAGTCTGGATTCCGTGTTTATCACTCTGTCAAAATGGCTCTAACCAAAGTATACAATTATGTAATTGCTGCAAAATCTCGTGGTCACTACTATCTTAATTCTCTATGGCATTTCTGCTGACTTCAACACGGTTTAACATCAACAACTTTTTCTCATCCTCAGTAATCTGGGTCTATAAGATACTGTTGACTGTTGGTTCTCCTCCTACCTCTCCAAGTGTTCTTTCAATTTATCTTTCTCTGCATCTACCTCTTCTCCGCCAATCAAGACTTCTCTAGGTCTGCGCTGTTCCTACGGAACTCCCTTCCCTGCTCTGTTAGACTTTCACCCAGTCTAAATTCCTTCAACAAGTCACTAAAAACTCACTTCTTTAGGAAAGCATATCGAACAGTTAATAGATTACCCTCCCCATACCCTGGTAACCCACCCTTCTTCCTTTCTTGCAACGGTGTCATGCAAAAAAGAAAACAAAAAAAAACACACACACAAAAAAACTAACCCTTCATTTCAAACTACTCTAGTGTACTACTTTTTTTCCCATATATGAAATACATCCAACCCTTACTTCTTGTGCCACTTTACCCCACTCCCTCTGGAATGTAGGCTAGTTTGAGCAGCTCAGCAGCCTCTGTTTCTGTGCATCCAACTCGTCTTATTTGTCTGTTAGTCTACTTATTACAGTGCTGTGGAATTTGCTGGCGCTTTATAAAAAATTATAATAAAAACTACAGAACTATTGCACCCAGAACACTTTAGTGGTCCTTTAACATGGTTACACACTTGCATTTTGCTAATGTAATCTGTACATGTTAAATGCAGTTTATACCAACCATGTAGTGAAATAGTAACAAATATTCTGCATATTCAGTTAAAATCTGAGCATGCGCCAAATTCTTTCAATCCCGCTGGGGAGAAAATCCCCATGTAATTTTATTATTAATTTATCTGAAACTATTGACGTTATAAACAGACTTGCATCAAAGTTTGTAATGCTTGGGATTAGTTATGATACAGATAGCAATAGCTCAACATTTGTATGCTTAAACCGCAGTAGAACGTTTTGGTGACAGTCTACATAGTCTCACCTTTGTGCACAAATGTCAGCCTGCGTTCCTCTCCACTCTCAATATTAGCTATCCAGAGGTCATTGCTGTGAACAAAGGCAATCCAGCTGGGGTCTCCAGGACAGAGGGTGGGGTCCATGCGGATATTAGGACAGTTACTCTCCACTAACTGAGGCTGCAGTGGCTGCTTCTACATGCCAAAATGCAAACAAATTAAATTTAGAAGAAAATCGCAGAAAATAAACTACAATACTGTACACAGATAAAAAGACACCATGACATTCACATTCACTTCAGTTTCTTATGTTTAAATCAGACTAACTATATGCACTTATGACTTATTTCCAGCTTTTTCTGAAATACCTGTTTTTGGATTATTTCTGATAGTTTGCTTCTATGTTTCCACGATGATTTTATAATTGATTACATTCACAAAATACAACAAATTATTAAAATGGAAAGAATTTTTGAAGGCTTTTTTTTGTGCAAATAAGGGCACAAATAGGTGCAATAGTAAAAGTGCTACAGCACAGCCCAAAAGGAAGCACCACACTTTTTATCCATAAGACCTGCACACAAAAGACAAAAAAAAAGGGACAAAATCTGAAGCGATACATCTACCCTGTTCTTATATCTGTAAGAGAATGACATACAGCAAGAAGCAGTGTAGAAAAAGATAATGCCTGTTTCATTTAATATGAGACAGTAAAGATAGCCTCAATCCTTAAAAAAGGGGTTCAGTAAGAGACAGAGATTAACTATATAAACTGCCTGCCCATCAAATTAGAGGAGAATGAGTTATTTCCCATACAGCATAAAGCACAACATGTCCTTGTGCCCTTAAGGGTACCTAACCTAAGGCTGTGCTAAAGGTAACACAACTTATCTATGCTGAATAAGCTCATCCTAGATGGTGCAGTACCAATATCCAACGAAAACGAGGTAGAGAGTAGACCAATTAATCAGCAGGTACTGTACTATAAAAATCAATTCATGTACTGTTAACAAAAGACCAGCATACCATGTATCATATCAGTCAAAGGGATGTTCGATCCTCAACCTGTCCTGAAACATACATGCTTCCATTTTATTCTTGTATTGTACTTTTTGAAGTTGCTTGAAAGTTTTGTAGATATTCAGAAATATATTATTGCATACCCATGACATTTTCTTTGTAGATCTCTAAGGAAAACTTCAACAGACAGCAATTTACATTTAAAAAAATGTCATGTCCCGACATATGCTTCTCCTGTGGAGTGGCTCTTCAAGGAGGAAAGATGCCAGATTACACAAGCTTTTAATTAAACAATACCATGATGGGACAAGAAATTGGCCAATCAGAAACCAGAAAGAGAGAATTATGTCAATCGCTACTAGCAAACGTCATCGAAAAAGAAATGCAGATATGATGCGGGAGCTGAATGCACCCCTTAAAGTTACAGGGAAGAAAACATTCAAGAAGGAAACTGTGCAACTATAGTAATTAGTAAAAGAACGGTCTGTGGAGCCACTTAACAATTAAAAACACAAAACACAGAAAGAAAAAAAAAAGAAAATACAGAGTTTGCCCAATAAGAAAGAATTACCAGTTATTATGCAGAATCAACAGTAAGTAAGTAGCATAAATGCTACACTCAGATGCTTTTACTATGAATGGTATCAGAAGAAATCCTTACTAATCAGTGAATCATGCAGGAATAAGTATGTATTGAGCACTAGAAACAGCGTGACATGTCATAAGGAGCAACAGAGACAAGAAAATCGGCTGCCAACATTAAAGGGAAATTATAAAGTTGTTTTCCTAGCACTATAGCTCCCTAAAGTTCCCCTCTCCCTCTTGCCCACCCCCCCATACACCGTGGGGGAGAAGGGGTTAATAACCCTGTCACTTACCTTATTCCAGTGGAGATGTCCTTCGACGTTGGTTCAGGCTCAGCCTCCGCTTCCTCCTCTGCAGACGTCAGCTGGTGGGGGATACCTAAAGCGCATGCCTGGCGCTTGCATTTGAACTTCTCCCATAGGAAAGCAATGTGTAATAATTTCCTATTGGGTTTTGGGTGACACTGGATGTCCTCATGTAAAGACTGACCAAAAGTCATCTTACCACCTGGAAGTCCCTCTAGTGGCTGTCTGATAGACAGCCACTAGAGGTGGAGTAATCCCTGCAGAGTAATTATTGCAATAGGTATCACAAACTGCAATAATTACAATTGCAAGGTGAAGCGGCATGGGACACTGCACCTAGACCACTTCAATGAGCTGAAGTGGTCTGGGTGCCTATAGTGTCCTTTTAAAGACCACACTGATGCATAACTAGTGAGACCAAGTAGGAGAAATGAAGGAAGAGATCACTCACTGCACAAAAAAGGGAAGTAGTGTACTGATCATATCTCACCAAAAGCTAATTAATGTGACAGCCCAAATAATTGCAATGCCACAATGTAACAAGCACTGCCAACCTGCCAGATACATATTATAGGTACGTATAGAACCTATTGGTTCAAAGCTAACATTCTCTGAGCCCTTGATACAATTGAAAACAATGAAAAATATACTATGTGCAGTCACTCCCAAAGTAAAAAAACCAACAACAATGAATAATAAACTAAAAATAAATTAAATAAATAAAAACTAATGCATTACAGTAAATATTGCATTTATCAGAAAGGGTCCATAATACAGCACAAAATAACAACCAGCCCCTCCTGTGAAGATAATAAAAATAACCAATGTACCTGGAAGATTAAATCTAAGAAGCCTAGTTTAAAAAGGGTGGAGGAAAAGAGAAATAATAAGATAAATACTATAAGTCTTCTTAAAAGCCAAAATACCAAGCAAAAACATACAGAAATATATGTTTTCCAAACTTTCAATTTTATTGACTAAGGATGGGAACATTTCTACATTTTTACAGAGGAAATCCACAGCGACCAATAGTTTATTAAACTGATATAGCTATAACCCATACAAGCTAGGTATTTTGTACTTTATTAGGGCTCCTTTCTCATAAATGGCAATTTTACTAAAAGGTTTTATTTTTACTTTATTAAAATGTTATTCAAATTACTATATTTTGGGATGTTCCCTTCTTTCCAGTCATATCTGCACCTTCTTATATTTGCTCAACACACCCTTTATGTGCAGGACTGATAGCCATTGACGCACTTCTTTCTTTTTGGTTTCTGATGAGCTAATTTGTCGTCCTATCACTGTAGAGGGTGCTTCTATTAAAGGGCCTCCTGAACGGCGAAGCGTACGTCGGAACTTTTGCATGCCCATCTTTTGTTCCTTAACAGCACTTGAATTGACTTTATAGTCCATTTTTTTCTAGTATATCTTCAATGCTTCCAGTCACACCTATTAACATCGTATTTGTGTTGGCCAAATTACTCCTGAAACTAGTGATGTCTGTAATATAATTTACTTGAATATGTTCTCTTTCTAGTCAGTCAGTAACTGTATTTCAACTACATAACACACATACTGATTGTGGAAATGTACTCCGTTTTAAATCATTCCTATGATCAGCTGGCTTATCAGGCAATTACTTTTTCAAGAAGGGCAGCTTCAACATTTGCAGACAAGGAGGGACCTTACCGTGAACCCGCATGTACCGCCATCGCGCACTGTATAGATAGAGCTGCCAGCCTGGAATAGGAAGGTCCCACTCTCCACATGGTAATCAAAGGCAGATATGCCCACAGTGCCAATGCGTTTCCTCTCCCGAAGCAGCTCTTCCTCACGGGAATACATGCCATAATCTGGAGTAGCCTGCAGAAGGAACAGAATTCAAAAAGTGATTATGATGATCTATAGATCTATGAGAGAGAACCACTACATCACATGCCTCTTTCTACTTGGCGTTAATTAATTCCTCTTCATATTTCAGCTATACATTGTGCTACCCAAATTGCAAGCAAATGTATAGATTTCTCCATTTAAAAAAAAAAAAAGGTAAAATTATGCTCCGCCTCCCTCCTGGCAGACGGACTATTAGCATAGACTCTAAGATGATTTCTGTCTACATGAGAAACCATCAACTGGTATTTATCTGGCTCGGCTTAATTGTGTTTCAGTGCTCGTGCATTTGGTGCACATCATCAGAGTTTTGTCATGTTTGTTGAAAATCTGGCTGGATTTCAAGCAAATTTGTCAAGCCCTGCAATAACACTCACCAAATTAGTGCCTTTGCATTTACCCTGCCCCTAACCCACTCCCTTTTCTATGCCTGTCCCTAACTCATCCCATTTGGTTCCCTGCCTCAAACCAACCCCAATAAGTGGCCCTACCCGCAACCTCCCTCATTAGTGGCCCTGCCCCCAACCTTCTTCAGTAGTGGCCCTACCCCCAGCCTCCCTCATTAGTGTCCCTGTCCCCAACCTCCCTCATTAGTGGCTGTTATGCCAAAAGCATGAGTTGGTGTTTGATGTATTGATATATGTTAAAAGTTGTTTTTCTGTAAACTTTGGGATGACTTTTATTGTGGTCTTTGATCTGGCACCAGGCCTAGACCATAAAACATCTAGATAGCCTTCACCAGAGCTGGACACAAGGAATTTCATAGAGTGGGCAATAAACTGCCAGACCAACCCCCTCTGATTCCTCCCCCCCTCCGGTCTGCCCACTGAGCAACAACTAGTTTAGATATCTTAATGAGGGTGCTGGACTATCCAGAGAGTTTTTCATTTTGCTTTGGTCAGCAACTTCTAGGAGACCTATACCATCTAAGACTCCCACAAGACTCCTATATGGGGTAACTACATGTAAGGCATTTCTTGTGTTTTCTCCTATTTTATTTTATGTACTGTTTTGCAATTTGTTATCTGTATGTCATTTATTTCTGAATTTTGTACTCAACACTGTGAATCTTTTTTGTCAGATTAAATGTTTACTTAATCAGCTTGTGTCTCTTTTCTCTATGAGCTTCACTCTCCAGAGGAAAGCTCAGGTAAACACGTTACCAAAAAGGGTTAACTATATGTGTTTTATCAGTAAAAGTAGAACTGTGATTCTATAATTCTCCTGTGTGTGGGGTAACCTAAGACGCCCGGGTTTAAAGTCTTGGTGGTGGCAGTGAAGTGTGTACTAGGGGGTTAGTGTAGAAGGGATTGCAGGGGTTAATTGAGTGGTTGCTGGCACTAGCAACAGGTAACCAGGGGTCTGGTGTCATTAACCCTGTCACTTCCACACTCTCCCCACTGTCTCAGCTGGGCCTATAGCCCACGCTCGTGACAGTGGCCCTCCCCAAATGCACCCCAATTAGTGTGTCTGCTCCATATTGCTCAACCCAGTCTCCAGCCAGTCAGGCAGGATAAATGCGATATGTCCCGCCCCTCCACAAAGCAGAGCTGGAGGTTGGACAGAGGGAAGGATAGCAATTGATCCTGGCTACAAAGTAAGGGCAAGACTCCGAGGATTTCAGGTAATCAGTCCGCCCCTTGGAACACAAAGCCACATGTCCCCTGTAGCAGCCTTGCCGCTTTCCGGCAGCAGAGCTAAAGACAGATTAAAAGTGCCTGCTCGGAGCCCATAATCATATGTCCTTGGTGTCGATTGATACGAATGCCACATCCCTATATTCCAACCACCAGCAAGGAATTCATGATTTGAAGAGTTCATGGTGCTTGCAGTCTGTATGTACAGTGTTTCACTAGTTATTTAATTTTGGTATCTATACATTTGACCTGCATCATTTGTTTCATGTTTTTTTGCTCATTGGATAGGTTTGCTTCATGTTTTTGTTTTATTATTCTGTCACTATGTACTATTACATTACACAGTGTTTGGGTAAGGTGCATTACCCTATTATATTCTATGATTTTTTTTTTTAACGAATAGTCAATATTTTGACTAGCTACTGGTGTGCTGCAGTAGTTTATACTTTATATTTGAGGTGTAATACCACTTCTAGCAGTGTCATTACCAGCCCAGAACAAGAGCTAAAGTGATCTTTGCACATGAAAAACATCTGTCATAGCATGCTGGCAGCAGTCATCCAATGGCGGCAACGCCGCACCCTCATGCCACGCTAAATCCTTCCTCAGCCCTGCCTTCAGAATATCCGTCCCCCTGCAGTAGGAGGAGTTCTGTCAAGTGTGAAATCAAACTTTGGATAGGCATGGGATCACAGGTAAGTTTTCTTCAATTTCTCTCTCTCTCTTTTTTTTTTTTTTTAATCAGCCATGGTTATTCCAACCAAAACAATATTTTATATTGTTTCTGGGTGGAGTCACCCTTTAAATTTAAATGCCAAGTCCCGTAACCAGAGGATGGAGCAGAAGTGAAAGGGCATACAGAGTTAACAAAAACTTTGGGAACTCCAGACTTTATAAACAGTGCTGTAGTGGCATGATTTTAAATGAGCACTCATTAGAACCACATAGTATGTGTGTTACCACAACTTTAAAAAAAAAAAAAAAATTGCAAACTGTAGATCAGAGGTAGGCAACCTCTGGCACTCCAGATGTTTCAGCCTTATTGCTGGCAAAGCATCAGGAAGTTGTAGTCCACAACATCTGGACTGCCAAATGGTGCCTACCCTTGCTCTATGTACTAGTATTATGAAGTTACAGAAAATGCCTATGTTATCTCACCTGGAATGTGTCTAGAAGTGGTTTCCACGACAGCATTAAGACCGCTCCCCGATTTATGTTTTTCGGAATCTCAGAGTAGAACAAGGTATTTTCCCTATTCTCTCCAGACATTGCTAAAACAAAAGGCATCAGCAGATAAAATTGAGAGAGTTATGTGCACCAAAAACTATAACAATTAGATAGAATAATAGAAACAAATGAGACCTTCCATATATAAATGCAAGATGCTTGACCAGTATTCAGTGAATGGTTAAACGACAAAAGCAAATATGAAGCCTCCTGTATTGCCATAAAATTACACACAAGACAATTTCAAATACAAAATATAAAGTCTTGGAAGTAAAAGGCAACCTCCAGCAGCAGCATTGGAGAGTCACTAGCAAGCAAACGTTCTCCATGCAGCCCATGTCCTCATCCTACATCCAATGTGAGTGACATCAGCGGAGGAGGATAAGATAAGGGAAGAGCTTGGCCTTGCCGCTGGAATGCAGGTAATTTCTAGCTTTTTTTTTTATTTTGATGGGGGGAGGGAGGAGGATAGAAAGGTTTAAGCTTATCAAAACTTATTAAAACCAGTGTTTTAATAATTTCAGTTTAGTCAACATTCCAATATAAGTGAACTGTCAAAAATCACAACATTCAATACATATTGCCTCCTTTATGAGACCCATTACTTGTGATTGATTCTATAAGTGAAAAAGTAGCTACTGTAAGGCCTGAACCAGTAAACAATGAAATAACATTGTAATGAGACAGTAAGAGCTGGGGAGCAAAGGGAGGAATCCCATTCCTCATCTAAATTAATAAATACTATCGGGGAGATAAACAAAAATCTAAATGGACCTGTAAACAGTGTTTCATTCAATATATCTCTGAAAATGATTGTGCAATCTTTTTTAAACAGGCTGTCCTTCTACTCTTCCCAGCAAAGCAACCACAGCGCACATGCTGTTGTTTCTATGGAAACGCCATAGCTGAAGCTCCTATCACTAGCTAGGGAGTATAGAAACAGAGTGATGTCAGCATGCTGGCAATGAAGCCTGCATGTTTGTATCACACAGGAGGTTTTCCTTGCTTTGGGAAGCCTCCCCAAGCAGGGCAAATCATATAAAGTTGGATTACGGATCAGATGTGGGTGTTACATAAAGAGTAACATTCATGAAGGTCAGAAGATGACGGTACTGGATGTGAGTATATCTCAATATATTTTACATATCTCAATATTACTTCATGTATTTTTGAGATACATTATGTATTTGGTGCTCATTTAACGCAAGTAAAACATTTTGATTATAAGTTCACTGTAAAACAGATACTCATTTTTAAATGCTAATTGCTTGCATAAAATCCCCAGACTCTAAACCTACTTGTGTGACATCACTTCAACCATGAAATCTCTCAGCTTATGGTCTCCTTAATAGCATTATATACAGAAGAATACGTGAGCACAGAGTATACATAATAAGAATGCTTAGTAGTTTCCTCAAGTTTGAGTGAAAAATCAAAATAAGCAACAGGTACGTTGTTGATTTTCCATTTGCTTTATTTTCTATCAAGTGTATATAGAGGATTCTCATAACTGAGAGACACTGTAAATAGATTAAAAATAGTCGCATGTTACTTGCTAGCTGTCTCTTACAATTTCCTCTTGGAAGTGGAGACAAGTAAAGCACAGTTATTCAAGCAGTTTTTCCACTGTTTGCAAAAACAATCCATCTGAGATAATGTTAAAAAATAAAATAAAATGTAAAATGGAAAGATCAGATGCATTTCTGCACTGTTGGTATGTAAAGTATGTTTCCCAACTAAATAGGTAAAATATATCTGTATCAATATTGGTGTATATGTGAACCAATCCACTCGCTGCTGGCCCAGGATTTTAATAAAATTACAGACATTGCATTCCATTCTATTCTCAATAAGGCAATGATGAGAATGTAATGTCTATTAAGCGCTGCATTCCAGTTGATAGTCAAGTTCCAAAAATATCCTTGAGCAGTCTTTGTCAAATAAAATCAATATAGTTTTACTTGTATAACTAAATTGGATCAAACGTGGAAAATCCTTGCAACAGGCGTTAAGAATCTCGCACAGCATCAAGAAAGAAAAAAATAGGTGGGAAATGTAGGTATGAAACTCAGGAGAAAGGCACAATATTTAACTAGGAAGATTGTCAGGCCTCCCATTAAGCAAGTGTTTAAACTGGGTAGATTAATTAGACCGTGTGTAACAGATACCAGAAATACTAGATTGTTTTGAACCATAGTGGCAAACAAGGTAAATAGAAGGACTCCAAAGTACATTGGGAGTACATGGTATTGTAGGGCATGGTTGTGAGAATGTCTAACCAAGAAAATAATCTGCATCATCAGACACAATATACAAAGAAATAAAAATAAAAGATGGGCATCTTGCACATAGCTGATGCATAAAACCCATACCACATGATAATGCATGATAAAGTAGAGACTAAAGATTGGCATCCTAGGAATCACAGAATAAGCATAACCAGTTTCAGTCTCTATACAAAAATGGAGCTATGCTTATACATGTAATTAGCATGCTACTTGCATTACACATACCCAAATAATACATGCGATCAGAGTGAGGACTCTCAGGATCATTTCTTTTCACAAATGTAAAGCTGTGAGGTGCCTTTGCCATCATGAATCCATGGTACTTCCTGGTGTCAGCAAGCAATTTGCGCATCTGACTCCATGAGTGGCGTTCCACATAAAATGGTTCAGGAGTGGCATCTGCTCCACTAGACTCTGCACTCCCATGGCCAGTTGCAGATTCAAATACCTCTACCCCAACTTGTTCTGTTTCCATAGCTGCTGCCATGTTGCATCCTGGGCAATAAAAATGAAAAATAAATAAATTGGGTAAGATGATTTTACATCAAAAAGCAACTACGGCTTAACAATTTGATTAAAATAAACAATAACCTAATAACATAACATGATGTGTTTCCAGTTTCTCAATCCACATATAGAAATGATTTGAAAAGATTTTGAATTCAGCACCAACTCATGGAAAGCACAATATCCACAGGTCAGAAAACACAAACACATAGGGTCAGGGTCCTCTAATTTAGTAAAGTTTTCTTTTTCCAGAAGGTCTAATTTTGTAACCCCACTAACTACATGTGTGTAGATTTTGCCCCTTTGCATAGCATCAAGGCATATATTTTTTAAATAAATGGTGTAATAGGTTTTTACCAAGAAACCATTTTCTGTTTTATCTTTCACTATGAGGATTCCAGTGTTGTTTGTTCCCAATTCCTGATTTAATATAATTTTTTAAATATCGACATAGTTTCTATATTATCATTATTGTTATCATTATTGTTATTATTATTGTTGTTATTATGTGTTCGGCATCCTGTATTTCCATGCTCCTTGTGTTACACAGTCCCAGCCCGCTGTGATTTAGCTCTCTGTGCAGTGCCCATGTCTATCGCACAGGTTATATGCCCTGTATCTAGGGACAAGTCCTACAATCACCTAGCATGGGGTCTGCAGCAAGTCTCAGCGGCCGGGGCCAGCTCAGCTCTCTCCCGGTTATTATGACTTGGCTGCTCCCACTCCCTCCCAGACCCAGTGCGAGAAGACCTCAAACATCCGCTTCCTGGACGATGTGCTCCGACCAGGGTGCATGGCGAACAGCGACCCCTGCTGGCGGGAGGAGAGAGGCGCTGATATCCACAGAGATAAAGGATGATTACAATGTAGTCAGAATGAAAAGAATCATGATAGCTAGCTAGCTAGCTAGCTAGCTAGATAGATAGATAGATAGATAGATAGATAGATAGATAGATAGACAGACAGATAGACATACAGTGATAGACAGAGATAGATAGATAGATAGATAGACAGACAGAGATAGATAGATAGATAGACAGACAGATAGACATACAGTGATAGACAGAGATAGATAGATAGATAGATAGATAGATAGATAGATAGATAGATAGATAGATACAGAGATATAGACAGTGATAGACAGAGATAGATAGATAGACAGACAGACAGATAGATAGACAGTGATAGATAGACAGAGATAGATAGACAGACAGACAGACAGATAGATAGACAGTGATAGATAGACAGAGATAGATAGACAGTGATAGATAGACAGATAGATAGACAGTGAGATATAGATAGATAGACAGTGATAGATAGACAGAGATAGATAGATAGATAGATAGATAGATAGATAGATAGATAGACAGTGATAGATAGACAGAGATAGATAGACAGATAGATAGAGAGACAGTGAGATATAGATAGATAGACAGTGATAGATAGATAGATAGATAGATAGAGATAGACAGACAGATAGACAGACAGTGATAGATAGATAGATAGATAGATAGATAGATAGATAGATAGATAGATAGTGATAGATAGACAGAGATAGATAGATAGCTAGACAGTGATAGATAGACAGAGATAGATAGACAGACAGACAGATAGATAGACAGATAGATAGATAGAGAGACAGTGAGATATAGATAGATAGACAGTGATAGATAGATAAATAGAGATAGATAGATAGATAGATAGACTATAAATAAATAATTTAACACAAAGCTGTTCATTACTGCTTTCACCTCACAATGTGAATTATAATATTCCCCAATAGAAGGAGATGCCAGCTTTTACCCCCCAGTCTATGATGTAGATAAAATTTCTAGCAGTATAAGAGCAGAGTGCCCTCAGCTGTGGTACCTTCAGTCATGTTATTCTGCCCTCAGTTACAATGGCGCTCACTGATCTTCAGACTCCTCCCCCCAGCTGTGCTGCTCACCGCCCGGTGGGCCTGCAGTGTCCTGGCAGTATTGTAGGAGTGGAAGCGGCGGTGGCTGGAAGTGTGGCCCCCAGGATGAGTCTAACCCCGCAGGTGTATTGGGCACAGCGGCACCATGAGCTGTATCTCCGGGTGGAGCTCAGCGATGTCCAGGTAGCACTCACGGCTAACGTTAGCCACCTCTTTTCTGAAGATTAGACTTCCTTTATTTTTTTAGCTGAAACGTTGTCCACTAAACACCGAATTGTAGAATGTGCAAAACCGAGGTTACAATAGCCAAGTTGTGAGGGTGCAGATAATGTTTTTTTTTGCATAAAATGTGCCATTCGCATTGCAGTTCACTACAGTTCGAAGTTTAGTGAATAAGCCCTCTAGGAATTCATTTGGAACGTTTAATATAACGATTTACTGATAGAAGTTCTTTACTTATCTGGTATAAAATCCAGAGATTTTTAGGCCTAACTAGGTGAACCCTCTCATTTAGTTAATATTCCAGCATGGAAAATACGAATCTCTTGTTAGGTCTTCATACACCTTGGTTTTAGTTGGGAATAAAACTATATATTGTATCATTTGCAGTGTTTAAACTTGCAACCTTTCAAGGGACACATTCATTTTGGAATTCGGATCAAAGGTTTTTCCTTCTTGGATATATTCCCTACAATGCAATTGTGTGCAGGAATGGTGGCCTCCAGTTTCCTGATTGATCCCTGGTTCACATTGCATTTCTGGCACCTCCCAAATGTGCTGATTCATCCTCCCATATACCTGTCACTGAATGAGCCCTCCATGGCGAGGCTGTGCATAGGTGTACTGGTGTGTGATACACCAATATTATTGCAATCAAAATATCAAATTCACTAAAATGGGCAAGAGCAAGGATACAGCAATGAAACACTATGTCACAGGGGAAGATAAACAAATTATAATAAAACACCGATCCGCACAATGCTTCATAATGTGCTATCAGTTTTATAAACGCTACTGTTGGCAGCTCGAAGATTTACTACTGTACTTCCAGGGTTATTCACTAAAATGAGTATTTAAAGGCAATTATACATTTAAGGTCATAGTAGCCATAATGGACAGATAATCTTACCGTATAATATAGCTAGTTTGGCTTTGAATTTAAAATTTACTTTAGTAAATAACTCTGTACTAACATACACTAAAAGTTGCATTTGCCCTCCAAAATCAGAAAAACAAATGGTAAATACGATATCTTCAAGCGAAATGAAATTCACTTTATGTGCTATATGCTCTCAGCCCATGTGCAGGGTCTGTGGCTGTTAATGTGCCAACAAGAACTGAAGGTAGATGCCTTTTTTGCATTCTAACCCCATCTCCACCATTGTGCGACAGATTTAGGTGCTGCATGCACTGTTGCTCCATCACAAAATTCTTAAAGGACCACTCTAGGCACCCAGACCACTTCAGCTTAATGAAGTGGTCTGGGTGCCTGGTCCAGCTAGGGTTAACCCATTTTTTCATAATTATAGCAGTTTCAGAGAACTGCTATAATTATGAATGGTTTAAGCTTCCCTATTCTAGTGGCTCTCATTGACAGTTACTAGAGGCGCTTGCGCGTTTCTCACTGTATTTTACAGTGAGAGCATCTATGCCCATAGGAAAGCATTGTAAATGCTTTCCTATGCGACGGGCTGAATGCATGCGAATGCGTTTCCAGAGCCGGGCGGGAGGGGGTCCCTGAGGGTGGGGGCACCCTCAAGGCACTATAGTGCCAGGAAAACAAGTATGTTTTCCTGGCACTATAGTGGTCCTTTAATTAAAATTTTTTTAAATTAAGACCAATAAGGAATAATGAATAATTGCATAGTACATTTGAATGTGTTTTTGCTGGTGTTCTAATAGTCAAGGACTGAACTGGATCCGTTAATGCACAGTCCCTTCACTACAGCCAATCGTGATGATCTGATCTTTCCTCACTCAAGTGTTGCTACTTCCGTGTCTGTCTCCCTCCAAGTCAACGGCGCTACTATAACCTCTACCTTGAAGGCTTGCTGCTGAGGTGTTCTCTTTGACTCTGACCTCATGTCCAGTTGATTGCCAAATCCTGCCGCTTCCATCTCAAAAACCTAGCTCACATCCGCCCCTATTTAACGCCGGACGAGGCTAAGGTGCTGGTTGTTCTCTCGTCTTGACTACTGCAATCCCCTTCTCAGTGGTCTTACGTGTTCCCAGATTGCACCACTGCAATCTATAATGAATGCAGCGGCGAGGCTCATTTTCCTGTCTGCCCGCACCTCACTCCCTCTGTCAGTCCCTACATTGGCTTCCAGTTAGATATAGGGCTCAATTTAAGATTGTGGTGATTGCTTACAAGTCCCTACATAATGCTGCTCCAACCTCTAACGTTCGCCTCCAAGACTTTTCCAGGGCTGCACCTCTTCTGTGGAACTCCCTTCCCTCCTCCGTAAGAATTTCACCCAGTCTCCACTCATTCAAAAAATCATTGAAAACACACTTCTTCAAGAAAGCATATCAATTAAGCTGTTAGCAGGTTTTCATCCCCCATGACTCCTCTTCTGCAACTGTCAAAAATAACCAAAGTTCTCAGTGAATATTTTTTCTAGCAACTTATACCCTCTAGCATGTAAGCTCATTGAGCAAGGCCCTCAACCCCTCTGTTCCTGTGCGTCCATTTGTCTGGTTACAGTTACGTGTCTGTTAGTCCACCCATTGTACAGCGCTGCGGAATTTGCTGGCGCTATATAAATAATAATGCTCTAACCAAACCAGGAAGTAACAGGACCTGTTGCCTGATTAACAGCCAGGTGGTATAACAAGGTTAATTTAGAAAAGTATCAATTTCCATTGAAATCTGCACTTTTTGTAAAATAAAGATACTCTTCACACACAAAGTGCTTCATTAACTAAAGTGCTTTAAGTGTCTGCATAGTTCCTTTAAGAAGAAGCTGCACTAGAGGCTCATTTTTGACAAAATGTAAACCATGACATTTCGCAAAAAATGGTTTTTCATTTTCAGACTAAGGGAGCAACAGCTATACACCAAAAACAACTACAATTACAATATAGAGGTTTTGGTGTTTAAACTGTCCATGGTTTGTTTTATTAGTTGAAGCCTAAAATATATAAACATATTCCTCTAGTGGTTTATGAGCTATAACATAAACAAGAAAACTAGATGTTGTAGTGAGACATTCTCTTATCTCATACAAAGTTAAGTCCTGCGCTCAAGCTCCCACTACTCCTAGGCGGCAGCAATGACCATAGTATACATACAATAAAGAACCAAAGAAAAGAGTTACTTGTGCACTATTCCAAATCCCTATGCACATTTAATTGATTTGCAATGAAGTGGTCTGGGTGCCAGGTCCATCTAGTTAACCCTGCAGCAGCAAACATAGCAGTTTCTGAGAAACTGCTATGTTTACATTAGGGCTAATCCAGCCTCTAGTGGCTGTCTCATTGACAGCCGCTAGAGGCGCTTCTGCGCTTCTCACTGTGAAAATCACAGTGAGAAGACGCTGACGTCCATAGGAAAGCATTGAGAAATGCTTTCCTATGGACTGTTTGAATGCGCGCGCGGCTCTTGCCGCGCATTCGCCGGAAGAGGGAGGAGATTTCCCCAGTGCCGAGGGAGCCTGGCGCTAGGGAAAGGTAAGTGATTAACTCCTTCCTCCCCCTTAAGCCCAGCGGGAGTGGGACCCTAAGGGTGGGGAGGGGGAATATAAAAACCCTATAGTGCCAGGAAAACGAGTTAACATCTCTGAGACAAAGGTGGGTATTTTCTAAAGCTTATCACAAGGAGTGGGCAGCAGCATTGTAACATTGTTAGGACTCTCCTAAGTGGTTTTGCCTTGACTTTGTAGGTGAGGTTACACTTTAATGGCCAATGGAGTGATCCTAAAGACTATTCAGTTATAATGTGCATAGTGATTTGGGTTGGTGTTCAAGTAACGATTTCTTTGGCTGGTATTGTCTTATCTCTGTTTGAAAGGGGAAGTTGCTTTTCAGTAAACAATTTAGCTGCATTAAAAAGTCATTGAAATGGTGATCGTGTGGTGTTAGTGGGTGCAGTTTGAAGAGGAACTTTATTTTCATTCTGCCACTGAAACCTGAGCAAGGCTTTGTCCAAAACTTTTAACAGAGCAAATAGAAGTTGCCATGGAGACCACCTACAGTACCTACTATCACACTACTCTGCATAAATTCTAGTTTATTCCCATGGTAACTTCTACTCTGCATATAAAGGAAATCAACACAGTAAAGGAGGAGACTATATTTAAAAGAAGAAAAACTACCACAACAAGAGGACATAGTCTTAAATTAGAGGGACAAAGGTTTAAAAATAATATCAGGAAGTATTACTTTACTGAGAGGGTAGTGGATGCATGGAATAGCCTTCCAGCTGAAGTGGTAGAGGTTAACACAGTAAAGGAGTTTAAGCATGCGTGGGATAGGCATAAGGCTATCCTAACTATAAGATAAGGCCAGGGACTAATGAAAGTATTTAGAAAATTGGGCAGACTAGATGGGCCGAATGGTTCTTATCTGCCGTCACATTCCATGTTTCTATATCACAGGGCTTACACAAATGATTGTTTCCTCTTGCAATAACCATTGATACTTGTGGGAAGAGTGTTGAATGTACCATCATGCTAGAATTAATGAAACTTTAATGGAAATTAAAGCCACAAAAAGTCTTAGAAGCCATCATTGCATGTGCTGCGTGCAGCTGTATTTTGACAGTGTTAAAAATAAACATTCTGAGATGTCTTATAACTTAAATAACTGCTTATCTTGCATTTTTAATGTTTACATCAGATATATACACACCATTTATAAAATTGTATTTTATCTGTACATTGTGCTAGCAGAATTCTTAGCAAATATAATTTACTGCAAATTCTGCATAACAAAGATATGGTGTGTAACTGTATCCACTGTAGTGGTAATTGTACCCTGCCCCATATGCAAGTAGAAACGTGTTTTAGAATGGTTTAACTCCTCTGGACGCCCAGTGACTTGGCTCAGGAAAGCTGAGATAAGAGATGGATTCCAAGAAAGAAGTCAAACGGTTTTCAAATGGGTAGCAATAAAAATGAATTCAAATTTAATTCAGCTCTCAATGATTACTGTGTAAATCTGATGTGAGGTAAGTATGATTTTCCACTTTATCGTAGCGAATCAAACTGGAAGAACCACTGGCATCCCACATATCAAGGTAAGTATCAAGTCGTTCCTAAACCGTGTGATAGTGGTTATGGTGTCCCTTTTAGCTCTTGCATAATGACTGACCAGTATAAAATGCAATTTAGAAATAGAACAGATTTGTATGTTAATAAAAATATTTGATGGCTATACATGCACAGTGACAATGTTAATTATGTTTCCTTGTTATAGAGTCCTGAAATCCACATTTCAGATAACACCCTGCATTTCAAAGGTGGGTACAGAGCTGTGTTTGGTATTGCTAATATCAGCAGGAAGTTTAAAATTCCATGCATGTTTGATATGATCAGCTGATGAAAGAGCACAGTTTATTTGCGGATATCCTCACCAATAGCAGGTTATGGCATTGTACACTGACAAAGGGACAGGAGTACCTAAACGTGTGATTTGTGCTCTTTATAAATGTTCTGGGATTTTCACAAGTGGCCCCTATCTGCTAAACTGTTAATTGCGATTTTTCTATGTTTTTAGGTGTTAAATAGCAGGTTAGAGGAGGCAGCCCCTAAAAAGCTGCTGTGCATTATGCAAGAGCTGAAGTCAAAACAAAATGTGTAAGGGAATGTGTTTGCTTCTGTGTTTTAGTAACCTCATGAAGACGTTAGCTTTACAAGTAAACAATATTTTGCAAGTATTTTGAAATAGATACACATTCAAGGGAGTGGATAGGTTGCATAGAGTGTACGAAGTATCATTGTCCAAGAGAGAGGTCTCTGGGTGTTCGAAAGAGCCCCATTTTATGACAAACTGTTCCTAATAAACATTGACATTAAACTTGGAGATTCTAGAATAACCATAGAAGCAGTGAGCTGTAGGTGTTATGTTGCTTAGTGTGCCCCTTTAAGATTGATAAGAATTCTGACATTCTTATTATGTTCATCCTGTGATCTAATGATGTATTTATCTTCTTCCCATGTGTCATTTGTTTATCTGTATGCTTCTTTTATCTCATGGATTCTGTCATGTATATCTCTCATTTTCTACTCTTTCTGTCATGTCACATGGGACTGCATAACTCATTTTTGTTTTAATTAAATCTTATTAAAGGGGTTTTATTTAATTACAGTATGCTCACTAACTATTTTTCCACTCATTGTAAGAAATCAAATAATTTTTTTTTTTTTTTTTTTTTTTTTTTTTTACCAAGCTCTAGGACATGGTGCTAAAGGAGTTAATACGTATGAATTTTCCTTGGAATTCCTAGAACCTGTGAAGCCGGAGGTTGGTTTTTCATTATTAGGGAACAGAAATTTTAAAGGATTGCTATATTTTTACTATAGACTTGTATTTATTTTTTTACTTTTTACTAACCGTGTCCATCCACCTTTTCTTAATCTTAAAACGTGTTAAAAGAATAAAAACGTACATTGAATACAGCACCAGACCAAGCGAAGCTCTCAAGCATTTCCACACCTCTTCCCAACCCCATATCCGTCTTCATGATTCACAGCGCATGTACATGTTTCGAGCTAGGGGGTGGACAAAGGATGTAGGGAATAATAAAAAAAAGTATAATTTATAATTATCAGAAAAGAATATCTGTCAAGGAGGGAAGGGAGTGGACTAACAAGCTTACCCTTGCAGGCAGATTACTGGCACTGCCTGCAAGGGTTTAATCTCATTTAGTTTGTCACCAATGCGCACCGACAACAGACTTAATTTATGCATAGAGCTCCAGGCTGCCTAAGTCACGTGTGCCAGAGGTGTAACTAGTCTCCAGCACAAAAGTAAGCCTAAACTCTTCACATACAGATTCCTTCCTCCATAACCACTTCTAAAAGCAGAAGTGGTCATGGATGTTGGAGTAACCCTTTAAGTTCATTATTGGCTTGAAATGGTTAATAACACACCGGAGAACATTTTCACTCCTCTTTTCAGGTTCAGCAACGGTCCACACAGCGCCAAGTCGGTATCACTGTGAAGAAATGCGAGAGCAATTGGTGGCTGCGCCTGACCAAGCAGGAGCGCAAGCCATTGTTCTTATCCCCAGATTTTGATCGCTGGCTCGATGAATCCGATGCCGAGAAGGAGCTGCATGACAAGGTGTGTCTAATAGATCGTGTGGAATAAATAGTTTGCTTGTTTTTTGTTCTCCAATTCTTATTTGAACCAAAAGATCTTCATCATGCTTTGTCTTGTACTTGAATGTTAAACATTTCCACAATCATAGTCTTAAAATAAATGCTTTTTATTCTTCGTTTCAAGGCATTCTGACAAGACCATGTCATATAGTTGATTGTGAAGTTCTGTTTTCTATATATAGTAGTTTTTTTTTTTTTTACTTTTAGTTTGACCTATTTATTAAAAATGCTTTACTCTGTCTGTCTTCTAGGAACAAAGAATAACAAAGATCAGGACAGAATCCAGAACACGTGAAGATCGTAAGATTTGGGTGAAGGGATCTAAATAAAATCAGTGGAGGAAGTTTTATATATGTTTTTCATTCTAAAAAGTGATATGAAGTACTAAAAGTGGGGCAGTCACCATACAAACTAATAGAACCAGCAGGCACATTCCATTGGTGACATCTGCCTTTTTTAATTGTAATTTAGCACAGAACACTTTTGATAAATCTCCCTCTATCTTTCAAAGACACTTATCCTTGTAGGTACCGTTTTCAAGCAGTTTGATAAGCACAAATATTTTTCTTCACCTAAGGCTTCTTCTGTTTGAGGTGTGATCATAAGGACAATTAGCGTTGAAAACTTCCTGTGTTGTCAAATCCGAGTAAGAGTCAGTGTCGGTTTAGTGGTGCCAAAAGAGTAAATGGTGATTCAAGGTTGCTGTATCCTGCTTACCCCATACTGATATATTGGATGGACAGAGAGGAGATTAAACCTTCCTTAATACTATAACAACATCAATAAACTAGATTGGTTATGGTGAATACTCCCTTTAAATGCTATCTCCCCCACATTGAGATCACATCCTGAATTCTTTACTAATCAAAAATTCATATATAGATAAGACAAGAAAAAAAATAATGGACAAAAACCCTCTTAATTCCAGCTTTTGTTACAAATTTCCAGGATTTGAAGACAAACCAGGTAGTGGCTTTTACCAATTCTAATGCTTTCATAGCTTTCTATGGACAGTGTTGGGCAATTCCTATTGACTGTGGAGCAAGGTGTGTTCTGAGAGCTGTAGCTAAGCTCTCTGTTCCCTTCTGTAGAAGACTTATAGCTGTACTACAACTTCACGAAAAGTCTACTCTGCATCGTCCTAATTTCTATCTATTGGCAAAGAGTTCATGTGCAGTTTTGTTATTGGAGCAAAAAAGGAGAATCTGGGGATTGAGAGAATAACAAGAAGAAGGGACTAACAAACCTAGATAATTTCTTTTTTTCTTATTTCTCTTTTCATTTTGTGCCAGTATTATGGCTGTAAAAGCATTATAGGAGATGTAATCCAAAATACCTACATTGCTGCAGGCTGCCTGTGCTTTTGTGTTTGGTTTGGTTTTTGTAGTAGTAATCAATGCAATGTTTTATCTGTTCTACCAGCCTTCCTGTATGTGAAGCGTGGTTACTTGTTTATGTATAACCTGGTACAGTTCTTGGGTTTCTCGTGGATCTTTGTCAATATGACTGTCCGACTCTTCATACTGGGAAAAGGTGAGCAAGAGCTTTTTGTTACTGTCTAAATTAAAATATCGTTCTTTCTCATGTGACCAAACCCTTCATGTTGGATTCCTAATTTCCGTTTGTTTGCTATTGGTGTTTTTGAAATTCTGTTAGTAATTCACTGCTTTTTAGCTTGTTAGCCACGTATGTAGTTGTGGTCCAATGTATGTAACAGTTTGTTCTTGTTTCTGCCTTTTTATAGACTCTTTCTATGATACCTTCCACACCATGGCTGACATGATGTACTTTTGCCAGACACTGGCTGTCTTGGAGATTATAAATCCCTTAATAGGATTGGTGAAAACTGGAGTCTTCCCGTCAGTGATCCAGGTATTATGAGACAGACTGTGCACTGGTTTGAACTCACAAATGGGGAACTAGAATGCCGGGAAAACAACTTTTGTTTTCTTACACTATTGTGTCCTTTTAATAGCTGTTCATCAGCTGCAACAGCTTTATCAGCTAATGTGCTTCTTCACATTTTACGAAAATCAGCATCAATCAAAACCCAATATGAAAGCATTGATCAATAATTTCATATAGGATTTTGCTTGACACTGGACATCCTCTAAAAATGCTAGTCTTAAACTGCGTTGTTTACATTGCAGTGCTATCTAGAGCTGACCGGCTAAAGTGACACTGCACCTTGACCCCTTCAATGAGATGAAGTGGTCTGGGTGCCTGTAGTGTCCCTTATGAAGAGTGAACTCTACATATGGTTCGGCCATAGGTTTATTCACGTGCTTCATTGTTTGACCTAAGTACTTATACACTGTTACAGATTAAAGAACTGTACAACCATCAGATCATCACACTTTCTGTCTTGTGATTTCCTTCAGGTCGTGGGAAGAAATGTCATCCTATTTATTGTTCTTGGCCAACTTGAAGAGATGCAGAATAAGGGGGTGGTGTTTTTCGTGTTTTATTTGTGGAGCACCATTGAAATCATCAGGTGAGAAATTCATGATCTGTTTATAAATCCTGTTGAGTTGTTGGTTAGTCGTGTCTTATTAATATGCTTACGAAGGAGATATTTCAAATATTATGATACTGATCTGTCGGAAATGGCACTCCTCTTGCAAGCTTTTCATTTAAATAGCTGTATGTCCAGATATTGCGTTACAGTACTATAGTATATTACTGGGATGCATTAAATGGGATCTTGTAAGGAAACTCCATGCAGAAACCGTTACAAATGCTGAGTGATGAGGAATGGATTTTTGCGACTGTGTCAAATTTAAAGGCAAGTGTCTCCTCCTTTCAAGAGTTCGGTTCACTTTTTAGGACCCCTGCTACAAGTTAGTCAAATGAACATGCTTTCAAAATTATTTTACCAACCCTTTTGCATTTGGTTTGGTGACCCCTTACGCTCCCAGCACAGTGAAACAGGCAAATTGCTTCTGCTCATTATATTAGCCTATCGCTGAACCAAAGAACAGACCTCTTATTGGGGTGAGGGGGAAAGCATACCAAGAGTTGTGGCATGCTACTGCACTTAAATGTTCCCTGGTTCTGCAAGATGGTGTTTTGCTTGTTGTCTATGGTAAGTAAGATATGATTTTGCACCCTCCAGGTACCCATTCTACATGCTTGCCTGCATAGATGTGGAATGGAAACTGCTCACGTGGATCAGATACACCATATGGATTCCACTCTATCCACTGGGAGGCCTGGCAGAAGGTACAACTGATATATACAGGATATGTATTCCTACTTGCAGGGAATTATGCATTGCATTTATTCACAGGGAGAGCAAAAAACTGGATGCAGGTTTAAAGGGTAATCCAGACATGGACCCATTGCTGACGGTGCCTAGAGAGGTATCGCCTATATCTCACCAACGAGGCCTAACAAGGTCAAAACAATCATCTGGGGTTGCTGTATCTCTTGTGCTGTAGAGACGGCCTGCATTTCAGATCTGGACTCTCCTTTTAGGTGGGGTCAGTCTGATATGCAAATAGTCTAGGTTCTCTTGTAATGGCACACAATGAGCTAAAACCAGCTTGAGATCTGAGTGGGAACCCACCAAAGTTTAAGCTACTTAAGCTGTGATCCATTCTCTGTATTCTCTTGTACTTTGTATTTTGTTTTCTAATGTATATATTATACAGAAAATTATGGTAAATTGAAAACTAAATGGCTAAGTTCAGTCTAAGTAGCAGAGATGTGTCTATTCTGCCTAAATTTTGCATTTAGTTTTTAGTTCACTACAATTTTGTCTTTACCGAATAAACATACATTGGCTTGGAAACCAGTTATTTATTTCCATCACATTGTGAAACCTGAAATCTTGTGTGCTGTTTGGCCTTCTTTCATATTCATTTATTTATTTTCTGGTTTAATATGGATTAAAACTGTTACTTTTACTTTCCAGCTGCTTCCATTGTTCAAGCGATCCCTGTCTTCAATGAGACAGAAAAATTCAGCCTCCAGGTGCCACTTCTGAATGTTGCCATCAGTTTTTCCATTTTCTTGATTATCTACCTGGTTTTCCTGGGAGCAGGTGAGTCCATCTGCTTTTTTGGTTTATAGACCTGTACATATACGGATGAGAAGTTTTTGAATTTTTAAATCATGCATTATATATTCAAGGGCCTCTCCCCACACCAAAGACCAAGAGCAGTTTAAGAACCATCTGAATTACGAGGGAATAACGCAGCAGTCCGCACATGTGGGTAATCCCAAACAATCCACAAAGGGAAAAAATAATTATGAAAAAGTAGATTTATTAGAAAAAACATAAATAAGTACACACTGAGAGCACCAGATGTTGTGCGAAACGCGTCTAGGGCTTACCATTTTCTGGGTCGTCTTTTTGGGTGGTCTTTCCCCTTTACAGTATTGTGGGTGGCTCAGTTACTTTATAATTATGAATTTTTCTTGATTTTCCTTTTTTTATTTATTTATTTTTTTTGATACAATTGTTCAGATATCATACTGGAACTAACTTAGCATATGAGGACTGCTGTCACAGTGTGATGCCAGGTGTAATTATTTGTTTTCTAATAAATGTGCTACTTTTTCATCATTTGTTTGGTATTACCCATGTATGCAGAAGACTGTTATTTTCTTACATAATTTTTGACAATTGGGAAGAGTCCAGCACCGTGAAGTTAATCCTGTGATTGAATTTGAAATTATTTTTTTTTTTAATATTTTCTGTAATGTGGAAAGAAAAGTTCTGATTAGCCTCTTAGTCAAATTGGATATTTTTGGAGATGCGGTTAGTTCTTTGGAGGGAGGTAATGTACCTCACTCATCATGTATGCTTTAGAAGGGACTTTAGCCCACACTTCAGCCACAAAACGTGACTCTTGTTTAGTTTCAGTAACTGAATTTCTTGTTTTCTAATAGGGTTGGTTATCAATTGCCGTCACATGAACAAACAAAGACGCAGGCGCTTGGGCAGACGGAAGAGGAAAATGCACTGAAAGCAGTTTTTATTTTATTTTTTTTAAAACACATCTGTCCTGAAAAAAACTATTTTTACTTTTTGAAAGTATTTTAATTCTGAGCCTGGGTGATACAATTTGACGGTTATGGGGACCATAATTTAGTTTAGTTTTGGACAATTCTGTGATGTTTATTTATCAATTACCTTTTTAAAAGCGCACACTGAGTCTTGCATGGACACATCACCTCTGTCTGTTTCATACAGTTTTGGGACTAGCTGTTTAACAGTTAATCTGTTCTAGTCGGGGTTAGACTACTTGGCAAGTCACAAACAAGGCTTTAACGGGGCACTGTCACTTTCCCAAAAGATCACAGGGAGAGCCATCTTGGTAAAAAAATGTTTTTATAATTTTTCCACTAAATTAAAGTGACGCTCTGGGCACTGTAATAATTTAATCTCATTGAATTGTGCCTGGAGTCCTATGGCACTGTCCTTCCACTTAGTGTAGCCACTCATTAGCCGAGCAGCACAGTGGGACAGGCTGCTTGGGACCTGTATTGGCATTAAGCCATTAAAATGATTTAAAACTGAATAGAAGGACTGCACCAGTGGACTCCTGAAAGCATAACCACTTCCCTTTACTATTCTTGCCCTCTTTTGTGAAAGCAGCTATGTCCTGGCATCTTCAGAATAAATAAGGGGTAGTGGCTGAGTATAGGACAGCTGGTATACACATTATGATTTGTGAGCTGTACAAGTTTATGCAAAGGTAGAATAGTCCCTTCCTTATAACTTCTCCAAAACAAATGACACTATCCAAGAGTAGAAAAAAAAGGGAGGGTTGCACTCAGTCACAAGTTTTAACACTGAGCATGGGTCCGCAAACCCCAAACAATCTGTATAAATGAAAGAAATCTCAGGCACTCACTGTGATTACTTCCAGGCAGTTTATTGCAACGTTTCGACCTGCAACCAGGAGTAGAACAAAACATTTGGATTTATTTATGAACGTAAATGAGGAAAGTTTAAAAGGTGACAGATCTTCTTTAAAGACCTTTAACCACATGTTTTAATATTTTTTTTTTTTTTTTTTTGGGGGGGGGGGAGGAGGGGTGTTAATAACCATTCACTGGAATTGTTGACTTTTTAGTCAAGTAGAACTCTTCAGCCTGGTCCACAATATGCTGTATCTGTAGAAATTACAAAGTTACATTTTTAATCCTGACGCATCAGCAGGTTCTGATATAATGCATTGTTAAAAAAAATATATATAAAAAATGTAAACCCTTCTCTGTTTCTGTTATTGTGTTGTGATGTTTAGTCTCCAAAGGATAGAAGTTACTTTAATAGATTTTGGGCAAGGAAGAAGATTGAAGCATTTAAGTAAAACTTTAATTGAAAAATATTCAGGGTCAAGTAGCTAGGTGGTGACTGTAGCGAGTGATAAAGTTTTCTAAGTTTAGATGTTTAAGCCTTTGAAATTAGATTATTTCACTAATATGCACTGTAGTGGACAAACTCTGTGGCGCTTTTGAAATTGCCTAGATCATTAAAAACACAAAATAAATAAAAATCACTGTTCAGTAGATGTTTTCAAAATGAAAACTTGCATGCATTTGTTACATTGGGGATATATCTAAAAACAGCTTGAAAAAAAACTGCAGTTCTTTTGTCTGCTGCCTTTGCAGCAGAGTTTCATATTTCCAAATAAGCTATTGGCTTATTTTGCCCAAAGTTTCCAACTCTATATTCAGTTCACTAAAATACATTATTTAGTGATTAAACCTTTGTGCATAGCAGCAGGAATGTGGATTTGTTGTATTTCATGACATCATACATAAAGCAACACAAGATGAGGCATGTACCCAGGATATACCCAAAAACTAGAGATATCTAAATGTATCCTTCCTGGTAAAATATTTTATAAATAAATGTACAATAGTATGATTAGGACACAATTTTAAATGAAAAAGATCTGGACCCCTTGACATTTACAGGGCTATTTGCTAAAAACTGAATTTTCACATTAAATCTCAATGGAAAAATGGAGGCAAAAATAGCTGAGCATGGCAATTTTATTTGTCTCAGCTTCTGCCCTGCCATGGTCTTTGTCATAGTGTATTTGCAATGTGTGTGCTGGCTCTGTTTAATGTATTTGTGTGTATGATGGTGTTGCTCTGTGTAGCCCCTCTACTGTTTGGCTTTATGCAGGAATGTAGGCTATGATGCCTAGTGGCTGAGTGGGGGACCGGCTAATGCAGACCTCTGTATTTGCTCCCTTGCAGTCTCAGACTTATGGAATGCTGGGAACATACGGAGGCTGTGCTCTGGCTCACTACAGAGCGACAGACTGCGAGTCAACGGTTATGGAGATCTTCACCCACTGTAGGTGTGGGCTACCTGCCCCAGCACCAATCCCCATCATGGCAGCAAGGGTAAATGCATTTTAAAAACTGCCTGCTCGGTACTGCATATTTCCAGGTATCTGGTGATATAATTTCCACGTCCTTGAACAGTCCTAATAAAATTACAATTACCCTGTTCACTGTAATGAAGGAGTTAATGGAAGGGTTGAGAATGTAAAATGTAGCCAAACTGCAGCGCTGTCAGAGCCGGATTAATGTGGTTTAAGTCATTCTCTCCTTCACAGATTAATTTCACTAAACTGTACCACATGATCCCAGTAGATATTAGAATTGATCCCATGTGTGCGGGATAAGTTTACTGAAGGATTTTTATTTACTAAACCAGGAATTGTGGTGGTTTGAGGATATTACTGTTAAAAACCAAAACCTTTATCTTTGCTTTCTCAAATTCCTTATTGCCTGTCAATGCATTTTTATTTATATATATATATATATATATATATATATATATATATACATATATATATATATATATACACACACACTAAACAGCACCCACTCTGAACAGTGAATATGCATCACAATTAGCAATATAAAATCCATAGCATCACAGGACTGATCAGTGAAATGAGAATTCATCATTTAGAGTGACTGCCGTGACCAACATTTCAGACCGGGTTCTTTTTTGATAGGAAAATTCTACTTTTTTTTTTCCTCCACAGTGCATTCTTATTTCTTCTCCCCCCCCCCCCCCCCCAATCATGCTTGGTATAGGTAATCCAGCTCAGAATAGCATGGCTGTGAAAGTAAATAAATGTAGAACTATAAACAAGAATAAAAAAAATCATGAAGTAAATATGTTTCAAAATTGTAAATAAAGCTCAATGGGAGACATGTTAACAGAGCTGCCCACACTAAGTTGAATTCACGTGCAAGTTATTCACTAAAGTTTGAATGTCCTGGTCCAAATTTGGTCCTTGGTTAATAATGCTGACTGTGCAAGAGGAAATCAAAGGAGCATGAAACAAACACAGTAGAAGCATGTGAATCCACACATCTCCATGTATTCACAGCAAACATGGAGAAAGTGGCAACTGTAGCCACATGTATGATCAGGCTCAAGGCAGGTAGGATATAATGTATAAGAAAGTTTCCTCTCTGTTATGTTCAGGAGTGTAAGACAACATATGAACAGTTTCAATACAGAGAGGGAAGCAATTTATTTTATTCTCTTTATTAGATTTTAAAAATAAAGCATGGTGTCCTTGACCAATCACTGTTTGACCATAAACATTGAATACTTTAGGAAAATTCTACCAAGGATATATTAATAGAACAAAACACTTGGGGTGGGCATATAAAATTCCAAAATGATTTTCAGTCTCTTGAGAGGGGGACAAAAAGACTATACAATAGTTAACCCATTTCAGACCATCTTCAGTCTGGAGCTTGAAATTTTATTTCTATTGGTGATCCCAGTTTTCTGACAATGTGTTCAGTATCTAATACCGTATGATGCAGGGGGACATTTTGTAACTTATGTCTTTTCGCGATACTGCAAGTGCATGGTCACTGAGAAAGGAATGTTCTCATCCCATAGTTCTGGAAATCCACCTCTCTCATGATTCCATAGTTTTGAAGCCTGCTATTCCTTCAGGTTTGGTGAGCCTGAACCTACAAGACTGCCAGTATATTCACTGTAGGAGCATTGTATTGAGTGCATGAATAATTGTCAAACCTGAAAAAGAATTGAGCTCCTTAGTGGTGGTATAATCCCAAACATTTGGGGGTAGGATTCAAATGCTTCATCCAGAATGCACAAACGAAAGAAAAATTCAAAGCCGGTCAGAGCCTCTTCCAGAAAAATCAGTCTGTAATGGGATGATATTAAGGCCATAAACGGAGTGTTCAGAGCTGCCAGTGCTGGCAAGTTTAAGTTGTGCAGCAGCATGTGAGAGTTGGAAGGCAGCATCCGGGTGTGCATTGTCTGGTAGAAGAGTACACTCTCTCTCCAGCATTTCTGACACTCCCTTTAACAGGTCCAGAAACCCAAAGGACAAGGCAGCTTTTCGCAGGCGGTTCAACTCCTGAGGAAATAGACAAAACAAGCACTGAATGTAAAGGAAGGTACCAAAGGTAAGCAGTACTAGAGACCCCAAGCTATGTTATTTTCTAACCAAATGTTAGAAGAGGGATATCGACCAGTCAAGAAGTTGTCCAATTTGTATGGAAAATTTATTAAAAAACATTCTAGAAGAATTAAAATAGTTGGCAGCAACCATGCTTTCACTTAGTAGTATTGGCTACACAGAGGCAATGATTCCTACTTACTATTCGGTCTATCTGATCGCATGGTAAGTTAACTGTCTTGCTGCCTAATACTGAAGTGTACCCATTAAAACAATGACATCTTAATTTGCATCTGATTTTCTATACAACAAGGCCTCAGTTAACTCAGGGAGATAGTCACTTCCTCTTTTTAAAATTACACTAAATCAGTAATGGAAACAGTTACTGCATTTCCTGAGTAACAACTTTCCTAAATACTGATACAATAATTTACAGTTATTACACATACTTTGTAGAATGTCTGAGTTTTCTCTGGGAGTTTCCTGGCGTTCCTTAAAATCTTCTGTACATCGGTCTGCAAAAAAGACACTGTTAAAGAGATGGCTGTTCATGGCGTGCACTGAACTAGATCACATTTCAAATCGCAAGCATGTAGTAATGTTATCTTAAATGGTACTCTTACATCAGAGAGACATGAAATTCCTGGCAGAGCAACATACAAAATGCTATATATGAGCAAACCAAAACACATGGCACAGAATTAATTTAGGACAAATTTCTTCAAAACTGTCTTTGAAATATACCAGCTTGTGAGCTTTTGAATATTATTCTACAGGTGGGCAAGTTCTAGCAAATGGCAGAAGCAATATTATAAAGCCATTTGATTTACAGTCATATCTGTTGATTGTATCTATCCATTTACCTTGAGGGCTGCAAACACAGAAGTCATTGTGAGTACTCCAAGTCAAGGAAAAGTAGAGGTTTAGCCTGTTCAAAAACCAGTGCTCACAAGTATACAGTTAAAGGGATACTAAAGTCACCAGAACAACTACAGCTTATTGTATTTGTTCTGGTGAATGTAATCATTCCCTTTTTGCAGTAAACACTCTTTTCAGAGAGCCTAGGGATACAACTACTGGCCACTCTTCAGATGGCTACTAGAGGTGCTTCTTGGGGCAGTGCTGCACAGTTCAGTGTCTCGCTGAACTTTCCCCATGGAGGTGCATGGATTTAATGCATCTCTATCAGGAGAAGCTTATTGGCCAGAGCTGTATTTGGCTTGTGCTGGCTCTGCCACTGATATGCCTCTCTAACAGTCTTAGCCAATCCAGTGCTTTGCTATGGGAAAATATTGTGATTGGCTCAGTTCATAACTTCTTATGATGTCAGCCAAGCAGGCAGATCAGAGGCAGAGCCTGCAGCAGCAGACGGGAGTAAAGTTAAGATTTTTACTATATTTAGGAGGCAAGGGCTAAATGATGGTTTTAACTTTATAGGGTCAGCAATACATGTTTGTGTTCCTGACCCTATAGTATTCCTTTAAGGAAAGGAGTGTGATATACCAGTCTTTAGGTACAGAATACATACAATTAAGACTGCCCTTATTGGTGGGATTAGTCTATTATGACAAAGATTTAGATTTTCTAATTTTTATTTAATTACAGGCATTTATAAAGTGCCAACATATTCTGCAGCACTGTAAAATTGGGATTGGGATGACCAATACAAAAGGTAAAGAAGACCCTGCACCTTGAACAGAGATCTGGATCCTGAAGATCATTTATACACAATACTTTTCTAGATAGCCTGTAAGCTTACAATCTAAAGATTTAAATGGAGAGATGAGACAATGGCACAAGTGAGCTAAAACAAGCTTGAGACCTTGGCAGGGACACACTAAAGGAAAAGCTATGAGTTGTTCACTCAGTTCAGTAAAGCATACAATTTATGGAAGTATAATATAGGCATAGAGTCATTGCTTACTAGGTCTAGAGGGGTATCAGCCACACTTCACCGACAAGGCTTACTAAGGTTAAAACGATCAATCATCTGGGGTGCTGCATGTCTTGTACAAAGGAGACCTGCCAGGATTTTAGGATCTGAACTGCACTTTCAGTGGTGGGATTGTTATAAAATGCAAATATTTTAGGTTCTCTCTGTAATGGCACAAGTAACCTAAAACTACCTTGAGATCAGAATAGATACCACTGAAGGGCAAGCTATTTGAGTTGTGGGCTATTCTCCTGTGAGCGGTTTGTCTTGGTTTGAATAATAATTAAAAAAAAATCCTGCTGACATCCATCTGTATTAATTTTTGTAGCACACCAACTAAGCAATGGAGATTAGAAAACAGTACTGTTCAACGTATTTCTGAATTATCGAGTGGGAGATAACGTTAGCTAGGTATGCTTTGAACACATGATATCCAGTACAACCCAATAAGAAGGTTACCTGCAGCCCACTAGGCTTTATCCAAACAGTCACATTCTGAGCATAGCTTCTTTTCGTCTTGGGTTGCAAGGGAAATGGGCTCTTATTATCTTCCTCTCCGTATGGATTCTCTTTGGCATCTATAAAACCAAAACTATGGAAATTTATTTTCCAAGTAACACAAGGACTTATTGCTTGCACAGCCTAAGAACAGTTGTGTCAGCAAAACAAAGGAAGCTCTATGGCATACAAAACTGTATTAGAAAACATGAATATGGAGGCACAACTATACAGAGTGATACGTTTTAGTTTTTACACAGTATTCAGTATGGGATACAGTTTGTGAAATGACCTATTTCTGTGCACGCAAGAGTTCTACCCAAGCACAGATTAATCCTTCTCCCTGAAGGCCCAGATTACATGCAGGGGTTCTATGTGTTTTCTCGGTGTCCCTTCAATCCACTGAATGCAATATATTGTATATTATGGACTGATCAGATGGTTACAGGACTAAGGTCTATTTTTCACCTGATATAGGTCCCAGTTGAAGGGTTTTTCCTAACCAGGGCAAAGGCTCAACCCCAGGATCAAACAGAGACATCATTAAGTTAGATTTTTTCTTGCTGTCTGCTTGGGAGTAAAGCATTCCATGCCATTCTGGGCTAGAGAGAAAGAGAGGGACAATGATAATATGTCAACTGTTAAGACAAAAATAAAGATACGAATAAATAAACCTACACTTGCTGCCACTGATTACGAAATCTGAAAACAGCACTCCAAGTGGCTTCTTCTCTTTGTATTCATGGAATATGTGACAGAATCTACGATGCATATTTAAAGGACCACTAAAGACACCCAGACCACTTCAGCTTAATGAAGTGGTCTGGGTGCCTGGTCCAGCTAGGGTTAACCCTTTTTTCTATAAACATAGCAGTTTCACTGAAACTGCTATGTTTACATATGGGTTAATCCAGCCTCTAGTGGCTGTCTCTTGACAGCCACTAGAGGCGCTTGCGTGCTTCTCACTGTGATTTTCACAGTGAGAAGACGCCAGCGTCCATAGGAAAGCTATGCCGCGCATGCGCATTCAGCCGAAAAGGAGGAGAGGAAGCGGAGAGCTCCCCGCCCGGTGCTGGAGAAAGAGGTACATTTAACCCCTTCCTCTCCATCCAGCCCGGCGGACCCTGAGGGTGGGGGCACCCTCAGGGCACTATAGTGCCAGGAAAACAAGTATGTTTTCCTGGCACTATAGTGGTCCTTCAATCACTTCCAATAAAATTTGAGTGCTAGTTTTCTGTTAGAAAATACTAATACAGTGCATTTCTAGCAGTGATATGTTACTGTCCTCACATGCCCTTACCCCAACTGAACTAATGCCACCATCCCTTCCACTTTTAAGCTTCCATGGAGCAGGACGCAGAAATTTGGGATTTTGCCAGCAATCTGATTGGCCGAATTCTCGTCTTCAATGTCATCTGTCAAACCAGTTCCAACATCATCCCCTTCTGTACAGGAGGAAGAGGAATAGCAGAGATTACAAGGTGTGAGCTTCAGTCACATCTCACTCACAGGTGCAATCTGACATCTCTAAACATTAGATATACGTTCTCACCTTTGTTTAAAGCAATGGGTAGGACCAGGTGACGAGACAAGACAGGAGGACTAGAAATATCTGCAATATCAATAAATCCCACAACTTCCAAATCTACAGAGAGATAAGGAAGTGTAATAATCAATAACAAAAACATTATACATTGCATAACCATGATATATGAAACATGCAACACAGGCTATACGTGTAATATCCAGCTACTGTTATCACCTTAATATTGTTAATCATGTTTCTAGTATGCAACCATAAGATATTTTGCAAACTACTTTTGTCATAAACTCGATGATTGTGTATTTTTCTCCATGTAACAAGAGAAAAGAAGAGTATATTGCTCAGTTCTTATTCAATCGTGAGTTACAAACAGGGGCTTTTGAGGAGTGGGCACAAAGATTGCAAATGTTAATCAGGCCAGTGTTTGTGACCAAATGGCTACTAAAAAAGATACCCCATTTGCAATACCTTGGATTGTCTACTATTGCAAATGGTATGCCATTAGGGGTGTAAATTTCATTCCTGGGCTACTATACAGTTACAAAGGCAACGTAACCAATCTGGCGAATTTCAATTTCAAATGTAACCTGCTATATTTGACCCTGTAACTTCCCAAAACACCATAAAACCTGTACATAGGGGGTACTGTCTTACATGTGAGACTTTGCTGAATACAAATATGTGTATTTTATTGCAGTAAAAGCAAACAGTATTATGACATTGACAGTTAAAATGTCATGTAGAACTAAAAAAAGAAATCTTATTTTCTCCCATTTAAATATTTGATATTAAATGAAAGCCCTGTTTCCCCTGAATAAAATTATGTATAATAAGGGTGGGTGCATTTACTATGAAAGAGGTGAATTACGGTTGGACATACATGTAGGGCAAATGCCAGGTTTTGTTTACATTTTGTTTTGTTCACAACGTGTACATTTGGATCCGTCCTTAAGGGGTTAAAATGGTCTGTAGTGGTTTGCTGCCTGTGTAAATCCATTATGTTAGTGTTCGGCTGTTTACCTGTGTTAATGACTTTAGGAATAGGTTCTATTTCTTCATCTGTGACAACTGGCTCTGGCCTTGGGAAGACCTGAACATCTGAAGAAAGGTTTCCACACTTCAGCACAGCATGGAATGGGGTATATGCCACATCGATCAGTTTCCTTTAAATCCAAGCACTTTATTTAAAAGCAATGCATTAAAACCATCAACTTGCAAAGGCATAACTCATTAAAGGGATACTATAAGCACCAAAACAACTTTAGCTTATTGGTATAGACAATGTCCTTGCAGTCTCACTGCTTAATTCTCTGCCATTTAGGAGTTAAAACTTGTGTTTCTGTTCATGCAGCCCTACCCACACCTGCCCTGGCTGTGACTGACACCACCAACATGAAAAATGTGTTTCATTTTCCATCAGATCACTAGCATAGCAGTCTGTTACTTTAGAAGTTCTTCTCTCCTGCTGTTAATTGAACTTTAATCATGCACAGGAGGCACTTGCAGGCTCTAACAGTTTATTAACAGAGCAGGAGATAAAAACTACTAAATTAAACCAACTGTGTAATGTTGGTAGTTCAAGGAATCAGATCTCTTTACAGGAAATGTGTAGGGAGATTGTGTGGGCTAAATGTAGGGGAGGTGTGACTAGGGCTGCATAAACAAAGTGTTTTATCTCCTAAATGGCAGATAATTGGGCAGTTAGACTGCAGGGGCTTGATCTACACATTAAAACTGCTTTATTAAGCTAAAGTTGTATTGCTGCTTAGAGTGCTCCGTTAAAAGTTTCTATTGAACTCGTTATCACACATAATAAGCTCAAGGGGCAATGAACACAGGTTTTAACTGATAATCTAAAAATGGAATTATTGTGCATACATCCCCTTGGTCTAATGTTTATTATGCTCAAACTATTTATAATACACAAACACATATACATAGTCCATTTACTAATCTATTAGGTATATCAAATGCCTCCATTATATCTTTCCATAGGAACACTAGTTTGCTGAAAGTAAACATATTTAATGTAGTCACTTTACCAAATTTCAGACATGGATTTTCACAAACTAGCATTATCATTTTTGGTTTGGAGGTGTGTGCAACATCCAATCAGTTTATATGAATTTACTCTAGATTTTATGAATAGACAAAATTGGGATACAGCTGAATAACTAAAAAACACAAGAATACATAGCACATAGTGAAGTACAATCACAATAATAAAATATGACCCACAATGATTGCACTCACAAAATAGTGATGAATAGTGCGCCTTTAAGCCCACATAGGGCTGCAGTAGCGTTCACCCTCCACGGATAGGTTGCTCTGTCTTCCAAGAAATGGGAGTATGCCAGTAAAATGTAAAAAATCCTTTTATTATTAAAGGCACTAATAAGCCTATATCAAAAATCAATAAATGAAATATAGAAAAAATACTGCAATCTAACGCGTTTCGTCCATACAAATTGGACTTCCTCAGAGACAATTTTGCAGTATACACAGTATATAAAATACAAAGCATGCATAATTCCCACCCCCAACAGAGTCCCTTAAATACAACCAATCCATATGTTGATTGGAGGATTTCTTCATAGAGAACACCTCTTCAATAAGAGAATATTTCTTCCAGGTGATCTTCACCTTAAAATTCGCCTTATGGAACATATTAACAATATAAGGAAAGGTATAACTCATTCAGTGCCTGTTCACTGTAACACATGCCAGGCCTTTAATTGGAGGGATTTCAAGGGTTGTGGTATAGAACATGTGTCCCCTCATTGGAGAGGAGGCAACAGGGAATTGAAACTAGCACAACGGGAGACCTATTGGATTTACCATTTGGATACCTTGTCACCCAAAGGTTTAAATATAGATGTGGATCTGGCTAGTTTTATGGTATAACATTACTACTTATTTGATGGGGGATTTCCATCTTCTGCCTTTCATACACCTATTAAAATTATATTTTTATTATTATATTTAGTTTTAATTTTTTATTTGTTATTTTAATTCCATTTATTTTCAATTCTTATTTTCATTTATATTTATACTTATTTTTATTTTGATTTATTTTTATTTTATATTCATTTATTTTTATTTTTAATTTAATTTTTTTAATTTTATTTTATTGTATTTTCCATTTAATTTTATTTATTTTCATATTTACATTTGTTTTTTTTTTGTTTTTGTTTTTTTCTTTGTTTATTCATTTCATCTTTTAATATTATTTTTATTTAATATTTATGTATATATATTTTTATATATATATATATATATATATATGTATATTAATTAATAATATTTTCATATTTATTTCTCATTTTTATATTTTAATTTAATATTCATTTTTGTGGCAGAGGATGTAAATCCCATTTTCCATTTGATGATGATCTGTTTCTGTAGTGTATGTGTTCGAATTTGTAACATGAGAATGGTTATATTAATTGTTGTTATTATTTTAAGACTGTTTTTTTAGCCTTTTTAGCCACTCGAGCGGCTTGATTATTTGGAACGCATACATCTTGTTTTGGAACGCAACGTTAGCGTCCATGACGTCCGTTCATATCCACCACCGGAAATACGTATGTGGAACGCAACCGGAAGTTGACATTTGGAATGCATAATATTAACACATGGACGGACGGATAATCAGCTGATTTTAGCCGCGAATTTTAAGGTGAAGATCACCTGGAAGAAATATTCTCTTATTGAAGAGGTGTTCTCTATGAAGAAATCCTCCAATCAACATATGGATTGGTTGTATTTAAGGGACTCTGTTGGGGGTGGGAATTATGCATGCTTTGTATTTTATATACTGTGTATACTGCAAAATTGTCTCTGAGGAAGTCCAATTTGTATGGACGAAACGCGTTAGATTGCAGTATTTTTTCTATATTTCATTTATTGATTTTTGATATAGGCTTATTAGTGCCTTTAATAATAAAAGGATTTTTTACATTTTACTGGCATACTCCCATTTCTTGGAAGACAGAGCAACCTATCCGTGGAGGGTGAACGCTACTGCAGCCCTATGTGGGCTTAAAGGCGCACTATTCATCACTATTTTGTGAGTGCAATCATTGTGGGTCATATTTTATTATTGTGATTGTACTTCACTATGTGCTATGCATTCTTGTGTTTTTTAGTTATTCAGCTGTATCCCAATTTTGTCTATTCACATATCTGTATTTGAGGTTCGTTTGGGGGAAACCTCTTGGGAAGCTGTATCGACCTTATACTCAGTTAAGTACCTTTGCATATTCTTACCACTGAGTTGGTTAGGTGCATTTGTATTTCTTGTGTATATATTTGTTTTTTTCTTTCTATTATCTAGATTTTATGAACCTGAAAATCTTACCACTTACCTTGAGTGCCAAAAAAAAAAAAATCAAACCAAAGGATAAACCTTGATAATTTCAATGCATGACCTAACTTGTGCACTTGTTACTCATCACACACACACATATACATATAGAAAAATGAAAAGAATCTGGCACTCTGCCTTGAAAATGCAAATAATATAATAATTACCAGGGTGCTGCACAGCGTTATATGTATCAAACTAAGAAATGAGAGCACTCGTTGGATTTTCAAAGATGTGATATAATTTAGCAAATAGTGACAATCTATTTAGACAGTCCTGACAGTTAACAATGGCTGTACTGACCATAAACATTTGCCTTTATGGTTAATGGATACTGTTTGCAGTCCAAAGCTCCATAAGACAAACGCTCATCATCTCATTCTGGCAGCACAATGATGATAGCGAATATAGTTTGCTTTGTCTTGCACAGTCCTCTCCACATCTAAATCACAGGTCATCCAAAGTGTGATGTATATAATGAGCCGTTTGTACAATAAATGTATGTCTGAAAAATCAGCTGGAAACATGAGAGCCTATGTAGGAATCATGGACACTAGAGAAAGTTTTCAGCACTTTCTTTATTCCACACTAGCGTTTTCTGGGGCAAATGGTATCTTACCCACATCTATACAGGAGAACCTAATGAAGCAGCCCCTGAATTTAGTATACATAAGACACGTACACATCAAAACATGTCAATTTTTCAAGAAACGTCCAAATCAGAGACTGAAAAATGTACGTTTTTGATGTGAATAGAATAGCACAGTTTGCCTTCACTACACACAAGAAAACTATTAAATACAGGTTGCATATTTCAAGCTCACCCAAACATTGACTGGACATTCTTCAGACACAGAGGCCCATCAATAGTGAAGATCTGTCCTTCCCCATTATTCAGATCTATAAGTCGTTCCAAACAGTCTAATGAATCTGAGCTCTGCAGCTGTTAAAGAGAAAGGGATCCAAATATTTGAATTACAACAGAAGCATAAAAGCAAAGCATTAACTGTCCTTTACATTAACCACCAACTTATGTAGAATAAACTAAACAGTAAGTTCTACAGCATGGGCCTATCGGTGTCTTGTATAAAATGAAAATTAAATTTGGATTTTGGTGCACTCTACTGAGAAATGTTACCGATGAGTTCTCTTTTAGATTTGATTGTTGTGCGAACCCCAAATTAGCTTTGTCATAATGCAAGAAAGCTTGCAGATCATCTCACCTCTTCCAGATTAGCCATGCACATTACATAAAGCTTGGAGGGGAATGGAAAGGGCAGGGGGAACCTGTTACTTTCACTACGTTGATTAAGAGTTGCAAGGGAATGATGCAGGGATCCCCTCCCAATGCCCAGACATCCATCAGTAACCAGCACTATCTGAAAAAGATAAAAAAATTGCAATATGCAAGGAACAAATGTATACGGCTGTAAACTTCACATCTCCATAAATTACATGCTGATAAGTAAAGCAAATAATCAGGTACAATGGAGAGAATGTAACTCAACAGTCACCACTACACTTACTGCAGAACTAGATTTCTACCTTTTCTCCACAACATTCTATTTCAGAATTTTGTTCTAGCCAGAATCAGAAAAACTCATGTACTGGTGTCATGCTGACTGGTCATTAGTGGTTCAGGAAAGAAACAATAAACATATTCAGACAATTAAAACACACACACTTTGATTAACCTTGACCTTTTAAGCAAAGGCAACACAGTGCTATTTTATTCACATTAGAAACGTGTCCACTTTCTCGGTCTCATATTTGGACATTTGGAAAGGTCTAAATGTGAGGCTTAAACAAGGACACGTTTTGATGTGTGTTTATGTACAATAACGTTATCCCCCTTCCCATTAATCTAAAATATTTTCAGTTTTATTTTATAGATTTGTCTTGTGTATGGCTGTAATCTAGTATTTGTACAGTAAAAATACATGAAGTATCAGTAAGGTGGATTAAAATGTAATTTAAGTAGCATCACAGACAAAATACACTAAACACAGACAGAACCTATATCCCCCAAAAATTATCAAAACAAGAGACAGGCAGACAAATAACCACAATATTGCTGGCATGACAAATTGTACATTATTATTTAAATGAAGGAATAGCAGAGTGATAACAAATGTTATCTTACAATGATTCACTGAAAAAGGACAAATGCTCTTAAACATCTCTGTGCCAGTTTTTACTGAGCCACTGTTAGTCTACCTGGCAAGGAGTTGAAGCCCCCCATTCCTGTTGGACAACGCTGGACACCCCTTGCAGAGCAGATTCCAGACATGTCTTGTCATAGTCATCTATGTTGCTTAGGGCTTCCTGAAAGAAACAAAAAGAGACAGCAACAATACATTAAGAGCCTCACAGATTACTGCAATTAGCTGACCTAAAAGAAAACCTTGACTCTGGACAGGCATATGTAATTTTTAAATATGTGTATTACCAATTCTATTCATTGAGGACATAAAAGAACATATAATCACAATTTAGAAAAGCTTTTTGAAGATTAATTTTTAACACAAACCTGTTCATAAAGCTCATGTGTGGAGCTCACAAACCATTCCAACTTTTAAGACGTTTCATTTCCAAACAGTGACACTGAATGTTTTTAGACCGAATTTGCAAACTTTACTTGTGAACAAAACAAAATGTCAAAAACCTATGCAATTTAACTTAAATACTGCAACTCTTCTGTAAACTGACCATTGTGCTTATCATACAATAAATCATAAGGCTAATTTCTCAAATTATAATCATGGTATTAGAATTTATTCAATAAACTGTTTTGTGGAAACTTTGTATGGGAACTGCAAATGTTATAGCAAATTAAAAAAAATTCCAAAGCTTGTTTATAAACAGACAACATTAATTATAATCATCCTAATTCTGTACCTGAAGTGTGTTATAATCTCTGGTGAAAGGAACCATCAGTTCCCAGAGAGATGAAAATACAACTAAAGCAGTGAATTCCAGCTTGTAGTTAGTCGCCATATGTTCAAATAGCATTGTGAGGCCATGAGAAGCTAAGTGCTTGCGTTGGAAGTCTTCCGTCCCCTCCACTGGAACAGGTCGTGTCATTGAAAGAGAGACATCCATCACCACCACCGTAGGCATGGTGACTGGTGATATTTTGGAACAAGGCACCTAAAAAAAATTTTTTAAAAAAACTACATGAAAGAAATATACATTACAAATCTTTAATTGTGCGATAATGTATCACCACCGAGAGCAATATTGTGAAATGTGTAAGAATTTAAATGTTGTATAGCACAGAAGACATTACTGTTGCATACATGTTTAATGTTTCGTCATCTAACATTCACAAGTACATTATATATCAATTAAAAAATGTCCAGTTTCCGAATTACAGCATGTTTAACTCTGATAGATCAATACTGATTTAGTGGCTAGTGCAGAATAGAACATTGCTTTCTGTTTACAGTATAAAGGTGGGAGGGTGGGAGAGAGTCTTTAAAAGTGGACAGAAGGGTGTGATTTCTACAGGGCTGTACTTGGATAGTCGAAATCCTACAAATATTTTTGATCTGATGCACTCATTTATTTTACAGTAAATAGTCTAAAATATATTTAACACCCAGAAATCCTAAACCTGTATATAGGCACATTGAGCAACTCCCCAATCGGTTTAACACTTATACTTCCGGTACCTGCAGCCTAATAGCGATACAATTCACAACATAACATTGTATTATGATATTTACACCTATAAACAGTCACACGCCGCCTCACTCTTCTCTCCCTGCAGACAAAAAAAATCCCCCAAGAAAATACAGAAACCGGAGACTCCTGAAGCGCACACTAGTTGCGCACCAACAAATTGTTTCCCCCCTGAACAATTGACAGGAAACACAGGTTCCGTGTGTAGAATGCATGCTAAACAAATGAATAGGGGCTTTCCTAATTTACGTTATATAATAACAGAGGTGAGACGGGGGAGATACCTTTGGGTTCATAATGCCTGAAGAAAAAGACATAAATGGTCTTGAAAGCTTGCACTGTGTAATTAGTTAGCCAGACCCTGTTATTTTTCAGTAACTACTAAGTCACATTGTTTTTTTTACAGTGATATGACTCACAGAGTTATTCAGTAAACTACCAATTATAGAAAATCTAAATTTGATTTGCAAAATTGAGGATAACATAGCTGAGCTGTGATTATATCAGAGTTGGAAATGTTTTTAAGATCAATCCTGTTTGTGTGAAATAAAGCATTTTTGGATACAGCCAGTATACGTAAAACAGAGTTTCCTGCACAGAGGAAAATTGATTTGTAAAACAAAAACATTCCTGTAAAATGAGTTAATAACTACATAGTAGCTCTTAACCAGTGAGCCATACCTCAAAGTTTCAACACCTTTGTGATCCGTCAGTTATGAACCTTTTCAAACACTGAGCGATATGTCATCTAATTAGGCGTCTGTTACCCCTCGTCCACACCCACAACCTGACCCAAGACATCCCCATTTGGATGGAGGTCATCGGTCTAGAGGCATACCAGGCACCGACTGAGCGGTCCCCAGTAAAGGCAGCCAGGGCTGGGGGGAGTAGGTTGTGGTGAAAGAAAATCTGGTACTGTAGTATGAGGAAGAAAAGAAAAAAAAGAAGTGTGGAGGGGGACGGAGGGGATCTGAATTGTGATGGGTATACACCAGTTAGCCGTTTACGAGCCTAGTGAAGTCCGCCGAGGATAGGAACTCTAGCCAGTAGAGCCATCACTGGACAAATCTTTCTCTCTCTTTGACCATGGTGTCTTTCAGATCCTCAGATTTTCTAGTGTCCTCGATCTCTTCCACCCACTGTTTCAGCGTAGGTGCCTTCATTTGTGGCCAATAAATCAGGATTGTCACCTTAGCCGCATTCAGAAGTCTTGGAAGTGCTGAGCGCTTGTAGCTCTGTGCTGCAATGGGTGTGTAGTGCAGCAGGTATGTCGCTGGATCCATGGGTGGTGGTTCCTCTGACAACTTCCCAACCACCTAACCTACCGCTTCCCAGAATGGCTCGATTAATTGGCATGTCCAACACAGTGCCAGCAAAGGTCCGGTACATTCGGGTCATGTCGATGCAATGCAGTTGGAGTTAAGTACCATCTCGTTAGAACCTTGTATGAATTTTCCTGCACTTGCGCCAAAGCTGGTGTTTTCAGAGACACTGAATGGCAGTGTTTGCATGAAAATGCATGTAGGTAATGATTATACTCACCAGAACAACTACATTAAGCCGTAGTTGTTCTGGTGACTATAGTGTCCCTTTAAAAAGGTTGCCACCTGGCCAGTATCTTACTGGCACAGCCGATATTTGAGGCTGTGTCGCCAATGTCCATAATTCAAAAGTACAGGCAATGCAAAGGCCTATTTCTCTCTGTCTTGAATTTGGGATCTCTATCTCTATTCTGTGTGAGGGAGTCTGATCTCTGCATGACCCTGTTCCTCATACTGAGAGTGGGTAGTGAACTGGAGCCAGTATGGTTACATGGTATTATACATGGCAGATACGCACCTTGCTTTATATATACATCACCTTGCTATATATAGACAGTAACACACACACTTCCACTTAGATACAGTATACACATAATGACACACACTGCCACATACAAAAACTCAGACACAGTATGCACACACTACTATTAACACATTACACACAATATAAACACATTCATTCAGACAGTATACACTGTGACAAATTGCTATACAAAGTATGCACACAATGGCACAATACTACACAACTACTCGGACATAGGTTACACATACTAAAACAATGCCACAAACATGCACAGTATACACACTACATACGCAGTAAGACTGAGTAAACACACAGCTGACACACAGTCAGATATAGTACAAACATTTAAGAATTAGTTTCAGTATATCCCAACTTATGAGGGAAATTGTAAGACTGCTTCCATAAATCTGGCATGCTGGCCTCCTCTCTTTTACAGGCCTTGACTCGGTGCTACCTTTTAATGCATCTCGCATTTTCGCCTTGGTCAAAGATGCCAACAGTTTCTGTAAAAGCCTTTGTGTGGTCTATATAGCCTGCTTGCTTTATTTTTCACATGCTCTTTTAGTGCAGCTAATGCCTAGTTCTGTCTACAGTTTAAAGTGTGAATGAATTAAGTCGATAAGCTAATTACCTTCTAACAGTAGAGTTAGCTCATATCTGTGACAAGCTACTTATTTTTATTCTAAAAATATATGTAGTTACAACTTTTCTTAAACATGTTTTACTGATATTCATTGTACCTATCTTGCTATAGCTCTTTATGTTCAGCTATGTGTATCTGCATATCCAGAAAAAAAAAAAGTGTCAGATCTACTAGACCTAAATCCATCTCAATCTATCACTCGTCAGGTAAGATGTATGCACCAATAGGTTGTACTCTAGGTCATGCAGTTGCTCATCCTATGACCCCTATCCAAGTAGACACACCTTTTATCCAGCAGTCCATTTAAGGGATGGTTGCCGACTTCTTTATCATGGTTGACATATACTCCGTCCTAAAAGCTATGAACCGAAACTGTTGAAGCATATGTGCTACATGTGACATGGGTATGAGACTGGAGGGGATTAGTACAGAGAAAGATTAAAGTCCCTTAGGTCCCTAGGGAGGTAACAAGCTTAGTGCCTTCCACTCACTCTTATTAAGGGATGGTGAATGGGGAGAAGCAGTATCATTGCAACCAGGCCCTTGTCTAACTACTGGACCTGAAGCAAACCTTACTGGTAGTCCTCCAATGGATTTGTATCTGAATGAAAATGTTCATTCATTCTAAAAAGGTTGAGTGGAGGGTTGAGAAATCATGTTAAAGAGACACTGTAGTCACTTTAACCATTTCATTTAGTTATAGTGTCTGGAGTGCCCTGGCACTGTCCCTTCATTCAGCGTTGCACCATGTTTGTGCAGTGTGCCACAAAATAAGAGTCCCTGGCCACTCACAGTCCAGCGTCTTCTGTATGTGTAGCTAAGGCAGAGATTACACACTTCCTTGTTGTCATCCCCATTTGTGACGGTAGTGATTTGTATTACCGTCTAGTATTCCCTTTTTCCCAATAGCAGAATAGCAACAATAATCCACAGGGTAAAATAATGCTTGTATTGCCAAATAATCCACACATGAGCCAAAGCTTAATGCTGGAACAAGACTGATTTACTGGTAGCAACAGGCATTCAATTTATACAGTAACCGACTCCTCCTCTGGGCCAGGCTAGATAATTGAGTTTCAGCAACATACTAAAATCAATTATCTGCTGGCCAGAAACATTTACAATTTTCCACATTTTTAGAAATATACTTTATACATGACATAGGAATATCCCAGATCCCTGGGTAGCTGAGGATAGTGGGAGTAACATATCCAAATTGCACGAAAATCCGTTCAGTAGTATTTGTGTCGCATTGTGTGGAAGTTTGACTGGCTCGCCATGTGGTTGTATCTGAGTTAGAGTTCCATGAAATTGGTAGCAAGAGCCGGTCTCCGTTCGTGCAGAATTACACGAAAAAACAACCACAGTTATACGGTATCTGGTTACATGTGAATGCTCCCCTCATTCGGTTGGTTGAAACTCCCGAACTCCAGTCTGATACTGTGAGTGGAAATAGGTCAGACGGGACTTCCATGGACACCGGGTGTTTGTGTGATTGCCATGCCGAAAGTGGTTCCAGGCAATCCACGAGTAAGTCCCGCTGGCCGCGTTTGGGAGATTTAAGATGGCCGCCATCCTTTGTTCTCGCCACGTGTTCGTATGCCGAATGGCGGCCACCTAGAAGCACTCAATTACCTTGCGGTTTTCGTGGTTACTTGGTGTTCTAAGTTCTGATTGCTACCCAGGGTGGTCTCCGTTCGGTAGAATGAATAAATGTCCCGAACACAGAAATAAACAATGAATACTTTAGTCACTTAAAGGACCACTATAGTGCCAGGAAAACATACTCGTTTTCCTGGCACTATAGTGCCCTGAGGGTGCCCCCACCCTCAGGGACCCCCTCCCGCCCGGCTCTGGAAGGGGAAAAGGGGTAAAAACTTACCTTTTTCCAGCGCTGGGCGGAGAGCTCTCCTCCTCTGATCCTCCTCTTCTCCTCCCCGTCGGCTGAATGCGCACGCGCGGCAAGAGCTGCGCGCACATTCAGACGGTCACATAGGAAAGCATTCATAATGCTTTCCTATGGACGCTGGCATGCTCTCACTGTGAAAATCACAGTGAGAAGCACGCAAGCGCCTCTAGTGGCTGTCAATGAGACAGCCACTAGAGGATTAGGGGGAAGGCTTAACCCATTCATAAACATAGCAGTTTCTCTGAAACTGCTATATTTATAAAATAATGGGTTAACCCTAGAAGGACCTGGCACCCAGACCACTTCATTAAGCTGAAGTGGTCTGGGTGCCTAGAGTGGTCCTTTAACTAGCAGGGAGAGGAAATAACCGAATGGGTACAGGTAAACACAGGGAAATCCTTTACACCATTCATACCATCAGTTGGAGCTCTGACAGGCTAAAAGCAGTCAGCTGACATTCTCAGCCAATCACAGCTGCCCATTGCTGCTCAGGCTAATCCTTCCTTATTAGCTAAAGCAGCACAGAAGGGATGGACTGCCGGGGACTCTTGTTTAGCATTAAAACATAAAAAAATTAAAAACTGTTTAATGCTGAAATAAATGATGGTACCAGGGGACTCCAGGCACTATAACCAGTTTAATGAGATGAAGCAGATACATTGCCTACGGTGTCCCTTTAAGGTAGGGTTTTTAAAAGGCATAAATCACAAATGGGGAGATTTGCATTCAGGTTCCTGGCAGATGATTGTTGAAGTAACTAGTATGAAGCTATGTGAAATAGAGGG